AGCTCAACTCCATCATATATCAATACATAGTGGATGAGAAGAGACTGCAAATCAAAAAAGATGTGTACTACCTACCCAAGGACCAAGGAGGACTAGGTTTGCTACATGTAGGCGCCCAACAACAAACCCTGCAAATGAGGTATATCACAGCACTACTATACCACGACCAGCACAAAACAATCCCGCAGTACCTATACCAATTGATGTCACATACGCTACAAATGGAGACGAACCTGCCTTACATTGATACCATACTGATATTTAAAGAAGCAAGAAGCTACAAGAACAACCTAAAAGATGGGGCCATGAAACTGATTATTGAAACAATGAATAGTCTTCTTGAAAACTGCCGACCAGACTTTACCAATACACCCATCAATATCAACACTTGTTTAACTTTACCACTGACCACTATATACAAGGACTGGGAAGACTTGGAAACTACTGACTACCTCAGGAACCCTACAGCCAAGAGAAGCCTAGTGCAGGATTTTTTCAAGCCAAATCTTAATTACACAGCTCTCGAATACAAGACAAGACAAGAATGCAAATCACCGCAGATACTGTACAAGCTCAAAAGAGACCACAACAACAACCAGTTACACCTTCAAGATTTCTTCAGCAACCTGCTTCATCCAAACAACTCAACTCCCAACAACCAGGAAGAGGCAACAAGTCTAATCCAACATTTTGAGCACGATAGCAACATCATTTGGCTCTGCAAGAACAAAATAATCAGACAACTGCTCCTCAAACAACTGCCTATACAACTGCCAAAAGATCACAACAAAAACATCAACCCCAAGCAATGGAAAGCATTCTACAGATCACATATGCACCAGTCACCTCGAAATTTATGGCTCAAGATCATATACAACAAAGTCCCCTGCAGAAGTTTCCTATACCAAAGTCAAATCAAAGATATAGAAAACAACAGATGCATACAATGTAACGAAGTAGAAGATGCCAGACACCTTCTCATGGAATGCGGAAACAAACACGACGTCTGGGAGTCCGTCTTTAAAGAACACCTAAGCTACCCAACCACAATCAACACTCACCGCATATACAAAGACATGCAGAACCTGACATTATCAAGATACTACATTTACAACCTGGACCTCAAGATCAACATCTTCGACCTTTTTGCCACCATAATCCGAATAATCTGGACCCACCATTTCTTCGTACACTACCGTGGTACCCCTTTTGAGCCCCAAACAGTTGTTAGCAATATCAACAGAGAACTGGATAAGCTGTCCAAAATGGGTAGTATTGATTTATAAGACCTCATAAGATACAATATGGCAAGTCACTTTACCTAGTATACACTTGATCCATTTATACAATGATTTTATTAACTATTTATTCATAACTACTTAATAAAACTTTCATTCCATACAAAAAAAAAAAAATTTTGAACTCGATTGAACTATTTTAGCAGATTCGACTAAGTAAAATGTGATGATCGTTCGCTGCTTCCTAATACATTCTTGGGGTGCTTTTCAAGGCGCATCCAATGGTACCAAGTAATATAGATGTTTTGAATAAACTTATCAAGCAATTAATGAAAATATGAAAAGAGGTTTCTGGTCGAAAAGTCGAAATTTTATATATTAAAGTCGCACAAAAGTAATTTCAAAGGTTGCCCTGGAATCCGTAGAAACATTTTGATTCAATATGTACCATAGTAAAAGTCTTCATTTTCAAGGTCAAAAACGGGATCGTTTGATTTTCGATGAAAACCATGAGTTGTACCTCATGCTTTTTGGTCGAATTTCGGCCATGTTTTTTGGGTCCCCAAAAAGTTGAACAAAAGTGTCATAAAGTAACTGCCAGGTGGGAGCAACTGATTGGTGCTACTCTGGCAATCCAAAACGGCTTCAAACACAAGAAATTACTAGTCAAATGCACCTAGATTTCGCTGTGTTTTTCACACTTTTGAGTAGTAAGAGGTAATGCAAGTATGCTGCCTGCCTATATTTGAGTTGTTCCTGATGATACATATGTGGAGCATCGCAGAAAAGCCAGATCCACAGCTACTACAAGCCATTATATGGAAGGGGTTTCGCGTGATAGTGGACGATGAAAATCGAAATTTGAGTAGCTAACAAATATTGAAGTGTACCAGAAGCTGGAATGGTACGAAATGTATAGGTTAAAGTCGATTACGTTTCGGACACTTTGCAGATCAAGTAGGGAAACATGTCCTTGTGAATAGTCTTGACAATTAATGTTGTGTGCCGAAAATACTATTTCAGTTGAGATCATTAATGTACACGTCTCCAAATCAAGCCTTGTAGAGCTGTAACAGCGCCGATAAAGTCTACATGCCTTTTCATTTGATATTCTCAGTATCTGCGCTTCTCTTTTTTGAAGCTTGGGGCGCGTTATATGCGATGCCGATGGAGTTGTAGATACAAAGTATCCAATGGTTGCAAAAAGTTTCATTGTGTATGCTTTTGAGTTTGACACTGTATCAAACCAAAATCGTTAATTCAGCCATGCTAAATGTAATTTAGTGTAGTCTCTGTTTGCTTATCTCATAATTTGATCAAGCTTCCCGTCAAATGATATGCTGCTGGTACCGTTTGTGCTGTTTCTATGTATGAATAGGGATCCATACAGTTTTGAAGCTCTATACCACCTGTAATGGCACCAACAAAACTATCATATGGGCCAATCGTTATCACGCAACATCTCTCTCTGCTTTGTATTTGTGCTATTTAGAAAAAACACACACACATAACATGCCGTCTTGGCGTATATTTTATCCTGCTACTACTATCAAAACTCATGTGTTTACTACGTAGCATTTATAAATATTTGTTCAACTGCTGGTTCATGTAACATGAGTCCATCAATAACAAGCCGAGCCAATTTAGAGAATCACTTGGCAATGGGAATTTATAAACCATTGAAATGATGTGCTTTTGCATCGATTCCATCAGTTGATACCCACGCATCATTCATTTGAATATAATGTGTTTGCATCAGTAGCGAGCGACCCCTTGAAACTCTAAAATGGACCGTAGATTGATATTGCGGATAACCTGATCTCTTTTGCTTTAGCGTGCTAATCAGCGTGATGATGAACTCGGCTCATTTACTACCATCACTTTTGTGAGCATCTGATTTAACATGTACAGATCAAGAATTGTATTGACAAGTGTCAATAAACAGAAAAACGTAAACAGGATAGCTTATTATGATCATTCATTTGCTTATACGCTTACCATACTTTTTTTTTCAAGTGTCCTTTGCATAAAATGACATGTAAGCAACTCACATTGAGGGTACATTTGCAATGTATACGTCTGCTGAAATCAAGGAATACTATGTTTGAATGTGGTATAGAGAGGGAAAGGGGGAGGGGGGGGGGGGGAGGGGAATCATTGCCGCTCACCAATTCACCCTTGCGTAGAATTTTCTAAATCAGAGATAATATCGTGGTATCATTCGCAAAGAGCCCCTTATCTGCATCCGTTGCGACGTTATGTAATGCACTTAAACCTCCAAAAATATAAAAGAGGGAAGCTGATTAGATAGGTGATGTCCTGATAAAGACGTTGCGAGTTACAAGATTCCAGCATACATGAACATTTAATTAGTATATTCTTGGCTCGAGGCCGTAGCCATATCACCAGTGTCTAATGTATACCTTTAGTATGTGCAGCGGACAACAGACAGTATGCTACGGTGTATGACCAATGAAGAGGATCTAGCACACAAAAACAGTTACATCATAATGATTGTCTCAACTACATGGGGATTCATGGTGAGTTCATACTTGACATTTCTATTACGCCCATGTTTTTATTCCATTTTATCCTTATTGATTGTATTTGGGATGCGAAATGTAATTTAATATGCACAAGCCTCAATAAAAACATGTTTGTATGAAGCTCGTTTTTGACCTCACTAGATAAGTGGCAAAATCCCACTTGGGTAATCAATTCAAGGGGTCGGCTAACATCATTTTTTTTTTCGGTTCCATCACTATAAAATTCATGCACGCTAGCGAACAAAGATGAAGAAGGCATGCGTATAGATACAGATACTCAACTGCTTGCATTGCATCTGCAACTTCCTTTTTCAATGCTTACTCCACATCTCCATGTGTAGATCAATCCAGACTCAGGCTTCTGGGAACCACTTAGAGAGAAGAATCTTTGCAATGTCCAAAAAAGAAGGGATCTTCATTTATAATGATAATTCCCGAGACAAAAGCCAAAAACATGTTTGACGATCCTTGAATGAGATACACAATGTAATCCAGTTTAGGAGATTCGTGTAAGCACACGAGATATCATGCTTTTTAATCAGTCTGCAGGGTGATGCCTTTTGTATTCGAGAAATTCCAAAATGAGATAGTACTACTATTATTAGTTTTCTTTTTCTCTGTCGATTTTATAAAGGAAACACAGATGTTGTTATTGAAATGATAATCATTCGATCAATTTTCGAGTGATTTCTTCCCCTCATATTGAACGTCCAATGGCTGATTTACCGGGAAGGATGTGGATGACACAGAAACAATATCACATTTTAGTAGCGAATGTATCATCATGATGGCAATAGCTCATGTACGGTTTAAAATGAAATATTCTCTCGCTTTTTTGTGAGAAATGCAAAACTCTTTGTTTCGTACACGCTGCGTTTTAGATCAACGGGTGATTCCATCAGCCAAATCTTAAGCTTCATTTGACTTTCTTTGGTTCGCAAGGAGGCGATGTAAATTTACATTTGGTTAAAAATAGCTTTTTGGTGGAGAGGCTTCTTTTACATTGGGGAAATGAAATCAGGCTCTGTGATATCTTCTTGTACGAACACTTACCATTTATATCCCATCGCCTGGTGTCAAGTGTCCCCTTGTTTAGTGCAATGATTGGATGCATTATCTTCGCCTACTCAAATTCAGGTTGGCTATATATAAGCCCTCTCTTTTGCAAATGTTTGGTAAATCAACCCTTTTTTTTTTTCTCTTAATATATACCTCAATGATCGATTACAGCCGCAAAAAGAACGATGCCAATTCAATGCTCTCAAACGACTCACATTCGTTGAAATCAGTGTGGAACAGACTCTCTCATTTGTTTCATGCAGCAGAAGATAGTAATCGACGACTATCGACATCTTCCAATGAAAGTGATTTATCGTCGAGATCTTCATGCTCCATCGAACGACGCACGCACAACCGACGAAGGAAGTTACTGGTGGAAGATCACAGCAGCAACAGTGGATCTAGAGCATCTACGTTGGTTCTCCCGCCCTTCAGTCCAACCTATTGCAAAGCAAATGAATTTCCATATTCGAATTTTTACGTCAAATTACCAAATGGAAAATGGATGGTACGCTATAGGTCTGGTAATCGTGATATTCTTGGTACAGATGAATTCGAAGGATACATGATATAAGCAAGTGCCACTCCTTCAAGCGGCTCTTGCCTCACTCTCTCCTTATTAATTCAAATTATAAAAAACGATACATCTGTAGTCTCCCCTCCCTTTCTCATACAAAATATACTAGACATCATCCTATTTATTACCGCTACAAGCATTTCTCATAGTACATAGTTCCCCTTTATTTTAATATCATTCTGTACTTTCTCTATGGAATCATTCTTACTATTTTCTGTTTTCTCAAACACATGATCTCTCCCTTATATATCAAATACACAGCTCATTCAACCAAGAAAGCACAAATAAAGCATCAATTTATGATAATCAATTGCATAAATTACAATGGATCTCTAAATCTAAAACTTATCATATCGAAGAGTGATGATGTCTCACTCTATCGTTGTATCACCCTGATGAGTATTAGCATAGTTAGCCATGGTAACCTTAAAATTTGTGTCGTGCTACATTAAAATGAAGCCCATTCTAAGCCCACGCTATACATGTGCATTTGATTGACTAAAACACTATAGGAAATGTTGGTGGTATGGACCCTGAATTTTATTCGATTTAAATCTTCTTTTGTCCACAAAGTGCCCATATTTTGATTTTCCATCCTGCTTGCGTGATGCCCTCTATGTAACGATCCACAATCGAGTTGTACATATCGGTATTTGTACCAAATCTATGAGCGAGTAACGGCTTTATTGACAACATGGCACTTTTCCAATTTGTAAGCATTTCTCTAGCAATTGGATTTAGTGGCAAACCTGTGTGGTGGATCGATCTATTGGTGAGTAACATACGCTGCCATATAAAACCATGCCCTACTCACTATAGTCTAAATATCTTTCATTTGATTCTAATACATTAAAACCAGTTTGAGTTAATAGTGTTCCCAACTTTCGACCGATCCACGGATCTTGGCCAATATCCACCATGGCTTGATGAACTATTAGAACTGTTAATACCATTGTTGTGCTACGTCTAGACATAAAATGGACTGACATTCTTTGTTAAATGTTTCGACAATCTGAACATTGGTCTCCTCCTATAGATGACATTAGAATGACATACTATCCCCCCTCATGTTGCCGTCGATATTTACAGTGAAATCCGACTCGACGAGTTGCACAAGTCCACCTGGCTTAAGTACCCGGTGGATTTCTGCAATCACTCCAGGCCATTCTTCTGTGCGCAAGCCAGTAATCAGTAATCGCATATGAACATAATCGAAGGTTTGGTCAGGGTACGGGATTCCATTTAGAATATTATGTAATTCAAATTTAACGTTTTCGGGTCGAATCGTAGTGGGAAACATATCCGCCATGTCAAGCCCTGTGATCTTGAAGTGGGGATAATCGATGGCCATTTCCTATTCCCTATTGAGTTGGTATCGGTTCTAGAAAAGCAAAACATGGACCTTACCATCACCCAGCATCCTGATCCACAGCCAAGATCAAGCACCTGAGCATTTGATGGCAGCAATTCTTTGACTGATGGTAAAATATTCCTGTAGCGCAAATAAAATGTTAATCAAGTGGTGCGTATCACTTTAAATTGTGTATTACAATACCCATCATAAAGGGCTTTTAATGAAAAATGTTGCTATACAGACAAATAGATATCAATAAAACATTCAAACATACATTAAAAATCGCATCTTACAGAATTTAGCCTGTCTTGCTCTAATTCATCTCGTGGTAAGGTATATGTACTTGCTTCTTCAAGATGATATTGCCGGCCATGGATCGTTATAGAGTTGGTTGATCGAGATTTATATGAATTTAAAGTCGATGTCTGCTGCTGCTGCTGCTGTTGTTGTTGTTGTTGCTGTCGTTGAATACTCTCTCTTCGATATTGTTCGTTCAATTGTCGAGAATGTCTTGCCCCCATAATAAAAAAAAAACCAATTACTATTTTTTTTTCCTCTGCTGGTTCTAGTATATCTCTTGATCAATTAGTGAAGAACAATGGAAAAAAGAAAAGAAAGAGTGCAGATTGAGAGAAAAGGAAGAGAGATAGAAAACGTGCGTGAGAGAGAGAGAGAGAGAAAGAAGGCTGACTAGAAAAAAAGACTTTTCTCTCTCTACCAATATCTCTGCAGTAATTCACTTTTGTGTTCAAGGAAGATGTTGTATTACACAACTGTTTAAAACTTGAAATTCAGACAAACGTTGCGAATGGATACATAGGGTAACTGAATGAAGGAAGAGCAAATTAAAACACCTGTGGAATCTATCATGACCATTTGATAGACGTCCCACGCATAAATTTAGATAGTGAGCTTATCAATATGCGTCCAAATCGACATAGAAATCATTGCCTGGATCGGGTGAAAGGCAGTAAGAAAAGACAGGACAATACCCGTTCCTCTCTGTTTTAAAGAAATCATCATACATGCCAGACAAATATATATATATATATATCTCATGTAGATCCTTCAGGGCAACCTAGCAACAGTCCATTTTCTCGGTGAATATCGTTGTTTCCAGTGCATGTTTATGCCGAGGAACTCAAAAACCACATCAAATTTGAGCTGTCATGTCAATAACATCATGTTTTATTCAGGGCAATACTTTAAATCTCGGTGAACTACTATAAAATGCCAGATCACTCGAGGTATGTACTAATTTGAGTATGTAAATTGAGCCGGGGGGTTACGTATAAGCGCTGTTGTGGATTGGGTGCGTGAGGGGAGCAAGAGCACAGAAAAGAAAGGACAGACGGGAAGATCTCCCCACCAATGGGTTGCTCCTGTGTGCGTGTAATTTAATGAGAATAGTATTTGACGGAGAACAACTTGCTTTTGTGATGGAACATGGTACAACCAAGCCTTTTTATACATGTAAAAAATACTAAAACAACAAACTGAATCCGCCATCGTACGCTTACAAGGTATAACGAGATGTCTCAGATGAACAGGATCAAAAAGGAGAAAACGATATCTCCGGGAGTTAACCTTAAACAAAAAACAGGACAGCAGTATCTATTAATAGAAGTTGTTGCAACAGAGGTAATGTGAGCACCTTGATATGGAATACTGAATGTGTATGGTAAGTTCTCTTGAAAAAGCTAGTGTCCTGAACTCTTGGCCTTGGCTTATTTTTGCCTATTATTTTTGATGTGTTAAAAAAAAAAAAAAAAAAAAATACCAAGATGAGCCTGAACCAAGAAATGTATCGGAACCAGGGCTCAAATGAGAGATGTGATCAATAAAGTAGGATTGTGTAACGCACACTGAATGGCATTGAACAATAAGAATGCCATGAAATCAATGCAAATTAATTACTGTCAATCGTCATTAGATGACATTTGAACATCTCATTGACGCAGGCTGCATCATGTTACAATTATCCAAAAAATTGGCATCTGATACTGTTTACATGGTAGAAATGCTATTATTAGCATTCGAACGATTGGGTTTTGTGCCGGAATTGTAATCGAATAAATGAGATTTATTTGTCCTAGATTTTTTCTGCAAACATAAATAGCTTAATTGCCTTCTCACACCTCTGCTTTTTGCCTTTCTTCTTCCTTCTTTCACTATTGGCAATGTCAGAATCAAGAATTAAAAGACTCTGGAAGAACAGAATCAGCCAGCAGTTGAGTGGGTTTCACATCTCTACATGCATTGCACACACAAATCAAGTAGATCATCAAGATGATGCAACAAACGTCGATGCCCAGACAACAAAGAATGCTCCGTCGCCTGCTTTACCACAACATCAAACCCCTCTGTCCACAACAGCAACTGTGCCGGAAAAGAAGTTATGGAGAAAACCGTTACCAAATGATTGCCCCTTATTTGATTTTGAAATCAGTGAGAAAACCATGATCGAGCAAGACCCATCGCTGGTCATTGCAAACAAAGAAATACCAACCAGAATACAAAGCAGACACTATGCGAATATACCAAACTTAGAAGCTCAACTGGAACGTGCATGCAAAAACGAAAAGGCTGTTTTGTTAACAAGATTGCTGGAAAAACAGCGCCACCAGCAAAAGCAATGTACATAACCACACACCCCCCTTTCTTCTGCTTTCTAGATAACTTGTAAATAACAGTGAATAAATATACATAGAGTGCTACGTTTCTTTCAAGAAAAAAAAATCTAATATGGAACAGGTTTATTATGATAAGGAAAAGGGGGCAAAAATGCATTAAAATGAAAAAAAAAAGTACAACAGTGGTTTTATTTTTTGAGGCCCTTTCTCTTTCTTTGAGTCAATTTGGATTCTAGTATAAAAAACAAGGTTAGTAAAAAAAAAAAAAAAATGCACAGATGCCCGTTTGTATGAAAACCAAGGCACTTACCTTCAATGTATTTAGCATCCTCCTCATCGTTGAAAGCAAGATTCACTTCAGTATTGGTGGTTTGTTCATCATCCTTGTTGCTGGTGTTTGTCAATTCCTCGTCCTTGTGGTTGTCGTATTTGTTATCCAACTTTTTGAACTTGGCGACGTAGAAACCATCCATGTTGTGAACATGAGGGTAGAAGCGACGGGTGAGTTTGACGCTAGGATGGAATGTTTTTCCCCGGTAGGAGACAAAGCCTTCACGACCGAAATCCAGTGTAGTAGGGACCAACTTGACATTGGGACGCTTTGATAAAGCATAATTCACAACAGCCTCGTTCTCCTCGACTGTAACTGAACATGTAGAGTATACAATATAACCACCTGTCTTTGATTTAGCATCAACTGAATCAATGGCAGACAAGATGAGTTGCTTCTGAAGGAAGGGGATATCAATGAAATCTTTTTCAGTCTTGTTCAACTTGACACTGGCATCTTTGGAAATGACACCGGTACCTGAACAAGGTGCATCAAGTAACACTCTATCAAAACCGCCAACCACCTTGGGGAATTCACGACCATCGTAGTTACAGACAACGGCATTCTTGACACCCATACGATGAATATTGGCAATCAAAGACTTGAGACGGTCCTTGGTGGCATCATTGGCAAACACCATACCTGTGTTCTTTTGCAAAGCAGCAATATAAGTAGTCTTACCACCAGGGGCTGAGGCCATATCGAGCACACGTTCATTGGGTTGAGGAGCCAATGCCATGACAGGCAAGAAAGAAGAGGCGGCTTGGAGCATGTAATGGCCAGCAAGGTATTCGGGTGTAGCACCAATGGGGACACTACTGTCGAATACTTGGAGGCCGACCTTACTCCATTTACCAATGGGTTCGAGATTCACACCACGGTTGATCAAAGCTTGGGCGAGATCACGACGACGAGTCTTTAATGTGTTTGTACGGATAGTGACAGGACGAGGTACTTCGTTAGCTTCAAAGAATTCAATGGCTTCAGAGACAGGGAACAAGTTGAAGAGCTTTTCGGCCAAAAATTCAGAGTAACCATAGTAGCTGGAGATGTCCTTGATTAAACGGTCGACATAATCTTGACGATCACTGTTGGGATTACGAAGCTTTCTGAAATCGTTGAGTACATTGACAATTTCCTTGATACGCTGACTGACGACAGTAACATCAGCAACCAATTCATCCTCATCACCCTCGGGCAAAGTGTATCGTTCGTCTTCCTCCAATTCACTATCTTGATTTGCTTGTTCCAATAATTCGGCTTCGGCTTCAGCAGCTTCGCGAGCGGCACGAGCTTCGATCTTGCGAGATTTACGTTCATCAAGACCTTCACCCTATCATCAGCTAAATGTTAGTTTCTTTCCTGCCTGTAAATCATGCTTGATATTCAGCTTGTGTCATCGTACCTCTGCAATCTCATCGCTGTCATATTCATCCTCGTCCTCTGAGTCGTCTCCTGCTTGATCAAGATCCATTTCATCGACCTCTTCTTGTTCCTCTTCAGAATCAGAGCCGAGGAAGCCACCTTCAGCTTGAGGGAACACCTCTTGTGTCTCTTCTTCCTCTTCTTCCTCGACATCCTCATCATCTACAACTTGCTCATCGAGATCATTAACATCGAACTCATCATCCAAATCATCACTGTTCTCATCATCAGAAGCAACTTCAAGGTTGTCCCAAAGGTCTTCCTCAGGTTCCTCTTGAACAACAGCTTTCTTGGCCTTCTTGTTGGCCTTTTTGGGCTCTTCAGTGTGTTGACGTTTGTTGTTACCCTTCTTTTCAGCAGCAGCAGCCTTGGTCTTGTTGAGTCTGGCCTTTGCTCTCTTTGAGAGACCTTCAAATTTAGGCTTTTCGAGGGGCTCGGGAGCTCCTTGCTTGTTCTTTGCTTTGTGACCCATGGTGTATAGATGTGCTTTGAATTGATGTGTCTATGTATAAAGAAGGGGGAGATGTCTATTTTTTTTTCTGGACACAAAAGGCCTTCCTTCATTGCTTGGAGGTCACAAAAAAAAGGACGATGCCTTACGACTGTCAATCAGGTTTTTCGTGGCTTGTCTCCTTTATGCAAATCAAGGTTGCGGAACGTCAGTAAAGATCAACCTAAATGATCGAAACGTGTTATGGTTTGCCTCTGATAGGAACGCTGCCAAAAAATGCAATGTCATTTGATGTGATATCTATGATTTTATTACATGAACTATGGTTTGAGAGCACTAATTGCCTTGGAGAAGTATGTTCATATCAAGGCATGGCACCTTTCCATTTGGTAGAGTACCAATAGGACATGGAGTCCAATCTTCATACAGTTTCCAAGCAGAATCAGCTACACTTTCATCGTCAATGTCCATTTTGTCGTCTTGCTCATCTTGATTGACTTGTGATTTGCGTTGTTTTCTCTGTACATGATTAGGCTTGGTTTTGATATTTACAAGTTGTGTTTCTAATGCTTTCAATTCATCTTCAAGAGCTTGATCTTCTTGTTTATGAAGGGGAATATGTTGTGTCTTGGACTATCCGCATGAATGTGTGAGTGGGCAGCTTTATGGAAACGATGAATGCGTACCTTTTCGCCAATATATTTCATAATCATTTGATCAATGTATCTAATAAAGGGTTTGATGGAAGTGCCGAGTTCTGGGTCAATACTGACAATGGATTGCAATACAGATCTTGTGCTAATTACGTATGCAGTATTAGCATTGCTATGAAATTGACGCGATTTAGATCACTCACTAGTAATTTGGGTTTCGAAGACAACCTTCCAATATATCGTCCATGGAAATGTGTGTTAATGTGCGATTCTTGGATGATCCTTCAAATTCTTGAACAAAGTGCCTTAACCAGCAGGCTACAAAGGGGTTTAGTATCATACAATGCATCCCTATGTATTAAAACTTACTAATTGTTAGTAAATAGCTAGGTGCTTTGGTAGAATCTTCAGTGTTCTTGGTAGCCTATGCGAAGAATGAGCACATCAATGCATTTATGTCCTACAATCATAACTTACAAAGGCAGCGTAGGGGTTGAGCAAGATCTCATTGATCTCAAAATCTATTTTCAATGTTCAGTATACCAACAACAAAGTACACACACACACACACACACACACACACACCAGGCACTCTTACCATAATTTGTATCCAACTTGGCAATCATAGCAGAGATAATTTCTTCACTGAAATTGGGAAAACCGACATCCAAACCTTGAAGCAAAGGTGTCCACAGTTCAATCAAGCCCTTTGAAATGGTCATATCCTCTGCTGAAGCACGCTTCTTTTTACCCGTAGGCACAAGACCGCCTACACCCAACAACAAGGGGATGATATCTTCTCTAATCACATCATCGTCAATGATTTCCACCAAACCCTGAATACATGCAACATAGGCATCGGGATCCACCTTTTTGCCAGTGTATTTCTCTTTGATATACGTCTTTCTGCACTCCTTGTACTGGTTCAATTTAAGCTTGATCTCAGGGTTCTGCTGCATGGCTTGCTTTTGCTCGGCGCTTTTGATGTTGTGGATCCAATAATTGTCATGGAGCCAACCTACAGCTTGAAGGGCTCCATCTCTTAACACAGTGAGACTAGGCAAGCGTTCGTGTGTACTGGCATGACGCAGATCAACAAACCAAGAAGGCAAACCCATCATTCTGGCTAGCGTGTTGATGGATTTGGCGAATTTTCCCTTTTGCTCTCTGTCGACAAGACCATTGACGAAGCGAATGATGGCCATGGCGTACATGAGACGTAGTTCTTTATGTGACATGTGCTGACCGAGTTGCTCGTCTCTGATGATGATTTCGATGAATGCAGCCGTCATGTCTACTGAAGAAGGAATCTCTCCTCTGTTGTTCCACGTTTGAACCTATGTAAAATATACGCTTAATCGCAATGTTCAATGTGATCAAATAGCTGACATGAACACATACTCTGTCAATACCCAGCTTGACTTGGTCTAATTGAGTCTTTCTATCAGAAAAGAGCCATTTGTATACAGTCTCAAACTCTTCGTAATTGATCCAAGGCACAATACGAGTTTGCAGCATGTTTGGTTTCTATAATAATGGATAAAGATTATAAAAAAAATAAATGAACTTCAAATTAATCAAAAAGAGCATCCACATCCATAGCAAAGCCACTCAAGAAACAACGTCGTTTTGAAGCCAAAGCGCACTACTATCTGTGGAGCTCGTTTATGCGTTTATAAGAATAGAAATCACCAAATTTTTTCGCCCTTTTTCCTTAGTATATATCCCTATTTTAACATGTCCAAAAGAGCCAACGAAACGCAAGATCTTGTTTCTGAAAACAAGCGTAGTCGATCCTCTGCTGCCAAAGAGGGACATGCTGAAGACTGTACCGATGAATTATGCAAGGGATGCGATGTGGGTGAAGTAGAGATCTCCTTTGTTCGCAAAGACGCTGACGGCAAGCCAATTGACACAGAGCCCAGTGCTCAAGAGCTGTTGGCAATGGCCATTGATGAAGCAAGCAATGACAAGAACAATGACAATGAAGATGAAAACAACGGCATTGCTCGTCGCTTGTTTGATATGGCTATTGAGAAATACCAAAAGGATGAACCTGAAAATCATGTGGGCTACGCTACTTGCTTGGTTGAACTTGGCAAGGCTATTCAAGTCGAAGAGAGTATCAGCGAAGGTCTGGAAGTGCTCCGTGGTGAACTAAAGACCAAGAAGGACGATAAGGATGTCTTGTTGAAGGCTGCTGGTGCTGCTATTGCGCTTGCTACTTCAATGCGCAAAAAGCAACAGGCTTATTTTGATCAACAAGAGGCTGAATTGGAGAATGAGGATGAGATGGACGATGTCGCTTATGAGGAACTCATTCAAAAGCAGACACCCTCCAAGGAAGAAATCAAGTTGTACAAGGAAGCCATTGACCGCATCAACCAAGCTTTCACTGACATTGGCAAGGAAGATGAAGCTCTCTTGAAGGAAGCACAAACTGTCATGCACGAAATGAGAGGCTATGGTCAACTGCTCACACAACCCTTCCACGAGGAACACTCAAACGTTGTTCTCAATACGGTCATCAGCTTAATCCAAAAGCTGCCAGATTACGAAAAAGATGATGAGCTGTTGACATTATGGGCTGCTTGTCTTTTACACCAAGAAAAGTTCTTGGAGGATGAGGGACAGAAGCGTGACATTTTGAAAAAGGCTGACGACTTGTTGGTCAAATCCAACAAGCTATATTCGGCAAAGAACGGTAAAGAAAACCCTTGGGTGTGGGAGATGGTAAGCAATAAGGAAAACAAGAGGGGAAATGTTGATCTGGCAACTCATGTATTACTAGTATGCCATGCTCCGTATCAATCAATCAACACTGACTGAAGATGAGGACGCTGCTCTGGATCTGTATGACGAGGCTATTCTCGCCTTTAAGAAGGCATCTGCTTTAAGCCCTGGTAAGTCAATCGAACTTTCATATTTATGTCAGTAATGTTTAATGATGATGGCTCATCAGAAAACCCCAAACTCGCTGAGATGGTCACTATGCTTCAAAACATGCAAAAGTCATTGGAAGAGAATGAAGAAGATCCCGAGGAGGATGAGGGAAGCGAAAAATAAGCTGGCTGTTGTAGACAGCAAGATTAAACATACGTGTATTAGTGGTATATCGAAACAAATGTCCCTTTAATTAGAATAAATCTTTTGGCAGATGCTAACCATCATGTCGCCGATTCGAGACAATTAACTCAACCGAGGGACATGCATCATAAGAGAGAATGAATGTAATACCTTTGTACGTATATACCTTTAGAGAGTCATAAAAAGACCAAGTGATGTGAGGGCCTGAGAAGCAATCAACATATAGAGCTGTATGATAGATGCTGCCACCAAGGACATCCAGTTGCTAAAACGTGGTATGTGTCGCTGGTCCTAAACTAGGAACTCGAGGATCTATTTAAGAGAAAAGAGGTGAAACCGTTTTCAGTGTTCATACAGAGCTCCTTTTGTTTCTTCCTTTCCATCTAAACTACTTGTCGTAACCATACCAGTCAAAGAGAAATTATGCGAGGCCTCATCTGTGTAACATGGCTGCTCCTCACAGCCATGAATGTGCAAGCACAAGGCATCAAAGTAGCTGTGTTATCACCTACAGCGAATGAGGAGTTTTATCTTGGCGAGAAACTGTTCTTTGACTATGCCCCTTTGGATAGTAGTAGTAAGTCTATTGGTATTTTGTATGATTTCATGATCTCTCATCAAGGCTTGTCTTTTCAGTCAAGCAACTGAATATATTCATGGACAGTTTTGGGAAAATCAACTCTGAAGTTGCTATCAAATTAGTAGCAGACATTTCAAAGGCACCAAATGGGACTTATAATGCGAATGATCATACCTATAACAAATACTCGCTATATTATACAATCCCTGCAAGCTTGCCCATAGAAAATGAAGCTTTTCAGGTAAATAATCAAAGTCTGCCACCACCTTGAGAACAATACCATTGATGAAAAACGTGAAGTTAACCACTTGTTTGTACTATAAAGATTTCATTTGAAACATCGGAAGGCGACATTGTCATTCCCATCAAGATAAAAGCCCCATTGCCAGCCACGACAACAAGTGCTCAGGTATCAACGAGTGTTGCCGTACATGTAACCGAGATCATTTTGCCAACAACCACGGTTACTGCAAACAGCACCACTGTGATTCACACAGCCTCGCCTCTAGACATGGTCACCAGGTCAGCGTTATTAAACAGTGTAACATCGATGATGAGCACCGCAACACATTCAAGTGCTACTCCTGCTACTCCTGCTGCATCATCCTCACAGACCCCGGTATCATCTGTATCAAATATAAGCACATCATCATTCCCTCAACCCGTTTCTTCTTCTTCTTTCTCTCCTACTTTATCCCTCTCTCTTAATCCATCCACATCTTCCGCATCTTGGACTGGACTATTCTCAGCAAGTCTAATAGCAAGCACCACACCTATACCACCTGATCCCGAAAGCTTCATGCAATCCTCTGCTGCTAGAAATTACATGCAAAACAGTGAATTTTCATTCATTGCTGCAACGTTGCTTGCATTACTGTTGGTGCGATTGTTACTGGTTTAATTATCATCCTCATCAGCAAGCCCCTATTTTTTCACATCCTTTATTGAATATCACATCATTCCAAATTCATTGTATCATTAAAAGAAGGACGTCGTGGCTATTAAGCATGTAGTCACCATGTTATTTGTCATGCTCTGATAATGTCTAATGTCATATGTTTATAATAAAGCTCTCTGTAGCACTTGAATGCAACCGATGTTCAATTTTGCCACGCCTTATCATTTTAAGGTTTGACATATTCCCAAAAAGTCAATTGTGCACAGGTAAATTACTATTATTACACTTTGGATATCTTGTCAAATGGCAATGAGAACGTGCAAATAGGTGTAATGACCTAGCAATTGAATAAAGAAGATACAAGGCTTTTTTTTTAAAAAAAAGGTATCATGCTTGTGGTTATTAATGAAATACTAGTAAGACAAGTAGAGAAGAGTCCAATGTAAACTCTCAAATGCCAACCTTTGAAGTCAAGTGTTGGGTATATAGAGAATTGAAAAAGAAACAGAAGCTATTAAGCTTTAAGCTCACGTTCACTTGATAAAATCCAGCGGTACGGCCCTTTGAAAATGAGCCATTTTCTTTATTTTCTCTCAGTACTCATCCACATTACCATCAATAACCCCACATTAAACACGCCCTAATCAAAAAATGTACCCTGTACAACTTTTATTATTACACATACAGCCTACATTTATATAGTAATCTAAAAACTTTTACTAGCAGCATCTATTCAAAATTAGCCATTTTCAAAAATCATCAATTTCTCAACAACCATGCTACTTACATAGATTTGGCTTGCACCATCTTATTTTAGGCAGAAAACTGGTATAGAAACATGCTAGTCTCAAGGCTCTAGCATCAATATTTAGAAAATCGATTTTCGATCGCATCGTCCAAAAGTTGAAAACCTCAAAATCAAAAAACATTTTGTAAATCCAGGTTTTCATAGGTAAAAAAAAAATTAAAATCTCATAAAACTGAAATATGTTGTAGAATAATGATATTGGAGCAATTTCTAATTGGGAACATTATATTGGAAGTGCCTGCTTCCTGAAATAATTGACATTGGAGGTGCTATTTTTAAGCGGGGGGAACAAACATATTTTAAATTGGAAAAGTTATTATTCCTGAAGAAAGCAAGCTACAATTGTCTAGTCGATTTTCCAACATGTCAAGTATCTATTGATAACTTGAAACTAACAAGTTAACATGGCCCTTCTCGTACGCTCCGATTTTAAAAATGCTCGGTCAAATGCATACTTGTGTGATGTACATATGCAAAGGTTAAACGGAGATTCAATTTCTATTGTTCTGAATGACGATCCATGGGATTCCGAAATTTATCGACCTTAAAATTACGCGTTTCTTGGTAGTAAAGACCACTTCAAACTTGTATAAAACTTGTGAAGAATTGCCAAGAGAACACAACGTTGTCTATATCAAGTGTCTGATGTACATTGTTCAACTGATATTTGATACGATAGTTTTTGCGATTTTTTGACTGTTTTCTAAAGATGAATCAGTATCTGTCATCAAAACATTTTGTTAAGCATTACTAAACATTGTAGACCAAAAAATTTTCTATCGAATGAGCCTTTGCTCGAAGCTCTAGCACCATTCTATCATGAAATATTGACAATATTGTCCTGACCAAAAAAAAGGTCAACGAATTTTTCCCTTGCTTTCCACAGGCAGATTTTGAGGAAAAATCGATGACTTTGCACGATACCCTTTTTTGGCGGTATCTCGACAAATACTCACCGGATTCGCACAAGACAAAAACCATTCGATAGCTTTACATAATATCCATTGTAATATAAACGCTTTAGGTGTCAGATGATAGGAACCATGTGTGGAGTAGCGTGCCTCTGTAATTTTCTGGAGATTTCTTCTGGTTCGTTTTTTCATCATCATCATCACCATCATCATATTTATTATTTATGCATTCTAGGCAGAAACAAGGTTATTATTTGAAAAACGAAATAGTAGGGGAAAAAAAAAGGGTAGTTGTATTCGATACAAACTAATTTATTATCGTCGAGGGTATCCTGACGAGTTGCGATGATTATTCAAAACCAAATGGAACAGTGCTTGTGTATCAGGCTTTTGGCTGTGAGACATACACACATGAATAATGGGTCTTTCTCCGCCACCGTTGTAATAAGCCAAGCGAATGTTTTCACCAGAGATGATTTGAACCAGTTCACCCTATTACACATTGATTAACCTCTAGCTCTGTCTCTCTGTCTCTCCAACTATATACTACTTACTGTGTCTACATGTCTTATTTCGATAAAGTATGGATCAATGGCAATGATATAGGGATGTTCATATACAATATGAGCAGGTGTGCCTTCCCAATCACAAACAGTAGCAGGTCTATGTAGAATTAGTATGTGTGGTGCGTCATGTCGATGTATCTACTTACTTTCTCTTATCTGCTCTTGGTACTAGAGAGCCGTTTCTGTTGTTGACATAGAAGGCAAACTTGTCATAACAGAGCAAAAATTTGTCGTTAATACGGTACATGGCCAAAGGCTTCAGGGGCTCTTGATGGCGAGTGACAAAGTAGAATTCAGGGTCTTCAGAATCAGGGATATCACGGCCTACAGTCAAATTTTCGGGATCTATGACCTCAAAACCTCTCTCGCACACAATGTTCAATTTGGCCTTCAAGAAATGGATATTGCTTGCTTCAGCGCCAATGTAAAAGTCCTGTGCTTACTTGTTAGCTCCCACTGAACCCTTGAACCCACGACTAATACTCACCTTGTACTTTTTGAACCATCTCAGATAATCAGGCCTGTTGCTAAAGATGGAAGGTCGATGCGTCAACAATTTTTCGTTCTTGGGATCACGCAAATCACAGAAAGGCTCCAATGCCGTAAACACGCTGGTGGTGTTCTTCTTTTTCTTGAAAACAAGCATATCACGACCATTGCAAAAACCGATTTGGAAAAAGTTGACATGCTGAGCAATTTCAACCTCGATACGATCAATGGCTCTAGTGTTACTCTTTGAATCCAAAGCGTCCACTGGATAAGCACGCAATGCCTTTTCAGTCAAGACAATCAGGATGTGGTACTTTTCCATGATGGCCAGTTGGATGACACTTTCACACTGAATAATACGACGCACAGAATTGTCTTGTCCCTCCGTCTTAAAAAAGACACCGTTGTCAGTACCAATAGCAATCTTCTTTTCGTTTCTCGAGGATACAAAGGGCACGGAACAGTTGACGCGAGTGGTTGTGCCGCTGGATTGACCGGAACCAATGTTTCTAAAATTGACATCATCCAAGGGACGCAACTCAAAGACATCTGCATCGCCTTGACGCTTTCTCAGCGAAGCCTTGGCATCATCAATGGCTTTTGTCCACACTTGTTTCTCTTCCAAAGATGAGCAAAAGAATGGATAAACGGCACCACCACGAGAACCCAAATGATGCAAGATCAACGCTACTTGGCCACCAGGGATAGTATATGAAGTTGCAGTGCCAGACATTTGGTACTTGACATTGGCTGCATTGTTCTGAACCACCAGCATCTGCAACGGAATAGGCTTTTTCCAGATACGATACTCTTCGCCCGTATTCGTCTTTCGAAGCTTGGTCATGAGCAACATGTGATCAAACACAAAGGCATAAATGTCATTCTTATCAGCCACGTCCAAGGAGCCGCTACGACGTTTCAACGTGCCCTTGTGGTAGATGCGACGGTTGGGATCGCTCAACTGCAGCTCATGGTATTCGCCTTGCTTGAATGTAATGCTGTCACGGATATGCAAGATGGCCAGACGCTTCTTGATGTGGTTTGCTGTGTTGTCAGCCTTGTGAGCCACGGATTTGATAATCTCGTAACTGCGGGTCAAAAAGACATGGTCAGGATGATCTTGAGGCGTCTTTTTCAGCAGAGCCTCAATCAGCAAGGGATAGCGTTGCATACGTGTGACGGGACTAAGCAAATAATGCCAAATGGGTAAACGGTTGGTTCTTTCGTGTTTGGCAATTTCCTTTGTAAACTTTTCAAATTCGGGATTCTTCTTGATCTCTGCTTCAGCCAAGTATTTTGCCAACAGTGCTTGAGGACTGTACTTGACATAAGCCTCTTCAAAGAACTGCATGTGCTGAACAAGGATATCACCAATCGTAGGCACACATTCTTTTTCATATTGATGGTAGCGGGCCAGCATGTCCTTGAACATGGCTTCACTCATCTGCAGCAGCTCTTGGTAATTGTTGAAGACGGTGTTGATGAACGCACCCACACGATCCGCTTCGATGGCTCCAGATTGCTCAATACCTTTGACAATCACCTCTTGCAAAATTCTCAAATCAGCCAAATACTTTTCTTCAGAATAGATGGTTTCGTTGAGCACTTCTTGTCTTCCAATTTCCCTTTTATCCAATGTCAGCAAGAACTCTCTGTCCATTCTAGCAGACCAAGCTTCATGCGAGACCAACTAGAAACCCCTGGATGTTAGCGGGCGAAATAGAGCTTGATCAAACAGTAACTTACCCAACCGCCAGCTGGAGACGAGCTTGTTGTCTTGTCCGCTGCATCATGAGACACAGTAGTTTGCGCCTTGTTGTTGACGATAAAGTCTTTGCCCACGTTGGGACAAGAGTAGGAATAACAACCACCAAGTCCAGGACGACATGCTACACTGTAACAGGGCGTCAAACTAGAAATCACACCTTCAGGCACATTCTGTTCAGTGATGTCTTCTTCCAAAAAGTACGTGTCTTCTGCATTGACCGAATTAGAGATCAGTGATTTCTGAGAGTACTGCGTTGGAGAGAACAAGGGAGGCTGGCTTTGCATCAATACATTGCACACCAAAATGCAGTAATCGTCAGGCACTTGTTCCTTGAGCAGGTTGCGGATAATGGTGACAGCCTCAGATCCGGTGAAGGACTCATTATATTCACTAGCACACCACAATTCTCGCACGTTTTCCAAGCCCTTGACATTTCGCATGAATGCAACAGATAAGACGGATACAAGGCCATAGTTGGGTTCGAGGATAACTTCTTTTGGAGTCTCTTCCAGGGTGGGTACTGCTGCTGCTGCTGCTGCTGCTGCTGCTGCTGTTGATGATGTAGTGCCAACAGGCACCACTTGAACGTCTTGGGAAAACTCAGGTTGAGTGGATGGTGGCGATGGCGTTTGAGGCTGTTGTTCAACAGGCTGATAATCCTGTTTGGCAGGAGGATACATGTAGTAGCTGGATGGATCAATGTATTGCGTGCCTGAGCTCTGCTGCTGCTGCTGCTGCTGCTGTTGAGGCTCATGGTGCTGCTCTGGCTGAGGCTGATGGTACGATTGCTTTTGTTGGTATTCTTGAATGACAGAAGCACTGGGCGTGGTTGTAGCAGGAGAGTACTCATTGGCATGGTGCTGTTCCGTAAAATACTGCTCTTCATCACTATCCGTATCAGGTGACACAGGCACAAACGGCATTTCCCCATCATTTCCAAGCCCATCTGTATTAATTGAATCAGGCAAATAGCTGTAACGAGGACGCTCAATCGTCATGATCATATTATTGCGCAGAGCAGAGGGCTGTCTACGACTGGGCTGTTCCAGTGTCTGCTGTTGCTGGAGAGGCACAGTCGTTGGATTAGGTCTAAACCCACCTACATTAGCTGGCGGATAAACAGGCGGAGGCGTGTCCATTGTCGAGGGAGTAGAGACGAGTGACGATACATCCGATACGTGGTTGGTAAAATTAGGTCTGTAAGAATTATTGATGATTTCTTGAGTGGCATCAGGGTAACCGAGGGGAGGATATACTTGTTGATGTTGTGGAGGAGGCGATCCAGGTGGCGTGCCTTGGCTTGGGTTGCGCTGGTGCTGATGGTATTGAAGTGGAGGATATGGAGCACTCTCGATACTGCCACCGGATGCGTGTCTCTGATGATGTTGATAGTGAGGTACAGGCATGGGGATGTTTTGCTGGTATGTTGGGTCGATGAAACTGGTACTGTAGCTGTTGTTGTTATTGTGGTCAATAGGAGGATACGTTGAAGTTGTCTCTGCAGTAACCGAAGACACCCTTTGAGGTAGAGGCGTGGGTGGCAATGGGTGATTTGATGGATAGGTGTTGGAGGAAGAAGGAGGAGGGTAACCATAGTTATTGTCAGGAGTACTGTTGCTATGGCTATTATGATAGTAGTATTTGTTTGAACCTTCCATCGTGCTGTTGTTTCCCAAATAGCCGCTACTTTCATTGCGAGGCGGAAGTTGTGGAGGAGGACCAAGGTTGCTATTGTACTGCTGCTGTTGCTGCTGTTGATTATAATTGAAATAGTTGCTCTACACAACAAAGCTTATAAGCGAATGACCATTTCTCCTATTACAAACTATACCTACACTATTGTAATCATAGACACCTGAGCGAGAAGTGTGGGGTTGAGGTCCGACTAACGAGTTTAACATGGCTTCTACTTCATCTTGCGCACTGGGCGTGCCATGTCCTCCACCTTCATAATAGTGTTGCTGTTGATGAGACATTGAGTCTATCCTCTTTTTGATATTTTCTAGTGTGGATATAAGAAAAGGAAATGGGAAAAAGAGGGCTTGAATAGATTATTGCTGAAAACGAGATTTATAGAGGTTAAATTTAGATTCTCATTTGGGGTTTGTAGCTCAGATGAAATCCGTTTCTAATTAATATCTTGAAATCAAGCGCATTTCCACTGGAAAAAAAAAAGGGCGTAGAGATGTATATAATTCACAGGACTCTGCCTTCATAGCAACTCCCTCCTTCTTTCTGTAAAATGCAGCGGCTGTTTTCGTTATCGGATGACGACGATGCATGATAAAAAAAAAAAATAAAAAATAAAAAAAAGGGATGATACCAGTGATCAGGGCCATTCAAAGAGTTGGATTGTTTGCGCGCGCACAGTCTACCTCTTCTCAGCAGAATTGAGATCATTGCAACTCGTTTGTTATAGGTGTGATGCGAAGAACATATATTTTGAAATAAGGGAGTGAAATAGAGGGAGGGAGGGAGGTGGCATACATGTAGACAAAAGTGAATGTAGTGAATGAAAGTGGTATCATTGAATAGCGAAATCATAACAAGTAGAGAATGAAAAAGTTAGACAGCTACCCCTTGTTGCTGGGATGGCTGCTGGCTATTGCTATCCGTCTTCTTTGCTGCCAGTGTCTTTGCATAACGAAGACCACAAGCATTACATAATTCCTTGGGCCCATTGGGTCCCTTTCTCCATTCAGGCGAATCCGTGCTTTGACATTGGGTACACATCTTTGAGATTTCAGTGGTTTCAGCAGCCTTCTTCTTCTTTTGCTATAAACAGAAAGTTAGTCTTTTGAATGCCATCATTGTTTTGTTTAGTGTTACCTTTCTGCGCTTGGGGTTGGCGTAATTTTCAAGCTGCTCCTTCAATTTACGGTTTGCCAATTGCAGCTGATGAAGCTCGTATTGCCAGGAAGTACCTCTGACAGTTTCCAATTCGGCAAACACGTTTTCATCGTTGTCCGAGGGAGTATCAACGATAGATTCCAAGACGGGAGTGTCACCTGTAGAGGCGCTTTCTTTGGCTCTGATCTGAACGAGTGCAAATGAGGGACGGCCTACACCAAAAGAGACATCACCAGGATAAAAGGTGGAAAAGACGGGAATGTAATCGCCCTTGTTGTTTTGCATGGTATGGTGCAAGTTGACGATACGACCTTCCTTGACGAGCTCCAAAGCACGAGTAATATCACGCACATTGTTATCATCTACATACTGGTAGATGGCAGCACCTTCCAAGGCGTCCGCAGAGAAACCAACAACCTCTTCACTGGTGGGTGTCACATGCAAAAAGAGACCAGTCAAGGTAGCCTTTGTCCAGAACTCAGGGCCAGAAGTGATTTCAGTAGCATGCACAATTTCCTTGCGCACCAATTCATACATGGGTCTTTCACGTCCAGCCAAGATAAGACACTTGCGACCTTTGCTTTGATCAACATGAATTTTACCTTGACACTCCATCCACATGTAACCAGAGTATTTACGACGTACACGGAAGATGAGATTGACGACCTTATCTGCGTTGCTAGCTGCTTCCTTAATTTCACGCATCACAGGTACGATATCAGAGGGATGGCAGATGGAGGACAAGGGATGACCAACCAACTCCTCGGGGTCATGTTCCAACAGATGAGAGGAAGAGCGAGAGCAGTACAAGAAGAAACCCTTCAAGGAGAGCACATGGATAAAGTCCTCCGATTGATCCAGTAACAGCTTGTTCCATTCTTGTTGCAATTGCTGTTCGTTATCACCAGCACAGTTGACGAGTTCCAGGATTTCAGGAGAAGCCAGTGTGGAAGATGCAGGAGCAGTGGTAGGCAACTCTCGGAAATAGTCATCAACAGGTTCGGAACTGAAGCCTAAATGTGGGTCAAGTCAGTGTCTATATACAGTGTGTGTGTGTGTGTGTGCTGAGGCTGCTACTTACTGCTACCAGGAATGTAAGGTGGGATGTTCATTTGTTGATAGTTGACCATATAGGTACCATCTATAGGAATATATCAGTCAGATGTATGCATCAATGAAACCTTGGGCTTGTGTGTGTGTGTGTGTGTGTGTGTGTGTGTGTGTGTATGCATACCTTTCATCTTTTCCAAAATAGCATTGGGTTGCTCTACAAGATCAACCTGCAAACCGACAAAAAAAGCGACTTCGTTGTTGTCATTGCAAATAGGGATGACAGTGATGAGATTGACAAATGGCTGACCGCCCTTTCTGTAATTGATGATGGAGGCTTGATGTTCTCTGTTTTGCAACATTTGAGCCTTCAAGTGATACACAGCCTGGTTGTCAGTGTAGGTACGGCGAGAGCCACAAGTAACTTGACCATCAGGAGCCTGCAAGAAACGACAGTTGCGACCGACGATTTCATTAGCCAGATAGCCTGTCAAATGTTCAAAAGTGGGAGAGCAATAGACAATGGGACAATCGTATTGACGAGCATCTGTAACCAAAAACGAACATGACATGTCGATGGGGCCCAAATTGATTTGAGGGTTAGGTCTGTTGACGAGCTTGGATAACACACCCACGAAATCAAAGCCTGAGCTAGAGTAGACACCCGTTAATGGGGCTTCTGATGTCTGTCCTACTTCCACAGGAGCCAAGTCCATGGTGGGGATCTCTGTCAATTGCTGGTCATTCACAGCAGGTTGCGTCAACCCAGGAATATTGAATTCGCTAGCTGTAGCAGTTTGCTGCTGCTGTTGATGATATTGAGCCATTTTGATTGAAGAGTAAAAATGGAAGAAAAGAAGAGGCAGTACAGAAATGAGGTTGGTTCTTTTTATACACCCGAAGAAAAAGAACAGCATCCTTTTTTGATTGATAGTAGGTATGATTGGCTGCGATCTACGTTTTGGATGGTATACGAGTAGTTGGGTTTCCCTTGAATTTTGGGACTAAATAATTTTTCCCATATAAACAATTTGCTCTCGATGTAGGCTTCCCCTTTTTTCTTGATGGCCCATACACACGCACACACACACACACACACCACGTAAATCCTTTCAAATCAACTCCATAGATTTAAGGAGACAGCTTAAAAATAAGCTTATATGGCTTCCCCCCCCTTGCGGATACATCTTGCTTTGCACTTTTTCATTCAAGGCAATCAAATAACAAGATCGCAATGTGAATTTACGCTAGTCTTGTATCGCCATGATATATAGGAAAGATTCTTCTAGATCAAAAACATGGCATGACAACGCCGCCGTGCTCCCATGTATGCAAGTTTTTACATGCTTGAGATGGACTGACACGAAAACGCACCGAGAAACCGATATTCAGGGGGTAAATAAAAGGGGGGAATAAGGTCAAATCTCTAAAGGAGAAATTATGCAATACAATGGTAACTGTATATACACATGCACACAAGAGATAATGTGGGGTTGTTTTTGAATCAAGTGTAATACAAACATATCAAGGAGTTGCCATCAAAGTATCACACAGTTCTCTTTCTACGTGATTGAATATTCAATCCACATTTGATCTGCACAACAAGGACTCGAACACGGGACAATGGACTATTATCCGGTAGAGAAACCTGTTAGGGTTTATGCGCCACAGAAAATCACATAGACTTGTCATGTATACAACAACAACAGCAACAACAACAAAAAGGCCAACTCAATGTACACACACTGATCCAACTTTATTGACTGCCGTCCCATATCAAATTTGTCATAAAAGAAACATTACACAGCACGTCGAAGCTTCTACTGTGTTTGTCAAAATACAGTTACTAACATGATGGATGAGAGAACCGGGGCTATTTATCAAGACGGGAAGATGGCATGAATCGGGTTGTTTGTTGTTGTGTAATGTGGTTTCAATCAAGTTTTTTATATATCTCTTTGGTGCAGTAAATTGACACGGATGATGCTTTTTGTTGTGTAATGTGCCTGAATATCAACTCATCCCAGCCAGGGCTGAAGCCTTGGATCGATAGCAGCGGGTTGCTATCATCTTGAGTTGTCCGAATAGGAGAGACGACTCTAAACCCAAGCTCCATGCTTTCGCGTCTTCTTCTCTCCCCCCCCCATCCGTTCTCCTATAGTTGAGATACCCGAGCATTCTAGATTTTCGCCATAAAAGTAAATGTGGTAGGGCTTTTTGGTTCATATCTTGTACATGTGTATCTATTACAAAACATCATCAACACTGCGTGTACTAACCTACATGATGTACTTGGTTTAAAATAATTTTAATGAAAAAAAATATAAAAAAAGTTGGATATATGATGATAAGAGCGAAATAAACAAGGTATCTGTTGTATATAATGTTGATAATGTTGTTGCCGTCAGGATTCATTATCAAGGGGAGGACTTGCCAAATAGAAAAAAAGAAAAAAAGGGAGATAATTCTTTAATGAGCAATCTCATCATATAGCATTTCTGCATTATCTTTAGTGAGTCCACTGCCTTCTCTCTTTTTCATTACAAAAAAAAAAACTTACGCTTCAGTTGCTCTTTGGTAAGTTGATCCTTGTATCTATCAAAATCGAAAAAGCTTTCGGGAATTGGTGGAGCATCGGGCTAACAGGATAAATTAGGTTAGGCATCTGTGTTGACACATGTTTGCTGTTGCTGGCTTACCTCATCATCAGGATCATGATACTTGACATTATCAGAAAGTTAGTATCGGCCGCATAAACACACACCAGGAAAACTTACTGGCTCCAAGTAGGGGTGCTTCAATGCTTCTTCCACTGTGGTACGTTTTGTAGGATTGAATGTCAATAGTTTTTCAAGCAAATCGACAGCTATCAGGACAGTAAATATCGCTGGTGGGATCATCATACAACAGCGCTTGCTTACCCATGGGATTTGCGTTTGGGAATAATCGTGCGAATGGAATTCTCTTTTTGAAAGGTAAGCTACGGATGTAATCGCGCGCTCTACGACTTTTGATACCATAAAAGTCGTCCATGGTAGGTGTACCGAGCACATCGAGGATCAATGTTAATTGATGATGATAATCTCTGCCTGGAAATAGTGGTTTTCCGCTCAGCATTTCAGCCAAAATACATCCAACGGACCACACATCAATTGCTTTGGTGTATTCCTTGAATGTCAACATAATCTCGGGTGCTCTGTACCATCTTGTTGCAACCTACTTGGGGTGTGAGGAGCATGGACACTACGGCATAGCAACACATGTCACCTACATATTCTGTCATAAACCCACTATTTTCATCAGCCGAATTAGCAGATCTTGCTAAACCCAAATCGCAAATCTACACAACACTCGCAATCAGGCCACTTGTCTCCAACCACAATAGTAGCTTATTCTATCCTTTACCTTTAAATCACAATTAGCGTTCAACAACAAATTGGATGGCTTTAAATCACGATGAAGCACATTGGCAGAATGCATTGCTTTCAAGGCACGCAGTGTTTGATAGGTGAAATATTGACAATGATCGTCCGAGAGATCTTGCGTACGAATCACACGATGCATATCTGTCTCCATCAATTCTTGAATAAGATATCTAGTGCAACACCCATCAATTCTCTGTTGCTTTACTCATTTCGTTCCCCTCCTTCCCCCCCCCCACACCCCTATGTCCACAAAAACTTACACTTCAGTGAAATCCTCAATCGACTTTGGCTTCATGATATCAAGAATAGAGATAATCTACACATACGTGTTGGTCAGGGGGGGGGGGTGTATGTGGCTATTGCCATGATGTCCGTACGAAGAGGAAAAAAAAAAACTTACATTTTCATGATTGAAATACTTGAGCAACTTGATTTCACGCAAGGTTCTTAGACAGAACATGGCATGATCAAAAGGCAAGATACGTTTGATGGCAACCATTTGTCCAGTTGGCTTATGGACGGCAGAACTACATTACATGTCAGAACAAAGTGATTTGATAGACTGCAGCTCTTTCTTACCAAACAACACCATAAGCACCTTCACCCACAATATCAATCACATCATATTGATCACCGCCGTTGAAATGCTTCAAACGAGAAGCTATTTCGTCTCTACGTGTTAAAGCCATGTCTTTCTAGTGCGTTGTAAAAGTAAAAAGAGAAAGTGGAAAAAAAGAAAAAAAAAAAAAAGGAGGTTTGATTACGATGGTAATAAATGAGACGATGCAGCAGTAAATGTGTGTGTGTGTGTGTGGGTGTAAATCATATATTAATCGTATTGGCTGTGTGTGAAGAATACCAGATTTTGAAAAGACGCCTTGTCACTAATTGGCTATCCTCAAATTGATGGATGCAAAAGGTTTTAAAGAACGAAATGAAGGGATGTGGAAGAAGCAAGGATGTATTTCTGTTCTGTCAAGAAAACAATGAATATAAAAGCATGTCCCATGTCTCGAGAAAGTGGGCGTGTGAGAGGAAAAGAGAAGCAGATGTGTGTGCCTGTACCTGAGCTGCCATGCTTTTACTATTGTAATCTGTTGTCAAATTTTTAAAACAGCTGTCATCATCAGGTCATGAGTGGTAGCGTTTCCCCCCCCCCCTAGATTGTATACAGTTCAGGATAATTTCAGAAAAAGGTGTTATCTCCATGAAGAAATCGAAGCGTGTATCTCGGGTTTGACGACGGGCCTAGACTTTGTCATTTGGCAATGCTTAAATTGGATTTCGATTGCAATTCTCTTGATGGAAATTGATAAAATCCACGTTTTACACATCGGAGCTAAATCATGATCCGTCAACTTCTAAACGAACAACATCTAGAGTTATGAGAAAACAGCATGGCAGAGTCTTTACTTGTTGTGATAGACTTTAGATGGTAGTAATAGATGTGTTAAATTGGATAGCTGGGCCTTGATCCACTTAAACATTCGAGCAATTAAACACGATTGATACTACTGGTGTCCTCCCCCCCCCGAAAGGCATCAGGAATGCCATTTGTCACTGCACCATGATGTGCTATAGGTATGCGCCTTCATACAGGATTGTGCTTGATCGAGTTGTTTTGCAAATCCATTGTCTATTTCAGAGTGTACAATGTCTTTGATAGCAAGGACACCAATCCACAAGTTGAAATGTGCGTTATCCTACCAATATAACTAAAATTTCACTTTTTAATCTGTCATTGTCACTACTAGTAATTGTGAATTTGACTCTCATACAATACTCCATATCAGTATCAACCGAAACAATTTATTTTTGGGTCACCAGAGTACTTGTATTACCTCTTACTGCTCACAAATATGCAAAATACAGCAAAATTTGTACGAATTTAAGCTGTAATTTCTCGTGTGAGAAGCCGTTTTGGACTGCCGGAACAACGCCAAATAATCTTTCTCATCCAGCAGTTATTTTCTGACACCTTTGCTCAACTTTTTGGGGATCATCAAAAATTGACCAAAAACCCATGAGGAATACCTCATGGATTTCATCAAAAATCAAACGATCGCGTTTTTGACCTTGATAATGAAGACTTGTACTATAGTATATATCGAATCAAAATGTTTCTCTCGATCCAACGCAACCGCTGAATTCACTTTTATGAAATTTTGATATGCAAAATCTTGACATTTTTGCCAAAATAGCTATTTCACATTTTTACTAATTGCCCTAGAAGCTCCTTCAAAACATCTTATCGCAACTAGTACCATTAGATGCGCCTTGAAAAGCATCAAAAGGAAGCTTAAGCAAGTATGGGATGATCATCTCGATTTATATAGTCGAACATCGCAAAAGAGTTTAATCAAGTCGTTTTTGAACAGAATCTGTCCAATCTTGGACACAAGAAAAATATTCGGAGATTGAATGCGGTTTCGCTAGCCAAATGCATTTCTTGTGGCTACAATCGATGGTTTTGAAGCAGATAAGAAGGAAAGTGTCAATTGAAAAGCGCCATAGCATAGCTTAGATACTATTGTTTGCTCTTATTGCCGAAAATTTAAGATGAAAGAATGAATCGTAGTCAATCTCTCAACTAAATGCGAATCTCTCGTTCAAATTGCATGTCTGACCCATCTCTCATGATGAGAGGCTTGATTTCTAATGCAATCCGGTCCGGATATTACAGCGATTTCTCTGGAAGCAACCAGAAAGAAAAAAAAATATTTATATAAGCGAGACAAGAAATTTTTCTCCCCTCTTTCATTCGATTCACACATATTCAACATGGAAAAGTTACTTCAATGGGCCGTCAACAACAGTGACAACAGCGCTTTAGCTGAACAAGCTGCCGCCATTCGCCGTGGCGAAGCTCAACCTGATCCCAAGAGATATGATCCCAAGGTACTTGAAGCCATCTTGGGTAAAGATGATGCTACTCGTATGAAAGGTATGTTGAAGACAGATACACACGATAGTGTGCTCATGTTAATGCATAGATGCTGTTGCATGTATCAGCGACCCAGAGGATACAATTGAAAACAAGGAAATTGCGCTCGACAACTTGGAGCTACTCATTGAGGGCATCGATAACGCTCGTAACATTGAAAATATGAAGTTATGGCCTGCCATCATTAAACAATTGGATCATGAAGCACCTGAAGTGCGTAAGGGAACTGCTTGGGTGTGTGGTACTGCCGTGCAAAACAACCCTGAAGCACAAAAAGCTGTAAGTAGTTGAAGTGTTATTGGAGTGTACCATGGCCATGTATTGATTATACACCATAGTTTATGGATAACAACGGTTTAGAGCCTCTCGTGAAACTATTGAAAGACGAGGACAAGTCTGTTCGCAACAAGGCACAGTACGCTATTTCTGGTTTCTTGAAGCATCATCAAGCTGGCGTAGAGGCATTTGACAAATTAAACGGTTTCGAGAGCTTGCATGATATTTTGAAAAACTGTCAAGATGCAACCATGTTGAGAAAGGTCGTGTTCTTGTACAACAGTCTGGTATTTGATGATGCTGCTGGACTAACAGAACGTTTGGTCAAGGATGGTACTTTGGAAGATTTGGAAAAGGTGCTTGTCAAGTATACCAAGGAAGAAGAGGATGAGGATATGGTGGAGAAAGCATTGCGTACTATCCATACCATTATCACCAAGAGCAAAATCACCCCCTCAAGTGAATTGAAGGAACAGTGCAAGGCCGCTCAAGAGAAATATGGTGCTGAGCACTTGGGCTTGACTGATTCAGAGTGGAAGGACTTGTTATAAATAGTAGCTTTCAAATAAAGTGTATGTAAATATTTTATAGATTTAGAATGAAATGCTTGGTCTATGTGCATTACTGCTAAAAAAAAACGCATTTTTGATAATATTCCAGAAGAGATTGGCCGTTTATAGTGCTTTCGACAGTGATTGTCAGTGATGAAGTAATTCATCTGCTGCTCAACTTGATACACACATCAAATGTTACTGCAGGTAGTTGTTGCTATGTGACGCCCAAGCTCATTTCGTGTGTAAGCATTTTTGAATGCAAGCATGAAGGCATAACGCGCCAGAAAGGTCAATGCATTTTACATTGGCAAGTGTTACGCTTGGCAACTGGCGCTTGGTATTTTATAAACGTCCCAATCGTTGATTTTGAAGGATTTCAAGTCGTCTTTGCTTGAAATGATTGCTCTGTGATCTTAAACTCTCATCTGCTCATTCTATCCATGTTTGGGATGAACACAAGCCATATTGTGCAATAGCCATGTCAAGAGAATCTTCCATCAGAGATGCGATGTTTGTTTCAAAGAAGATTGAGAAACAGCACATTTCGATTAACATGTTTGCTAAACTTGTTCATGTGCTTATACAGGGTATAAATGAGATTGTCGCATTGATTATTTAATCTTTGTAATATACTGTATGTTTGAAAGCTCCTTTTCAAAAAAAAAAAAAAAAAAAAAAAAAAAAAAAAAAAAAAAAAGCTGCCTCTGTGCAAACCTGGAAAATCGAATGATAATAAAAGCTTATACATCATATAGTAGTAAGCGACCATAGAATTTCGATTTTTGAAACTTTCTGCTATATTTCGCATTGATTTGCTAATGAAACATCTCCCATTGATTGATGATGATAATGATGGCATTGCTCTGCTCTCAAAAAAAGATGTAGAGATTCTTCCTTTTATTATTCAAATCAGGGCTATTTTTTTTTTTTTTTTTTTTTTTTTTTATAATCTAAATGCAAAAGAGGAATAGTATATTTAAACAAAAAGGGGGAAAATAAAACTACATGAATATATATTACATAACGTGTTTGTTGTTTTGACGCTCTCTGGCTCTGAGCACCTTTCGTTCAGCAGGCGGAACAACAGTGCCCTCTTCCGTGAACCAAAAATGAGTAGCAAATTTCAGCCTTAGCTCGTTTACAAGAAGGGAACCGCCAGCATTTCTTCTCTCTTCAGTGGTCTCGTCTTCATCATGACTCCAGTCTATCGTTTCGTCCCAGAGGCCTTGACTGAGGCCTTGTATGAATTCGTCCCATTCGTTGTTTGTGAATGTCAAGTGCAGTTTTGAGCCACTGAGTTCCTTGGTCATGAGCAGTATACCTTGTCCAACAACATTGGTGAGTTGCATGATACGTTCTCCCACCATGATGTTTCTACGGAAAGCAGCCCAATTGGTTTCTGTCAAGAATGGTTCGATCCAGCCACGATAAGCTTTCATGTTGGCATTCCGTTCCCTGTCTTTGTCTCTTTCAGCCATGGAGCCCGGCGAAGGCATATTGCTTGTATCGTCCAAAGAGACAGGCGTGCTGGCAGTAGAGATTTTGATCACTTCGTTGGGAAATAATGCTTCAAAGATATTTTGGAATTGTACAAATGCCATGTAAAGTCGAAAATAGTCGTTATTATAGTAAATGCCGTTTTGGTTCATGCCATTGTCGAGATGTGGTTTCATGTTGGAATGCAGTGTCAAGATACGAAGTGCAGGCGATAGTAATTTACTGGCTTCTTCTGTGCTCAAATTGTCGGCATTGATGTCTGGCGGTAAAGTTGCTTTTTCGATGCCCAGAGTGAAATGGCTTGGTAATCGCTGTGCCTTTTGCTCTAAATCAGCCATCATAATGGTTCTCATTCTGCTAATAATATCATCACCTAGAGAATGTTGGTGAATACACAGCAGATCAGCAACATGCCAACATGGTACTTACGTCTTTGCTTGAATTCACCGTGTCGATGAGGAATTTTGGGTTTCTTGACAGGAGCAGGTATTGTTGATAGTTCGTAAGGGAAATCAGGCTCACTTCCAAATGTCTTTTTTCTTTTGCGCATCAGGGAAGCTTGAGTCAAAACACCTTGTTCAGCATAACGCTGTAGCAAAGCAGGTTCTCTTGTGATTCTACCATCCTGATAGTAGAATCCTCGTTGCTTGGGTTCCATTAATACTTCAGTACTTGTACCATTCATGAGGGTATTCAAATGAGGAAATCTATTTCCCAAAGGTTGGGGTGGGTTGTGAGGTTGATGTGGATGAGTGAGGTAGTTGTACTGAGGTAAGTTGGGCGTATGTTCCAAGCTACTTGGTGGGGATGATGCGGTTTGTTCGTCTGTCGATGTCCAGGGGGGTTGATATGCAGTAGAAGAAGATGGATAAATAGGTCTAATGTTTGTATAAGGTCTTACAGAGTATTGATCTGTCGATGTTTCCTCGGGTGGTCGAGACATGATCTGAGGCAGGTGTGGTGGGCCTGATTTCATGGGAGGTGGTGGGTTTGTCAGATAGGATACTGAGAGTATCCGCTGAGGCACTGGTCCTGTTGGAGCAGATGCCGATTCGACTGGAGGTGATTCTGTAGCAGTAGTAGTAGTAGTAGTAGTAGTAGTAGTAGTAGTAGGGGTAGTCATAGTAAGAGTTTGTCTTGACGGGTTACCCTCAGATGTCGAAGTATTTTGACAACAGGATACAGACGAGGGCAATTGAACTTCTGCAATAGTCGGACTGGCAGCATTTGATTCATCTTTAAATACCAACACATCGCTGTGCACAGGCTTGCAGAATTGGTATAGATCGCCCATTGCATATACGATACAAAAGTACAATTTCGCAATACGTTCCGCATCCGGCTTCTTTCTAATGATTTGCTTTACGATTCGAAATAGCTCGAGTAGATCCTCATCTGTTAAAATGTCTTCTGCTTGAGGGCTGAAGCGGCTCATGTCTGGTGGTAGCTGCAATAGACAATGAGGGGAGGGTGTGCGACGCATTCTGAGATACAAGCAATTCTATTGTTCTTGTGCAAGTTGTTTGGCTCTTGTTGCTGTTGCTGTTGATGGTTATGTACAGAATGGATGTGTTGTTCTTTTCTCGGGGGGGGGGAGGGGCAGAGTTTTGTCTTTCTTCTGTCTGTTTCTCTGTTGCAAGGAATCTATGATACAATTTTTAAATTGGAGAAGAAAAGAAAGAGAGAAAAAGAAGAAAGAAAAAAAAAACATAAAAACTCACACGCAGGCCTTGCGAATTATACTCTGGATTGAATAAGATTTCGAGAAAAACAAGAAAAAAAAAAAAAAAAAAAAAAAAAAAAAAAAAAAAAAAGTGATACACAATCTCCTCTCTTACTTCATGGCAGGCCCATCCGAGTCAGGCCGCAAAGAAAACCCAACCATTTGGAACATGATACCAATGTATATTTCACCGGCAGTTTGACCACGTATCTTGTTAATATACTACATGTTTTTTTTTCAGATAATTTCTTGTTTGATCAAATAGTGAGATAACGAGTATCATTATCTCTGTGTCACTAGCAAATCGTCTATTAAAAGCAATTGATATCTATCATCAAGAACATTCTGAAAATAGAGTGTCATCATGTTGCAGCTTGACTAATCTCGATTAAACAAGATTTCAAGCTATCCGTAAACGCAACATTGTAAGAAAATCCCTTGTTCAATACTCAAGCGTATCTAAAAAGGAATTTGAAGTTTACCATTCTAAATCGCAAAAAGTATGATTTCACGTTACATCAAACATTATAAGCAGCTCTCTTTAAGGCACTTCTGTGAAGATCCCAACGTTCAGGACTGGCTGACTGTACACGCGAATTGTGTCCATGTGATGCTAAAATGGCTTTTATCCGTATACATATACATAGTATTTTACATATCCACGCTGATATCAATCTATCCATATATACCATTCTGTATATCTAATCCTAAATGCAATTTTAGATTAAAAAGTTCAGTCTAATGTGACACTACATTCAAGATACATACAAACAGTTCCCAGAATATAAAGGGCCCCAATAATGCGATCCAACTTGATGCAATCACTAGAGCCTTGTAGCAACTGTATTTCGATATCTTATACATCTTGTATTTTGAATATACGCCAACCGCAATGGCAGTGATTTCAAATGACAGCAATGCTCTCTCCTATCTCTAACAGACCATCTTGTTTTGGATAGGCACTTGACTGGGTTCGTTTGAAGTACAAAATTCATCAACTACTGCATGCATTCAAGTTGATAATTCCATGGAAGGCATTATTTTATGTCTCAGACTTTTGATTTGGATCATTCGACCTGATTTTCTCGAGCCACGCTGTTCTTTTTTGGAATTCCAGAGCAATTTATAATTCTAAACAATTGAAACATTCACGTATTTTATGAATCTTTGGCTTATTTGAAGCCAATAATTGCTCGGTTATGACGAACTCATTAGATATATGAGACAGGCCTAGCCATTGAAGTTACGTATTCGTATCAATGCCGAGGAAGACTACAGTAAGATTGAGTTTGGTCTATATCGATCAATGATCTAGTGGTGATACAAGTAGACACTCGCCCAAGTCCCTGGATTGTATTAGCTTGACAATTTCGACTACATATCCCATTTTCACTATCAGGTTGCTATCACTGAGTGTATATAAATAGAATATGGATAAGTCTAGAGTATTACTGCAAAACCCCATTTATCTGTCTGTTCTGGTGAAACAGGCATCAGATCATACTTTGGACTTTTTGTCATGGTAAGAAGCTTTTTTTACGCTAATGCATTTTCAGCCACGAGCTTTTCTGTCAAGTAGAAAACGGCTGTAAAGCAGGGCTAGAAATCTCTTGCGCTAAGTTTTGGCAAGTTCTCGACAACACTGATTTCTTGGATTTAAATTATGTTGATCCAAATGTTCAAGTGGCGTATACACACTCGAGAGCTTGTTCCAACGCAAAAATAATGCGCTTGCAAATGACAAAAAAGCATATAGTTGTCTACAGAGTCCTATCTGTGTGGAAACGATGTAGATTCAGTTGATACTATGCGTATAGTTAACTATTTGCGTTCGAACAAAGTGGTACAAAAAAAAAGAAATGGGGATTGAATTTTGAGGCACAAAACGTTTGAGCTCAATATAGGCCTGACAGCTCCAAAACATAACAAAACCAACACAAAAACGCGCCAGATGAGGTTCAGAATAAACAAAATAAATATCAAAATGATTACTGAGCTTTAAGAAACATTTTGATACCATAATTGCATGGTTTGTATCGTGTTTTTGCAGCTTTTTAGCTTAGATGGAAAAGTCATCTTGATTATTCTTGAAAACAGCTTTCAAATTCGGAACGAGCAACAATCAAGCACTTTTTGCAGGCGTATTTAGCACCATTAGAAAGCCAAGAAGCAAGATAACCATTCTTTAAAATAGTGTAAACGTTCCGTTTTTATTCAAGTCGCTAGAGCGTCTGAAAGTTGGTAGTTTGATGGAACAGACGCATCAACCCTCTTTTTGGGAGGGCTGCTCCCTACTAAATTCGAATGCAGAGCGCTAACGCTGACATAACCTGTAAATGGTGCTATTCTTGTAGGACATGACGCAATGAGTATAGCTTTTGATCTTTTGTAAGATTGCGTCCGCCCATGGGGGGGGGGGGCTTTATAGCACACGAGATCAATCATTTACTGCATACAGAGGTGTCTTGGGACAGACTATCTTTCATTTGCCAATAGTGGACGCACTTTGAATGATCTGATTTGCTTCTGACCAATGGGCAATTAAATCTAACAGTAGTTAATGGAGTATTTGCAAGCCTTGAGAGATAAACAGCCATCTAAGGGGCATTTTAAAGATGATTGTCTAAGCGATCTGGAGAAGAAAGTCGACAATGCTTTGATTTTTACGCTGTGAGCATGTCAATGGTGGTTGGAGTAGCACGATCTGCCCTGACAGAATTGTCAGTGGGGATCAAGAAGGACTGTTTCTGTAGACTGCTCTATTCAAGTCCCCCTTGTCGGTCCTCCTCGAATACCCCCTTCAACAATTCTTGTCAATTTTTCTTACTGCCACTGTCTGCACTACAATATGTCTTCACTTGGTCGTCTTTGCCGTATCGCTTTACCCAAACAATCACATCAAATCCGACTTGCATCAACACAATTTGTTGCTGGACGCAAAGGATATGCACCAGGATTCGAAGCACCTGAAGGAACCAGAGAAAATACCAAAACAATCAACAAGCGCAGAGATTTAGGCAACTCACTTCCTTCTCACTTGGAAGGCACTAAACCTACTTCAACCAAGGAAACCACTACTAGTCCTAAGAAATTGTATCGTCAAGAGCTCAAGGTCACACGCCACAAGTATGCACGTGAATTGTTAGAAAAGCATGGTCAAAGACAAATGAAATCTGCCGAGAAATTAGCCATGACAGAAGCCAAAGACAAGCAAAGCAAAGAAGCCTTGCTTTCAGCCAAGAAGCAACAACAAGCACACGAGCAAGAGGTTGTTGAATTACTAGATTTGGAGACCATCGAAAAGGGCGAAACAGATAGAAATCAAAAACGTCTTGTTAATCGATTGCAACTCGAAGAAGCACAGCGAAACACACGACGCAAGCAGCTGTTGAAATTGTACGCCAACACAGACTCTTTTGTGACACTGGATAATTTGGATGCCAAAGTGGATGCTGTTATGACTTCAGAGGGTAGATCTTTCCACGAGGATTTCAACGAGTTAATGCACAGCACTAGCACTATTCAATCGGAAATTGAGCAAAGAAAGGCACAATTAAAGGAAGTGATGGGTCTCTAGAGTGTATACATTGATTACATTAGATCTTAGTATGTGTGCCTGCGTGCGTGCGTGCCTGTGTGTGTGTGTGTGTGTGTGTGTGTGAAATAAAAAAAATAAATGATTTATATGTGCTACCTACATGTCAACTGACTTATTGATATTGTGGATTCACGTTTTAAAGTGACTAATTTGTCCATGTCAAACCCTAAATTTAGCGCATCTAAAATGGTGTTGATTTATCATGCAGGAGAGCATACAGTGCTGGTGTAGTTGTAAAAAAAAACAGGGACCATCTAGTATCGAAGCGTTTAATTTGACAACATTTTGCTTGCAGTGATAAAATCTGATGAATCACCTCCTACTCCCAAATGTGGCCATAGCGTCCTTTTTTGAATCATTGAGATGACGTGTGATAGGTATAGTAGAAGGCGAAAGATGCCAAATCTCTTACAAGAGATATCATGTGTGGTACAGGAGTAAGTGGCTTTTCATGAGGCCAATACTTGCTATCATCATCATCACCCATTTAAGCATAACACCCCCTCTCTCCTTTCGCTTCTTTTCTTTTTTTTTTTTCTCTTCTCGTTCTCTCTCTCTCTCTCTCTCTCGATTTCTCCTTGTATTTTAGCTTGTAGCCTCATCAAACTCATCACAAACTTTGCTTAAAGTTTTTCGTATGGAACCAATCAAGTACATCTAATTTACAACACCAGTAGCTTTAATTTTTGTAATATTTATCAGCCTTTTATTTGCTCCGCTTGTCAAAATACGCAATATCTACTTTTTCTTTCCCTTTCTTCTTCTTCATCTCGTTTTACTTGAAACACTTTTCTCTCCCTTTCCATTTGTATTTTATCTTAAAATCACTGCAACATGTCACTTCATACAACACCAAGTCCACTGGTTGAAAAAAAGGTATTTTTTGTGCTCTTGTTTTTCTGATGAGCTTCATCTCACATCGACCCCACATTTTTGTGGTTTATCTCGGTTAGAAACTACGTACATTTAGTCCTGTTATTTTGTTCCATGATCATCAATATGTAAATGCTGGATCAGGTGATCTTCAACATGTCCATATTCCTTACGGTGACCCATCCTACGGACGTCATCTTGATTCGCACAAGAAGAGAATACATGAAATGCTACAAACCAATGGCAGATATTGGCTAGACATCATTACCTGGACAAGAGGTAAGAATTCAAAAGAGAGAAACAGCCAAGAAAAAAAGTGTCTGTGCGTTTCTCATAACATGTCAATCCACATTTATAGATCACCCTGAGCCATTAGATCACTCTCCTGTGCCCTCTCTTGTGTCATCGCCAAGCCCACCTCATCATCACCAGCACCATCAATATCAACAAAACTACTCGCATCATCCACTCTACTACAACCCTAAACACAAGAATAGTCTAGGCCGTCCTCCGTCACCTCAAGATGACAATGAATCAGACTCAAATGGATTTCGCCTTCGCCCTAATAAACACATGACAGACAAAAAGGTAACCTCAGCATCAGCATCCAGTGCCAATAAACGCCGACGTGGGAATCTGCCAAAGGCTGTAACTGCTATTCTGCGTGATTGGCTCTCACGACATAAGAAACACCCGTATCCAACCGAAGAGGAAAAGGCTGCTTTGGCTGCTGAAACAAATTTGAACCTGAATCAAATTAGTAACTGGTTTATTAATGCAAGAAGACGTATCCTACAGCCCATGCTGGAGCAAGAAGAAGAGCAAGACAAGACTGAAATGGACTTGATCGTGCCCTATGATGCCAGACATTTAGGTATTGTATTTGATGTATCGTACCATTGCTTCCATCCTAAACATTTTTTCGTTCTATTATCAGATGATGTTTACCATGATCGACGGCTTAGAAAGAGATCAGCTACTGACGTTTTAGCTGTAAAATACCCACCAACAAAAAGAATGGCGCCCAACACTCACAATTCTGTCAGAAGAAGAAGTTGAAAAAAAATTATCAATCACTCAATGTATTATTATCCAAACTTATCACTACTATTCTTACTTTCTCCATATACTACTACCACTATTTATTTCTTCTTTATGTATTTTTCTCGCCTGGTGCACTCTCAAATGATATATAACTTTATATACAACTATCCAATATAATCATCCACACATTCATTTATTGGCCAAAATCACACTCGCAAACACACTTTTCCTCCTCCCCTCCCCCCCTCCCATTACAGCAGACTCTCCACTTCTATCTTTCTTTTTATGGTTCAATCATCAAAAAATAAAAACGCTATACACCCACACACTAATCTCAAATTGTATTATTGTAAATGACAAGAAATTCTTTTTTTGTAACCTCTAAAAGAGTGCATGATTCCCTTAAAGAGGCTACATGATCATTCGTCCAAGTTACCCAGTAGGATCTGGTAATTCGTCATCCTGAATACCAACTGGTATACATACACTCGATGCTTTATGCGTCATTGGAACGTCAAAACCGTATTGGCAAAGGTACACGTGCATAACAAGATCTAATTTCCTTTCCATCACCTAAATCCCTCTCTGTTGGAGCATTGACTTCATGCAATTTACAGACATGACTATTATGACATTCCCCCCCCCCCAACATGAGGCTCAAATTGGCATCACAGTTACACCGAATTAGTTTCCTTCTTGTTTCCTTTATCGATAAAAGCAAAATATTCACAAAGGTGATATAGAAGCGAAAATCCATCGCACTGACTTTTAACCCAAATCTGATGTACTTTATCAACAAACTTTACGATGTGAATACAGGTACCTACATCATGTGAAGAACTGAAAAAAGGTGGGGTCATACGAGTACCGTAGTCTTTTTTCGACTACAAGAATAATAACAATTACATAAATCATCACTCACCTGAGCTGTCATCCACCCTCTTTTTTGAATGTTATTTGCTAATTTGCTGAGCTCGACATTAAGGTTTGAATAATAAAGAAAGGGGAGTACAGTCATCATTTGTGTGTTGGGCCCTTTTTTTAGATGCTCATATTACAAAATATCAAGTGGGAATGTCATTAGTTTTATTGATCTAATGGAGTACAGATATAAATCACATTCCAAGTCTTGAACGTACTTGTTTCAAAAAAAAAATTCTTATAATTACAAGTGTTTGATAACTAATCGAAATGTTCGTTATCACCATTCTATATTTTTCCATTATCACAATCTAGGATAGATAAACAAAGATCTCAATCAAGGCATGTTACACAAATAGTAATTAGAGCTATGACCAGCATAAGCCACCTCATCTATTACTTGTTCAACATGTCAAAACGTTCTTTTTATATTTTGACGTGAGAGGATGCTGATTCGAAATTCTTCCCCCCCTCATCATCATTTGTTAATATTGAAACGCCGTTTGATTCATGCAGGTACCACAAATTTCGTTCTCTGATTGGATGAGATGAAACAATGATTGATCTGGTGTGGAAGAAATGAAGCGAGTGTAGATCTACTTGATATTTCATGAGATTTGAAAAGGGAAAGGGCCAAGAAAAATTTCAGGTTGACAATCGCACGGAGAAACCAAGTTCCACTTGCCGAGCATTCATGTAAACTGTTTCAACCCATTAGACGTAAATTAATTTCTATAAACAACATTCTTTGCTAAATCCTCTTTTTTCGACACATCAATCTTGTATCATGACTACAGAATTTGAAGTGATCAACTTGAATATAGGCGGAAATAAATTCTCTATCTACTAGGATACTTTGAAGAGGTCAATCTACTTTCAAGACTTGGTTAAAAATAAAGAAGAAGAGCTAGCATCAACATCGAAACAGCTGATAGGCTAATCGACTTTATTGATTGAGATGGGGTAGTATTCGAAAAAATTATGCACTTCTTGCGATTGTTTGAAATCCGTGCTGACACAAAAGAGGATTTGGAATTTTAAAATTCGATACAAGCTTCTTCAATTTGAGGGAGTGGGTGTTGAAGGCAAGTCAAGTTCTTTGCAGCGTCAGTGATGAAAGAGACGATGACAGCTATTATTTGGAAGATGCAGGAGCAGATGCCAAAGGTGTTCATCCAGCTTCTTTGAGCCCTCTGTCTAATACAGCGCACAGACTTTTTTTTTTACGGAAAAAAAAATAACATACAATGATAAAAATGGGAAGAGCAGAGAATGCCTCATTCACAAGTTAGAAGAGGCTAATTTTAGAGTTCTTTTGCAATAAATCACTATTATTTGCAATCAGTGTCATTATCTATAATTAGTCAAGCTACTTTGGTTCCCAAGTTGTCTATTTGTTACAAAATGCTCGCTGCCAGTACCATAAACAGTGTAAATAATGCAAAGCCGTATGGCAGACTCGAAACATATATAAATGATGCTTGCTTTTAAAAAGAGGGCATATAGCTCATTTACTCAATTAAATTTCAGTATGGCCACATTAGACAATGCCATTGAAGAGCTAGATATTGGCGCTGTATACATTTCCACATTCCATGATACACTCTATCAAATCCAAGTACTTTGCAACTTTACTAGACAAGAATTTGATGATGGACAAAACTAGCGTCAACGAAGGCAAAGTCTTCATTGACCATAGTGTGTCATTTATTCAGAGATATTCTATATTATCGAAAACTGGATCTGTCACCTTAAATGACAAAAAGAGGCTAAAATCCCTTTCAAAAGAAGATGAAATTTATCCATTGCAAGAGCTGATAGACTTGGTGGGCAGAAGAGAACGAAACGTCTCGAAAGAGTGCACATTTGTGTAGAAGACATTGACTTTTTTTTTTTTGATACATCAAATAATGGTATTACTAAATACGAGTATGTTTTCGCTTCGGTGAGAACCACAGCGGCAGCTCGCGCTACCGATTGCTCTAGCGTATCTTATCAAAACACTGCTATTTTCATTTAAACCTTCCATTTACCCATGAAAACCCTTCATATTATCTGTAGGTCTGATTCTTATGTGATGCTCTACTTTCATATACACGTGGCTACTTCATATACGGACAAGCAGCATACTAATATTCCCCCTTTTTAGCCCTTAGTGACCCTGATACAGCAAAATCTGAGTGCATTTGAGCTGCGCTTTCTCGCGTTCAAGGCCGTTTTAGATAGTTAGAATAGCACCAAACAATTGCTCTCATCTAGCGCTTACTTCCTAATACCTTTACTGAACTTTTTGGGGACCTAAAAAAACATGGCCAAAATCCGACCAAAAAGCATGAGGTACCCCTCATGGTGTTTATCAAAAATCAAACGATCGCATTTTTTACCTTGGTAACGAAGACTTCTACTATGGTGTATATTAAATCAAAATGCTTCTGTCGATCTAACGTAACCTCTGATATCATCTTTTTTGGAGCTTTGATATGTAAATTTTCGACTTTTTGGCCAGAAACTTCTTTTCATATTTTTGTAAATCATTCAATAAGTTTGTTCAAAACATTTATATTACTTGGTAGCATTGGATGCGCCTTGAAAAGCACTCCAAGAAAGCTTTAAGAAGCTCGGGTTGATCATCAGACTCTATATAGTCGAACCTGCAAAAATAGTTCAATCGAGTCGAAAACCATCAAAATTTGTCCAATCTGAAACAGATCATGATTCTGGGTTTGAACTGATTTTGGCTTATGGGGCTGGCTGGCAAACTCAATACCCTTTTCATCATGAAGGCAATACGGTAATAGATGCTTTTAAAGCGTAAGGAAAGTAGGTAGCAGGTTACGTAGCACTATTGTTAGCCATACTATTCTCTTGCATTCTATATTTAATAACGCCAGTCTATCAAAATACTCGTTAGATCAACTTATTTCCTTTTTTTGAGGCTTTGAAAGTGTCTAGGGACTGAACATTTATATGAGCCAGGCCTGACAGATGCCTTGAAACTCATTTTCCATATGAGGTTTGTAAAAGTGTCTAGGGACTAAACATTTATTAGAATATGAATTCTGACCAGATATCAAACATTGCTCTTATTTCATAATGGAAAATACTTCGTCCACCGCTTTCGTTGAAATGTTTCATCGTCTTATAAACTCGGATCTACATCCTTTATCTGACACAGTTGATGTTATCATTTGATTTGCCGTCTTATCTCTAACAACTTCCTGCAACTAATGGTATAGCATATAGCGCTTCTTAATTGAGATCAACTACATAGTGTGGCATCTACAGTGAACCAGGCGTTATGTTACTCAATCATGCCTCTACGTGGCTTCAGCAAGCGATATTTTACCAAACAGAAATCAGAAATTATGCAATATTTACTAATCCGTCCATCTAAGACATGTCAATTGTTAAAATGCCAGAGCACATCATGCAAGAAATATTGATCATCATCCATCGTGCTCATTTGTGCTGCTACTATTGGTACAAGCACGGTCTCTGTCAAAGATGTCTTACGATTGACATTTCAAACGACAAGGTGTATAAAAGAGAGTTGAATAAGGCATTGCTTTTGACAGATTACTAAACCATCTTTCTACAAACATGTCTGCTACAATCACTGCTACTCTTTCTACTGCTACTGGCCATCGTCTGGGTGGTGGTGCCAGCGAATACAAGCCTGATATGAAATATAAAGATTTCAACGACTACAAGTTTGCTCCTATTCGTGAATCTCAAGTCAGTCGCGAAATGGTTACACGTTACATGAATGATATGCTTTACTATGCCGAGTCAGACGTTGTTATTGTGGGCTGTGGAAGTGCCAATCTCTCGTGTGCCTGGGAGCTTTCCAAGGACCCTAGCTTGAAGATTGCTATCATTGAGCAAAGTGTATCTCCTGGTGGCGGATGCTGGTTGGGAGGTCAACTCTTTTCTGCCATGGTGGTTCGTAAACCTGCCCAAAAGTTTCTTGATGAACTTGATGTACCTTATGATGAAAAGGACACCTATGTTGTAGTCAAGCACGCTGCTCTGTTTACTTCTACTATTTTGTCCAAGCTTTTGATGCGTCCCAATGTCAAGCTCTTTAATGCTACTGCTGCTGAGGACCTCATTGTCAAAAATGGCAAGGTTGCTGGTGTGGTTACCAACTGGACTTTGGTTTCTTTGAACCATAATACTCAATCTTGTATGGATCCAAACATCGTTGAAGCCAAAGTCGTTGTCTCTGGTACTGGTCATGATGGACCCATGGGTGCTAGTGGTGTTAAGCGATTAGAGGCTATTGGCTTAATCGAAGAAAAGAAGGGGATGCTTTCGCTTGACATGAATGCTGCTGAAGATGATATCGTTAGATATACTCGTGAGGTTGTTCCTGGCATGGTTGTTACTGTATGTAATCGAGCTTTCTAAAGATGATGTCCTTCATTATTAATCATTGTAATAGGGAATGGAGCTTGCTGAACTTGATGGTGCTCCTAGAATGGTATGCCTCTATTCATATATTAACAAGTATTCATGTATTTACAGCATTATCTAGGGCCCTACCTTTGGTGCCATGTTGATTTCTGGTCAAAAGGCTGCTTATGCTGTTCGCGCTTCTCTGAAAAGACAAGCCGAAGAGGAAGAAGCTGCTTTTCAAGCTTAGTTCTTCTTTGACAGGCAAACAAGGCAATTTTCAGTTGTTATTCATATTTTTCATGATAGGTTTGATGTTGACTGTTATAATATACATGTGTATTTAGCAATCGGCAATGAACTAGGGGTGCTTGGATTTTTTTTTTTTCAAATCTTTGCTGAGAACATACCCTTCGAACGTGATTTTCTGCATAATAGCAGCGCACGGAAGTTTGCCCAATTGTCATTAATTTCACTTTGAATAAACTAATAAAACGCTATATTTTATTAGAATGCGATGATGTATTTATTATATTTGCGTTTTAGATTTTGCCTACAGTGTATTTACTTGAATTTCGCAAAAATGCAATCTAAATTTGGTAACTCACAAATGAACTTTGTAAAAAAGCAAGGCCAATTTAGTAAAAGCCAGACAGAGAGACAGGGAATTGGACAGAAAAGCAGCGAGAGAAGAGAAATTTAGCGCAGCTAATCTATGGTATCCATTCAAACGTACTTGCGTTGCGCCTAGCCAACTCATTCCGAGATTCGTCCGCAACCAAACTCACTGTATAGTGGTATGACGTTACTGTAATGTGCAATGCAATAAACACTTTTGCACGGACAAACCTTAAGAAAACGATACACGGACAAAGATGAATAAAGCCAACGGCGAAGCCAGGGGTTTGGGAGAGGGGTTTAGCCCCTCCTCCAAGAGCATAATAGCGCATCTAATGCAACACTTGATAGCATTGATATATAGGGGGTTTATCTTAGCGAAGCGAAGGCGCAGAGCCATGGTAATCAGGCGTCCAATCCAATACTTGGTAACATTGATCTATATAAGGACTTGATCGCAGCGAAGCGAAGGTTTAAAACCGTAGTATTCCGCAGCAAATTCAGTTTCTCATTCCCTAAATTAATAATTGATTGCTTGAAATCTACTTGTATAGCAGATTTTTATTATTACTGATTTAAAAGGTCTACGGCGACAGCCCGCAGGGCGACATCGTCGTCGAGCGTAGCAAGGTTGCATCTAATTCAGCATTTGGTAATATTAGTCTTAATGGGCTTTACCGTAGCCAAGCAAAGGTGCAAAACCATAGTATTCAAGCAGCAATTTCGGTTTTTTATTTCCATTGTTTATAAGCTTACCAGCAATATAACGCATCAAAATTTGCATGAATCAGCTTTACCGAAATCAATATGCCTCCTGTTCGAATTAGAAGTTGCATAGGCTGTAAAACTGCCCTTCCAGAAGACGTCAGCTACTAAAGATGTGATTCATGCCGTGTAAAAAAAAAAGCTATAAAGCAATACATAACCAAATTAGATAGTTTTCCAACCTTCTTATCTTGACATGTAGACCTTTCTGAGCCACCGGAATGACGCCAAACAATTGTACTTGAGTAACAACAACTTTCTGACACCTTTGCTCAACTTTTTGAGGATCAAAAAAAACATGGCCAAAATTCGACCAAAAAGCATGAGGGGTACCTCATGATTTTCATCGAAAATCAAACAATCGCATTTTTCACCTCGAAATTGAAGACTTTTACTATGGTATATCTTGAATCAAAATGTTTCTCTCGATCCAAAGCAACATCTGAAACTACTTTTATAAGGCTTTCATATGCAAAATCTGGATATTTTCGCTAGAGACCTCATTTTATATTCTAACGTATTGCTCAATAATTTCATTCAAAACATCTATTACAATTAGCACCATTGGAAGCGCCTTGAAAAGTACTTCAAGAATGTATTAGGAAGCATAGGGTGATCATCACAGCTTATATAGTCGAATGTTGCAGAATAGATTAAAGAAGTCGAAAAAAAAACAAAATATGTCCAATCCCGAACAGACAAACAAAGACCGGAGATTGAGCCAATTTGGATGTTGGTGAGTGGTGAAACTAATAATGCCTCTTTAAATCATGAAGCTCACTTCAGGATCCACCACTTTCAATTTCATGCTCACATTCACATTCCCAATAGCATGGACAAAGTAATCAAAGATCCAGAACCAAAAAAAAAACATCATTCAGTACATGCTGATTGTATTCAAATGTTTAACTGTAGGCTGGATAATATGTGGATGATTGAGATGAGTGCAGAACATGATCAAGTTTTCGACCTCTGGGCGCTTGAAAGCTAGGTATTCCATCCAGTCTGGGCCAAATTCACGAGGTTGTTTTTGCGTAAAGTGTATTCTATCACTGTTATATATATTAAATATCCAGTTCCTTGACAGTGTCGAGCTATTTGGCACTACTCGCCAGCCAACTGTGCTCCATGTGAGTGTAACTTGCGCTCTGAAATATCATTTATGTCAATCTTCTGTTGTGCTTGCAAAACTCTAGAATCGATTTCCACTGTAGGATGTTGTGGAAGTGAGTGTCGTCCCGTATGCACAGCTTGGTAATTTTCATGTAATGACCTATTGAGTCCAGCAAAAATGGCCAAGAGGTTGAGATCCATATTTCTCGCGAGATTAGTGTCTACTAATCCAAGAGTGTTTTTTGTAACAGAGCAGTAATTTTGAATTGAGTACAGTACTGGGATTTTTTTTTTTTAGCGTATGGCACCTCTTGTAATTATAGAAATGGCAATTCAGGGGTTAAAAGCTTTGCCATAAGGTCCTCGCTACGAATGCCGTAAGTAGTCTTCAAGTTGGCTGCCAATTCCAAGATGCGGACGAAGCCCGACTCATTCTCTATGCCCGATTTAATGAGGATCGCCTGAACCAATAAGCCTAATTCAGGCCTTGCTGATACAAGTGAACCAAACCTAGGAATATCGCGTATCTTCCGGTAATACATGTCAACTTTTTGGAATAACCATCGTTCGACAAGTATGTCCCATGTTTGGACACTAGTCTAGATGTCGGCAGATTCTTTTTGTTGTATTTCAGTGCATCAAAGGCATGTATCCATACTTGAACTGAAAGAGATCATGTGTAAGTGGACATTGTGTTGATGTATAAAGAGAAATCCGCAAATAAGTTGACATGTGGAGCCAATCAAACCCCGGGTTAACGAATATTGCAAAATCAGCAACAACAAACACAACTATAGAGAATTCTACATGTATTATATAGTATGTTATCGTTGAGCTGAACGCTGGCATTTTGTACCAGGTTATCCATGAAAATGCAATTTTTAAGGAATGCTCTGGTCAATTGACGCAAACTATGACAGATAACATATGAAAAAGATCGCCACGTCGATCTTTTCCGTGAAAATATACCGTATAACATGTGAAGTTTTTAATTTTTGTATAGTAGAGTGCAGTAATAATTTAGAAAACGGAAAAAGATATAAAAAAAAAGGAGAGAATAGAATAATGTACAGAAAACATACACATACAAAGAGTATAGAGAAATAACGAGCAAGTCTAGAAAAGTGATCTGTTTCGACTATTTTTGATCATGCTGATTTTACGACGATGAGGATCTACCAACTGCAACTCAAAAATGACTTCAGATCCGGCAAGACGATCATCCATGACACCATGAATCCTGTCAGTTGAATCAGGACGAAGACAGCGAATGTTGTTGCCAGGTATCACTTGCAGTAAATCACCCTAAACAAATTTCAGTATGTCTTTTTCATTATGCTTTAAACATGGTTACTTACAGTGTCCATATGGCGCACTTCGATGAAGTTGGTGTTGAATGCTACCACGTAAGGGAATCTGAATGCGAATGCAGTAGGATTGCCTTCCCAAGAAATGGACCAATCTTTGCGGACTCGTTTGCCCTTTTTGTCAATATAAAATGCCAGTTCTATTATAACAGAATGAGTACACAATACCTCGGGTAAACTTGGTCATGACTCATTTTACCGCTGTAACAGAGCAAAATGTTGCCATCCTTGTGTCTAAACATTGAAATGGGTTTCATATTTTCATGTAACGCAAGGATAGAGTTGTTACTCTCATCATTTGGATCAAGGACACCTAGAGAGTACACAAATTAATTAACATACATCTATCATTTGCTGGAAAAGGCTCGTTGCAAATTTACTTTGTACTTCTGCAGAACTCAGATTCACCATTTGAAAGCCTCTTGCGCTACCCACACAAATGATGTTTTTGAAAAATTGAATGGAAGAAGCTTCACCGGGAATGTATAAATCCTTGTACGCCTTGAGCGCTTCATTATTACCACGGATCAGACGGCCTAGATTCTTGTTCTTTTTCTTGTTGGCTTCCTTGGTGGTTTCATAGGGCTCCAAGGCACGGATGGTGGATGTCATGGCATTGTAACGCACAAAACAGACCAACGTCTTTTCAATACCGTCGACTGTCATGACTTGTTGATCTGCATTGGCACCATTGGGAGACGAGGAGGCGGCAGAGGAGGCCGGGATGGATTTATCCCAGATTTTACCCACCTTGAAGAACGAGACATGACTGGAGATTTTGCGACCACGTTTCATACCAGATTCTGTGGACAAGAGTGTATCAAAGGAGTAAGTGTACAGAATTTTGTCAGCCAAAACCAGAATCAAGTTGGATTGCTCGAGGATGTCAATTTGTGATACTTTGTCCATCGCCAAGATTCTAATTAACTCATCTCCACTGCCTTCCTTTTTAAGGTATACACCTTGATCACCACCCAAGACCAGCGATTTGCCATTATCTTTATTGGTGTGTTAGTAACAGAAAGGACACATGTTGTGCTGTATGATAACCTACCAAATACAGCTGTACAGTTGACCTTGTTGAACGAGCTAAAGAAGCTCTCATTGATCGATCTGATGTTGAACACCTTGTGCTTCTCGACCAAGGCTTTACGTTGGCCTTCAATCTTGTCAGCCCACTGTTTGCGAATGGATAATGTAGTTGCATATAAAGTGATGGGGCCTCCTGAACTTTGTTTTCCCAAGTGAACAAAGGAAATGGGGAACCCATTTTTAGGTATATTATTATGAGTGTTGTTGTTGTTGGTATAATCGACAGTGTTGTTGCTAGTGGCATCAAGGTCATCGTAAAGTGTATTGTTGTTGGTAATATTGATGTCGGCTGCAGAGACATTGCTGGGTCTGCCCAAGGGAATGATAGTGCTGGCTCGCTTTGTGAGGTCAGGGAATGTGATGGAGAGCAAGGCGAGTGGAATAGGTTTGCGGACGAGTTTGTACTTTTCTTCGTTTTGCTTGGTTTTCATAATGAGCAGACAGTGGTCCAATAGGTACACTAACACTTCGGATGCTTCCGTGGATCCAGACCCCTTCTTCCAAGTGCCCTTCATGATGATTTGACGATTGGAAGCAGTTAAATCCAGGTCCTATTGCAATGTGCGATGAGTGCTGTTGCCACTGCTTTTCAAACATGCTCATTCTACTTACAAAGTTGGAAATGTTCTTGTTGACAATTCTCTCGTTCAGCAATTGCAAATTGAACGAATTCTCTGTTCTGCCCGTCTCTCGGTTCACATCTGCCAAGAACTTGGCAATGATGGTCATGACTCTAGGAATTGTCTCTTGATCAGGATGTTCCTTGGGTGTGTGCTTCAATATCTCTCTCAGCAGTAGGTTGTATCGACCCAAACGTGTGGTGGGCTTGGTCAAATAGCCGTTCAATTCCAACTTTCTTGATTGTGGCAGACGCTCCGTCTTGGTGACAAAGTCTGCAAAGGAAGCGTTGGTGGATTTCTCAGTCTCGAAAACGTATTTGCTGATGATTTGATGAGATCCATATCGCACAAAGGGTTCAAACTTGGCTACGTGAGCCAGCATGATATCGCCTACTTGATCCACAACTTTGGCTTTTGCTTGTCGCGTCAATAGTGCCTTGGAGAGCATGCTGTTGACTTGCAGGACCTCAGTGATGTTCCAAAAGATGTCTTGTACAAATGTAGCTCGATCACCCGTGATTTGGTGTGGGTTATTGGTATCGAGTAAAGGTTGAATCCATTGCTAATCGAACACCACAGATGAGTTACATACAGGCTACCACTTGAGTCGTATACTTACCTCCTTGAGATAGGTCAAGTCATTGACGAAATCCTTCTCTGTGTACACCAACTCGTAAATGTTTTCTTGACGCTTCTTCTCATCCTTACTCAAGGTGTCCAATAGCGTTTTTGGCACTGTGTTGATCCACAGTCTGTCCTCTTGTTGGGTGATTAGATAAGAACTGCTTCCTTCACGGCTGTGTCCTCGTTGCTTGTTGTTGGGAGAAGAAGCATTGCTACGCTTGGCTTGTTCTTGACGTCTTGGACAACGAGATGAATAGCACAGCTTCTCCCTGGTACAAGTGGGCGAATAACAGTCTGTCAACAGAGTAAACACACCGTTGGGCAAGGTATCCTCCACCACTGGTTTGCTGTGATTGATCGCAGCCTGAGGATACACCATGCCGCTCTTGGGTCTCAAGTTCAATTGATCTCGTCTAAATTGATAGAGCTCTTGACTCGAATCACGCAAACGATGTTCATAGTTGACATCATGAAAGAACTTTTGTGAATCCAAAGAACGACCTATAAGCAATGCTAAATTGCGGTCATTCGACTTGATAATGAAGGCGAGCTTATCCTAGTTGAAAAAAAAAAGCATCAATCCACCTATCCGTTTCCCTCCCAACGCAGCTCTCGTTCATAATCTTACCACAGCCTCTTTTCCATCAAACACATCCTTGTACTTGATACTATCCTTTGATTTCGTGCTCAGTACAATACGTTCCTGAAATGCCTCTGCTACCTTTGAAAGCAAAGCGGGATAGATGGCGGGCATGCGTTCGGTTGTCTTGATAGGTGCAATTGAGCCAGGCTCATCTACTAGTGTGGAACCCACAATGATTTTGTGGTTGCTGCTTGCATTGGAGTTGGTAGAAGAAGAAGCAGACAGTGTTTTGGGCAGATTAAACGTAAATGACTGAGCCTTTTCAAAGGTCGTCTTCTTTTTGGTCATGGTGTTGAGCGAGGGACGATCCTTGGAGGTCGATGTTGATGACGGTGAGGTGAATGGGATGTTGTAGACACTCTCAGCAACTCGTTTTCTGCCTGGCAGGGCAATGGACGGTGTGTGTTCAATACGGGCATGGTGTCTGCTGGCTAAATGCGAGATGGCGGATAGTTTTGCTCTCATGGGGGCCGTGGACTTTGATAATTTAGACAACAAACTCGTACCACCCACAGACCGAATGCTCGAGTTATCTTTGAAATACTGGTCTCGAACAGGGACAAAGGGCTCCAGCTTTTTCTTGGTATTTTTATCAGTGCTACTGTTGTTATTACTACGAAAAATGGAACTTGATCTTGATACTTTCTTTGCTGTCTTTGCCAACGAGTTTAAATTGGCGCCCAAGAGAGAAGTGGAGCGGCCTTGCATGCGATCGTCGACAGTGCGAATGCTGTTGATGGAACGACTGTCCTCTCCGTTGTATTCTGTTCGCAGCGAGATGACTGAATCGTTGATGCTATAAATACTTGGTGTATCATTGGGTTTGGTGTAGAAATTGCTGTCACCAGGTCTGTAATCAAACACATCTCCCACCGCTTCCTCGTACACAGTGTCCTCTGTGCCTGTATCCTCCTCCTCCTCCAAAAAGTGATCCTCATCCTCCAACTCGTCTGCATGGTGGTTGTCTTGCAAATAGCGGCTGGATTGGTAGTAGCGATCACGGATGGCAGCTGATGGTGTGAGTTCAGTTGAGATATTGTCGGTCGAGGAAAAGTAGGCCAAGGAGCTGAGATTGTCTATGGTATAACTTCTCTTATGATCCATGGTGACATCTTGACTACTGGCTGTGGTGTCTGTGCTGGCCGTGGAGGGCAATCGATACCTACTGTATATATTGGTAGATGAAGGCGAGGGTCGAATGGTCTGCTGCTGCTCCATGCTTATGGTGAAAGAAAAAGGAAGGGAAAGGGGGACGAACTTGAATGAATGAAGAAGAAGAAAAAGAGAGGAAAAAAAAAGAAAGAGAGAGAGAGAGAGAGAGAGAGAGAGAGAGAATATAAAAATAACTATAGGAACAAGGAGTAAATAGCCATATTCACAAGGACTTTGAATAGCTGCCCCCATCTTTGTCCTATTGACACTCGTACATTGTCCATATTTATCAACTGTTTCAATATTACACAAAAACTTAAATTATTTCTTAATTACTTGTCGTTGATATGAAAGGCCATCCATAAAGGTGGACATTTGGTTGATTTTCAGATGCTGTTCCTTGGTGACAATGCTCTCTAGGATCTCTCCCGTGGCTCGCTTCCGTCTAAGGCGAGTCGGTTAGCTCTCTCTCGTCAGCATGTAACGCCTTTCTGTTATACCTCATCCTGCCTGTCTGGGCATCGTACTCTGTAGTGATGATAGACCTCTTTTTTTCATACTCGTCTTTGGTCATTGGGATCATGGCATGATCTGCTGCTTTTGCAGATGGCTTCTTGCTGGATTTGTCCTTGCTCTTCTTGTGCTTTTTGGCCAGTTTCCTCAGTTGCTCCAGCACATCTTGCGGCTTGCCCTGCTTTTTGCTGTGCTTGGAGGCTGATTTTGACATGCTGGATCACAGGAATGAGATATAGAGAAGAAAGAAAATCTTTCGCGTAATCTGAAACCCCCCACAACGGAAATATCTTGAAATTTAAACTTTTTTTTTCTTCTTTTTTTTTTTTCCCTCTCTCATTTTCTTCGCTCGCCACGCCCCTTCCTGCTCACCTCAACGACTTACGCACAAACATACAAAGAATGACACTAGTGGACGGCCAAGTAAATAATAGCGGTTTGTTCGACATTCCGGATGATCTCATCACTCCCAAACAAGACAACATCTACACAACGTCAGCTCGTCAGTTTGCCGCCTTCCACAAGCGCTACCTGCAATTTCCGCTGCCCAACGATATCCTGTTTCCTTGGCTTCATGGCGTCGATGGCTACAGCAACCAGCAAAACCTATTTTTTGGGGTAAGAAGAAGCTTGGTCCCAAAGTACCGTGGCTTGATGGTGATCCATTGTGAAGATTCAGAAACCACATCTCGTCTGATGGAGACTGTATTACCTCACCAAGTGCTGTTCATGGAACCGCCTCATCAATACGAATTCATCAACAGCTACAAAAAGGATGTCTCCATCAACCTGCGCAACTTCCAGAACCAAATCTCGAGATTTTCGACCATTTGCGATCTTGTGCTGTATGGCACCCATGCGCAACATTTGGCAACTGAATTAGCGGCTGCTCAACGAAAATTGCATCAGGAGAGGCTGGCCCAGATCGAGGCAGTGCAGAAGAGTGCGGGCAAAAGAGCTGTGGTCAACGCAAACACCTTGATCTACAAGACTATTGTGATTGAAGGCAAGTGTGTGCTGTATTTAATGAGAGAGGGAAGGGGCTAAACTATAATAATTTATGCATGATTTTTTTTAGACGAATTCTCGGTATTTGAAAGAGACTATCCTGAACTGGTCATGTACGATTCCACTGGATTACTGATGCACAGAAGGGATTTTGTGGAATTGGAGAACCTTCATATGAGGAAGATGAGTAAAGCAACCGAAGTGACAAGGAACATTTGGGTGAGGCATGTAGACAAGTCAATGGTGATGTTAGGTATTAATACATAGACAGGTTGGAAACACACAAGATGCGCCTGTCTCTACACACGACATTGGCATGTCTTCTATCTCATCATGTTCATCCGAATTTAGCCATGAAGAAGATGTGAATCCCCATCAATTTTCTATCTGTATTGAAGCACATGATTTAGCTGATATGCCACTGCCATCTACGCTGACATTGGCTCGTGAAACATTGAATGATTTAAAAGACGGCCAGATGCCCCCAGAGATGATCCATTTTGACGTGTATGCCACTGGTGTACCCAATGAAAAATCCGAGTTTGACGCTTTTTACGCTCGGCTGCACCAACTGCTGTTGTTTATGGAAGACCAAGCTGCACACGACCGTAGAATACTGATACACTGCTCTGATGGCTACACAGAATCCAGCTTACTGGCACTCACGTGGATCATGTATCACTGCAAACTACAGTTACCAGAAGCTTATCTCTACTTGCAGCGCATACGCTCATTCTTTGTCTATGCCGCTGATGTGCCCACTTTACGCAGGATTGAGCACATGTTGTTTGAAGATCATGATAGCATTGAGCCACAACCCAAGCGAAAAAAGAGTACCACAGCGGATGCATCAGAGGCCATCAAGCGATTGAGTGTGGGAGGAGTGACGCTGAATGCCAATGCGGATAGTGAAGAGGACGGAGACGACGACGACAACGTTGGGCAAGTGGAAGGTCAACAAATGAAGACACATGCATTTGTGTCATCACCTATCAGAGCAGATCATCGACAATTACTAGACGATGCCTATATCAATACCATCTCCAACACAGATGTAGATGAAAAGATACCGGACAATATATATAGACAATCGCAACTTTCACCTAGCAAAGAGGAGGAAAGGCTCTTTCCTTGGTTCTATTCGCCTCGATTCGAAGGTTCATTTCCATCCAGGATATTGCCCTTCTTATACCTGGGTAATCTGAATCATGCGACCAATCCAGCCATGTTGAAAGCACTCAATATCACACATATTGTAAGTGTAGGTGAAAAGGCAGATTTGGACAGCAGTGCATTTGAACTCTTGTTTTTGGATAATTTGTATGATGATGGCATTGATTCTATTCAAAGTCGGTTATCAAATGTCTTGGATTTCGTTGGTAAGACATCTGAGGATGTTTACAAGATTTAAAAGAATTAATCTCAGTCTATAGAAGATGCTCGGCTAAAGGGATCCACTTGCTTGATCCATTGCAGAGTGGGCGTGAGCCGTAGTGCAGCCATCACCATCTGTTATGTCATGAAGCATTTGAAGTTCTCGTTGGTGCAAGCTTATCTGTTTGTTCGAGCACGTCGTTTAAATGTCATTATTCAACCCAACTTGAAATTCATGTATGAAATGCTCCAGTTAGAGCAAAAGAACAAAGGAGAGCTGTCCATCACTTGGCCTGTATTATGTGGGGAGATCCATAACTTGAATTCTGCATACAGAGATACCAGTACTTTGCCATGATGCGGGTGTGCTATTCATAACATAATAAATTTACTGTTCCTACACACTTTCGAAGTCTCAAAAAAGGAAATAAGCTCATCTTACAAGTATTTCGGGGGACTGGTGTTATTACATGCAGAGCTCTAAAAGAAAGTTGCCTGTCTAAAAGACAGTACTATTATGTAATTTGCCACCTACTTTCCATTAGCATCAAAAGCACCTGTTGTTACCTTCATCCTTACTAGATTGAGTTTGCCAGCTGGCTCCACCAGCCGCCAAAATTATTTTAAACCCAGATTCCTCGTTCTACTCCAGATTGGTCAGATTTTGATTACTCTTCGACTTGATTGAACTGTTTTTGTCAGATTCGACTATAGAATTTTGATGATCACCCAATGCTTCTTTAAGCTTTCTTGGAATGTATTTCAAGGCGCATCCAATGGTGCCAAGTAAAATAGATGTTTTGAGTAAACTTATTGAGCAATTTATAAAAATATGAAAAGAGGTTTCTGGCCAAAAAGTCAAAATTTTGCATATGGAAACCTCATTTAAGTGGTTTCAGAAGTTGCTTTGAATCGAGAGAAACATTTTGACTCAAGGTATATCATAGTAAAAGTCTTCGTTATCAAGGCAGAAAACGCGATCATTTGATTTTCGATGAAAACCATGAGGGGTACCTCATGCTTTTCGGTCGATTTTCGGTCATGTTTTTTTGATCCCCAAAAAGTTGAGCAAAGGTGTTAGGAAGTAAGTGTTGGAGGAAAGTACTTTTTTGGTACTATTTTGACCCCCTAAAACAGCCTTGAACTCAAGAAAACGCAACTCAAATGCACTGAGGTTTTGCTGTATCAGGGACACTGAAGACTAAAAAGGGGAAATGCCAGTATGCTACTTGCCTGTATATAAAGTAGCTAGGTGTATATGGATGTAGAGCATCACATAAGAATCAGATCCATAGATAATATGAAGGGTTCTCATGTGTAAGTGGAGGGTCAACATGGAAGTAGCAGTATTTTATTGATAAGATGCGCAAGGGCAATCGGTAGCGCGAGCTGTCGGTGCACAGGTTGGTTCTCACCGAAGCGAAGCGAAGGTAGAGAGCCATCTGAAGCATAAACACTCGTATATACTGTATATATAACAACACTTGGATAGAATGCAGAATAAACGTACCTTCAGTGGCGACTTTACATTTGAAGTGAACGAGAAGGTTGTCTCTATAGTAGCTAAAGAAACTGGCTTTCAAGGCATTGAACCACAAGCACTGGAAGCGCTTTCAAGCCTACTAGATTCATGTAAGTCTCTCTTTTCTAGTTTAACCTGATATTGACATTCATTCTATGTAAGACTTGGACAAGATGCTATCCTCTGCTCACCGATTTGCAGAGCTGGGCAATAGGGCAAAACCAAATATACATGATATCACTCGATCACTAGAAAACGCTGGCGTAGAGATATCCAATTTCAAAGAGTACCTCAACACCAAAGTAAACGATACAAAGACAGGTAAATACACCATGAATGTAGTCTAGTGAATGCGCTTTTTAATCAACAACTACTAGCTAAATTAAAGAAAAAGTACTTCAAGACACAAAAGACAACATCCACACTAGAGACAATACCGAATTTCCTGCCATCCGATAATGAAGATTCAGAAGATGAAGCAGAGGATCACACAACAGAAGGCGGTATGCCTACCTATGTGAAGTAGCATAAGAGATGGTTCACTATCACCATCGCCCCTACTGCTACTACTGGATAATGTTTGATTTGTAATGATTCTATATCTCAACTGCAATAATTTATTCAATTACAATGCCTCCAGTGCCAGTTGGCACTTTTAAAAAGCACCTTGCGCTTTTAACTTATACCAAGCTACGCACCTGACTAACCCAAATTGCGTTTTTTGTAGTCTCAATTTGCGATTTTGGCAATCATTACGTATTCAAGAAACATCAAAGGTCAAACGATTAGCATATGGTTTATTAGAGATGCTCCGTTCGGAGACAGTTATCAAACGTGTTTACAGAATGCATGTGTATGTGTGTGTGTGTGTGTGTATGTGTGTGTATGTGTGTGTGTATGTGTGTGTATGTGTGTGTGTATGTGTGTCTATGTGTGTATGTGTGTGTGTATGTGTGTGTATGTGTGTGTCTATGTGTGTGTATGTGTGTGTCTATGTGTGTCTATGTGTGTGTGTGAAGGTCATTACTTCTGAGGAGAGCGAAAACTGACCAAGGCGTTGTTTGGCTTTCTATTTGGCGACCAAGTGCCTTCTTCGAAATCACTTTCAGAGAAAGCATCCAATATCGCTGCTGTTGTTATCTGCATCAACATCTAAAGGTGAAAATACGATACTTAATAAGAGCAACAATATGCAATCATTTTTTTTTCCAAACCTTCAATTGGTAAAGTTTCTTAAAGCAAGGTACAAGTGAAGAGAAATCGTACAAATCACGAGGCAGATAGAATAGGCTGAGCATAGACAATCTATACAGCTTATGATAATCATTATCCATAGCAAATAATCGACACTTAAAGCCTTTGATGTTTGTAACAAAGAATAATTAGCATACAAATACATTTATGCGGTTCTTGGTATTTGTTTTACCTTCTACAAGCAATCCATAAACAACTTTTTCTTTTGCCACCATCATTCTATCTAATTCATCCTTCATCAAATTGCATAATTTGATAAAGTCTGGATGCTTGTCATCTGTTTGCTTGAGATTGTTCATAAACTCTGAACTCTTTACTTCACATATGAAAGGCATTGCAGATTGATTGTTGAATTCTGCTAATACAGAAAGATCGGGACGGCGACCATCTTGTTGACGACGGATCTTACTCCCAAGGGATTCATCAGTATTTCTATGCAACAAATACTAGATAAGACAAGTGCTATGTTAAATGAAATTATATAATCATACCCTAATAAAGTCAAGCAATCCTCATCCAGACACAAGAAAGGCGTAACAATGCTTTCAACCAATAAGCTGCAAAATAGAGGCTCTCTCATCTTTACGGCATTAGTCTTTCGAGACTTCTGAACCCTATAGCGTTGTGCTGATATTAGACCAGAGAAATAAGAGGCAACATTTAATACTTACAGATCCAGGACAGTTCTAGCAATCAGTTTCATATTATTGTCATTGGTATTGACGACAGAACAGTACCACAATTCAGCCTGTCTCTCCCCAGCATCAAAATCATCGGAAAGGATCTACAATTAAACTGCATTAGGCAAGTCGACTACTGGGATTTAAGAACTAGAGATAGATACATCTGCAATCTTTGCTATTTCAGAAAAATCAACTGATTCAGCTCTGGGATATTTCTGGGAAACTTCTTTCTGCACGACTGCCCACTGTTCAGCATTCAAATTGTAATATCGTCGATTCTTATCATCAAACCACATGATGCCGTTTAGAGCTCTAAATAGCCATTTAGTAGTGCGTTCACCATGGTTCTTATATCAAAACATATACTCACAGTTCTTGAGTGTGGTTTATGCAAACTCGGCCACGCTCCAGCATATCCATACATCTATTCCGAAAGATGTGAAAGTTCTTGGAGATGTTAGTGTTGTTGACAATCCACTAAAAAGAAAAGAGATATTAGGATTAATATATTATTTTAAGCTTACAGTTCATACCGCGTTATCGTGCTCTTCGATTGTAATTCGTGGTTCTCCACCCACAAGAAAATCCAACTTGTCGGCGCTCTTTCGTCTTTCACCATCACTAATATCATCCTCAGATTTATCGTCTTCATTGCTGTCGTCGTTGTCTGAGTCGGATTGATATGGTTGCTTTCTTTTTCTGCTGTTGCTGCTGTTGTTGCTGTTGCTGTTGTTGCTGCTGCTGCTGCTGCTGCTGCTGCTGCTGCTGTTGTTGTTGTTGTTGTTGTTATTGCTGTTTGTTGTAATATTTTGTGTGCCTACTACAACATTGGTATGTGCAATCTGATTGTTGATTGCAGCCTAAACAATCGAGTCAATGCTTTTGTGTAGGAAGCCCTCGTTAGAAGCGAACTTACAGATGTGGATGATGAAGATGAGTTTCGACTCTGTGTTATCTTCATCAGTTTCTGATAGTAAGACAATATTAGTTATAACTCATTACTCTTCTTTTCAAAGCAATCTAACTCACGTCGAAATTGGCATGATATCCACGCATAATATCAGTGGCTTTTTTTGCTACCAACTCACTTGAAATCATTGTCTGTAGGTCGTTTTTCATACTTTGGGCAGCAACTAGCATATTTCCATTCGACTTTTTGGCATAATACAATAAGGCAAATTCAAACGTCCAATCTTTCGGTCGTGTTCTGAAGAAATAATCCATTTTGATTCGAAGAATTACTAACAAAATTGGATGTAACAGAGATATATGTAAAAGAATTGGATCAATTAAAAAGTGATGATCAGCAGAGAGGCGAATACAAACTGATAAAAGAGCCATCCTCATCCAGTGATTAACCTACAAAAAATAGTGACTTGCGAAAATCTACGCGTTGCAATTGGTATTTGAATACGCTTCCTTGATACATGCGAACAGTTTTCAATAATTAGACGATATTGAATGTAAGTATCAAATATATCACCTTGCTTCTTTGTCAATTAAACAATTCTCCGTCTAGAGAATAACTAGGAAAGTACATTGTACAGCAAGCAAATTCTTTTGTCAAGCGTGTTCTTCCCTAAGAAGTAGCTAGTTGTGTATATATACCTTCAACTGTTTAACTTTTGCTGTTTTGGTATCCAAATGGCCAAGTATAGCCTGGGGCTCTCTCTAAGACTTGCCTCAGATCAGTAGTTATGCAAGGAACCAACATGACAACTCCTTGCTAACTGGTATACATTCGGTCTGTATCTCTCCTGGCTGTTCGAAACGTCGGGGGCAATTAGGATACTATGGTGGTAGCACTGTAGCCTGATTGCTAAAGGGCGCCCACGAAGTTGGTAGTCGTGGATGATCACATAACTAGGTCAATTCAAATATCTCTATGTTGTATACCTTCAACTGTTTAACTTTTGCTGTTTTGGTATCCAAATGGCCAAGTATAGCCTGGGGCTCTCTCTAAGACCTGCCTCAGATCAGTAGTTATGCAAGGAACCAACATGACAACTCCTTGCTAACTGGTATACATTCGGTCTGTATCTCTCCTGGCTGTTCGAAACGTCGGGGGCAATTAGGATACTGCGGTGGTAGCACTGTAGCCTGATTGCTAAAGGGCGCCCACGAAGTTGGTAGTCGTGGATGATCACATAGATGATGTTTGGATATGCTTCTTGCGGATGATCATTTGGCATTTGAATACGCTTCCTTGATACATGCGAACAGTTTTCAATAATTAGACGATATTGAATGTAAGTATCAAATATATCATCTTGCTTCTTTGTCAATTAAACAATTCTTCGTCTAGAGAATAACTAGGAAAGTACATTGTACAGCAAGCAAATTCTTTTGTCAAGCGTGTTCTTCCCTAAGAAGTAGCTAGTTGTGTATATATACCTTCAACTGTTTAACTTTTGCTGTTTTGGTATCCAAATGGCCAAGTATAGCCTGGGGCTCTCTCTAAGACTTGCCTCAGATCAGTAGTTATGCAAGGAACCAACATGACAACTCCTTGCTAACTGGTATATATTCGGTCTGTATCTCTCCTGGCTGTTCGAAACGTCGGGGGCAATTAGGATACTACGGTGGTAGCACTGTAGCCTGATTGCTAAAGGGCGCCCACGAAGTTGGTAGTCGTGGATGATCACATAACTAGGTCAATTCAAACATCTCTATGTTGTATACCTTCAACTGTTTAACTTTTGCTGTTTTGGTATCCAAATGGCCAAGTATAGCCTGGGGCTCTCTCTAAGACCTGCCTCAGATCAGTAGTTATGCAAGGAACCAACATGACAACTCCTTGCTAACTGGTATACATTCGGTCTGTATCTCTCCTGGCTGTTCGAAATGTCGGGGGCAATTAGGATACTACGGTGGTAGCACTGTAGCCTGATTGCTAAAGGGCGCCCACGAAGTTGGTAGTCGTGGATGATCACATAGATGATGTTTGGATATACTTCTTGCGGATGACCATATGGCATTTGAATACGCTTGTTTGATACATGATAACAATTCAGTGACAGGCTTACATTCACCAGTTTATTTATAGGAATTTGATTTACCAAAAAGGTTTAACGGTAAACAAGAATTTTAACGACTGGTGCAAAAAAAAAACAACGCAACTGCGTATACTGGAGCAAAAGAGGAGCGAACAATGGAGAAGAATGGTGTTTCTGGTAGTTAATGTTTAAGCCTTAGCCCAAGTCCTGACTTTTTACCTCAGTTATTGACAGCAAGGAGTTTTTATAACATTTGTAGTAAACCTTTTTTGGTTATCAAGATGGTTCGCCGAGTGCAAGATTACGTCCCTTGAAACAAGACATCTTCCCAGTCGTTCCCTGGTACACCTGGACTCTGTCTCGCCTTTAGGGTGGTCTTGGTATCCTAGATCTCCAGCAACAATATGCAACTCTCTACTTTCAGTGGGTTCAACCGTTACTCTTCATGGATTCTCCTACCACTACTAGCTACCCGCTCAATATTATGCTATCGTATTATATCAACAACCACAATGGTAGCCATCTTCACCAGCTTTCCTTGCTTTTGGCTGTATCCCGCAAAAAGCCAACTAAGAGACATAGGGTCATCACCATTGAGATGCTGTACAAGTGTGCTAGCCGATCGATTTCCCTACGCTCGATGACGGCGTCGCCCTGCGGGTTCTCGCGAAACATATTTCAAACCAGGGATAATAAAAGATTTGATATATCAAGTAGACTTTAAACAATCAATTAAAAGATTATATCAGAGCCAGGAGGGGGGATATATCCATCGGTACCCCTTTTGCTTATACACCGATATCGAACGAAAGCTATTATTGAGACGATGTGGTAAAGAGTTCAGGTTTTAGCAGCATTTGTACACTACATTCTCCGTTCGTACCACATTTTTTGGTAGTGTAATTGCCATGCCATTCGCTAATGTTGCTCTTGGCATGGCAACATAAAACTGGTCATGCTTAAATACAGGACTTCTATAATAAGATCTACAGCAAATCTTTGAGAGATTTGAGAAAACACTTCTTTACAGAAAAAGGTAGCTCTTACTAGTTCATTATTAACTTTTGTATTATCTTTGTCATTGCAAAAGATACCTTTGTAGGAATAAGAGCAAAGATGAAAGGATTCAAGCTAAGCGTTTGTCTTTTCACTCATGATCCTCATTTAATCAGCATCGCAATCGTCCTTGTTATCTTCATCGTCATTATCAGAAGGGCATTTGGGCCAGCCAGCAGCAGAGCCATCCACTAAAATTAATTCAAACTCAGCTTATTTTTTCTATTCAAGATTGGACAGATTTTGTTTTCTTCGACTTCTTTAATCTATTCTGCAACATTCGACTATATAAGCTGTGATGATCACCCTATGCTTCCTAATACATTCTTGAAGTACTTTTCAAGGCGCTTCCAATGGTGCTAATTGTAATAGATGTTTTGAATGAAATTATTGAGCAATACGTTAGAATATAAAATGAGGTCTCTAGCGAAAATATCCAGATTTTGCATATGAAAGCCTCATAAAAGTAGTTTCAGATGTTGCTTTGGATCGAGAGAAACATTTTGATTCAAGATATACCATAGTAAAAGTCTTCAATTTCGAGGTGAAAAATGCGATTGTTTGATTTTCGATGAAAATCATGAGGTACCCCTCATGCTTTTTGGTCGAATTTTGGCCATGTTTTTTTTTGATCCTCAAAAAGTTGAGCAAAGGTGTCAGAAAGTAACTGCCAGATGAGAGCAATTGTTTGGTGCTATTCTGACCATCTAAAACGGCCGTTAACGCGAGAAAAAACAGTTCAAATGTACCCAGATTTTGCTGTATCAGGTACACGCTTGACTAGAAAGGGGTAATGTCCGTGTGCTGTTTGCCCGTATATGAAGTATCTATGTGTATACAGATGTGGAACATGGCATAAAAGCCAGATCCACAGATAAAGTGGAGGGTTAACATGAAAATAACAGTAGTTTTGATAAGACGTACAAGGACAATTGGCAATGCGAGCTGCCGCTGCGCAGGTTGGCTCTCTACGTTCCCTTCGCTTCAGTGAGAAACATCCGAAGCGTAGACACACTCGTATCGATAACTAGGGTTGTGTGTGTGTGTGTGTGTGTGTGTGTGTGTGTGTGTTGAGGCTGCTTTTCAAAAGACTGCTGGTTGTATCACATCTATCCCACAATTCACGGCCCACACACGAAAATTTCTTGACGCCTTCTTCCCTTTTAATCAAACATATATATATATATATAACAACACTTGGATAGAATGCAGAATAAACGTACTTTCAGTGGCGACTTTACATTTGAAGTGAACGAGAAGGTTGTCTCTATAGTAGCTAAAGAAACTGGCTTTCAAGGCATTGAACCACAAGCACTGGAAGCGCTTTCAAGCCTACTAGATTCATGTAAGTCTCTCTTTTCTAGTTTAACCTGATATTGACATTCATTCTATGTAAGACTTGGACAAGATGCTATCCTCTGCTCACCGATTTGCAGAGCTGGGCAATAGGGCAAAACCAAATATACATGATATCACTCGATCACTAGAAAACGCTGGCGTAGAGATATCCAATTTCAAAGAGTACCTCAACACCAAAGTAAACGATACAAAGACAGGTAAATACACCATGAATGTAGTCTAGTGAATGCGCTTTTTAATCAACAACTACTAGCTAAATTAAAGAAAAAGTACTTCAAGACACAAAAGACAACATCCACACTAGAGACAATACCGAATTTCCTGCCATCCGACAATGAAGATTCAGAAGATGAAGCAGAGGATCACACAACAGAAGGCGGTATGCCTACCTACGTGCCTCGACATTTACCTTCGTTTCCAAGCAAGCATTCATTTAGACAAACACCTGTACGTAATAACACCGTTTGGCAAGGATAGTGTCGTCTAATTCACTTGTAGATTTACATTAATCGACCGGACGATCCACAAAAAGTGCGTGAATTGACGTCTGAGCAATCAAGAACAGTAGAAGAAAACCTCAAAAAGCTCATGTCGGCAGAGAATCAGCTATTACGGCAAGCCAATGTCGATTCTACCACTGCACTGCTAGAATCTACGGATACCACTAAAAGCAGCAACATTATGATGCCGATTGTCAATTATGAGGTATTCATTCAAAGAAGAAAGAGACAAAAGCAATCAGGCACAACGCTCAATGTAGAGGGATCCGATGAACCTAAACCCAACAGCAGTAATACAACCAACAATGCCAGTGACATGGGCGGTTTGGATCTGGATACGACTCAAGTAGAAGGAGGAGGAGCAGAAGAGGAAGAGGTTGATAAGAGTGCGCAAGTAGCATAAGAGATGGTTCACTACCACTACTACTACTACTACATCCATCTGAAGTGACTGGATAATGTTTGATTTGTAATGATTCTCTATTTCAACTGCAATAAACTATCCAATTACAAACTTTTTTTTTCCATTCCCTGTTCTCCCTTTCTTCCTCCCTCATTATTCACAATCCTACAAAGATGAATACGACTTTAGCTGAAATTGTGCAAAAGATTGCTAGTCAAGGAAAGAATCCCGATGTCTCTTTTCTCAAAGATAACCCAGAAGCACAGACAATGCTCTTGTTGGCTTTGTTATCTAATAATGCTAATACAAATGCAGCAGCAGCAGCAGCTCCAGCATCAACGGCACCAGCAACCACTACAAAAGCAGCATCCAGCGATGGTAATGAAAAGCGTAAATATAGCTCCTTCAGCGATGGCAAATCTCCTAGTCCACCAGCATCTGGCAAAAGTAAATTACCATGTGTATGATCCGGATGTGAACATGGTGACTAATACTAGACATTAGATGATGCTGATTCACCTCGTAGAGTAGGCAGAAAGCCAGTGACCAGCGATGATGAAGATTCAGATAACCCCAAATCAAAGAGAAAAGCACAGAACCGAGCTGCCCAGCGAGCATTCAGAGAGAGAAAAGAGAACCATGTTCGTATCTTGGAGGACAGAGTGAAGGAACTGGAAAAACAGCTGAACCTTGATAAGAACTCCAAGTTGCTAGTGGAAAACGAAAAGCTAAAGGAGATGATCACTCGCTTACAAAATGAAAATGCCGCCTTGTTGGGATCCACTGTGTCTTTTGACTATCCTCTCAGTAACTCGGCATCCTATGATGAAAGACCCCAAAAGATCATTCGTCAAAGCAACATTGTGGAATCACCTATTGCACATTTTGATAGCTTCAGCAGTGGTTATTCCACATCTTCCAAGAGTAGATCAAACACACCGGAATTCCAAATTCCCGCATCTCATCAACAGCAACCACGTCAACTGACTATTGATGATATCTTGCAAACCACAGATTTGCCTTCAAACGCCTTGCTGGATCATTCACAACTCCTCAACGACGACAAGTTGGATTACGGCACACAATTAGACGATATTTTAAATCAACATCGTCTTACATTTCAAACGGATCCATCTCAATTTGACTTTTTTTACCCTCTCAATGGCGCAAACGATATACTCAATACTGCGGCCATCACATTACCGCCTGAGGAGGAAAAAGATGAGGAAATCAAAAATATCACCAAAGTGTGGGACAAGTTATCCGAGCACCCACGATTTGATGAGATTGATATGGATGTGCTTTGTGATGAAATGCATAAAAAGGCTACTTGTACTGATTTCGATCATGATAAAGAGATGGAGAAACTGGTCGATAAATATTATCCTGTGGAAAACTAAACATGACACAGCCAACACACACATACACACACACACACACACATAACACTTCATTTTTTATATATGTATATCACATTCAACACCACCTCCATTTTTTTCATACTTTTATTTCAATAAAAAAAAAAGAAATCCAATTAAGAACTCATTAATGTAATTCCCATAATGATACAAGCAAGTGATACGTATGGACTTAATCTCTCTCCCACTCTTGCTGCTTTCCAGAATAATCCAAGCACGCTGTGTCATGTCCGTCAGTCTTTATGAAACGTATAATCAACAAGAGTTGCTTTGCTCTTACCCAGTCTTTTTTCTATCTAACAAGGAAGGTGCTTGGGCTCGAACATAGGTGCATGTGCAAATCAAAAGTAATATCACCAGCAATAATGACTGAAAGTTAAAGATGGCAGACTATAGTGTGTGTGTGTGTGTGTATGTGTGTGTTAGGCTACATCAGAGATGATACGGGTGCGTAAATTACCATTTTCTTGGATGTATGTGTGCTTGGTGGTATAGAAATGGAAAAGAACAGTAGGGAACACAACACCAGCTATTGCTTTATAATAGGCAGACGAGTCACGAACGGACACGATGAATGCCTTGAAAGGATCCATGATGGCAGATCATTCCTGTGCCATGGAGCAGCTGTTGACATGTGAGATGTAATCTCCATCAACCAGTACTCTACTGCCATACAGCTACCAGAATTATCATGGATAGTTTCATAGTAAACATTGCCAAGTTTCTAAACAAACTCAAAAGCAACACCCATTACTGATATTTGACTTGATATCAAATCACCTCAAACAAAGCTTCAAATCTTTATTCAACATGTCTATCACTAGCTCAAGTTCCTCTTGAGACTCGCTGTGTAGCTTTTGGAGCTTTGGCGAGAGTTTGCGATTGAAATGAGGTGGTCTAAAAGAATTGAGCGATTTAGCACGCGTAGCTAAACTTGCTAGCTTGCTTACCTAATATTATCTTTATCTCCAAAGTACTTTAACTGGCATAGATTATGAACAATAGCATGCTCAATACCTCTCTTTCCAGAAGCATTCTTCAAGAGCGTCAGTGTGTTTTTCACTATACATGGGTTCTTTATTTTAGATATAAAATTACAGTCTATGAATTTATGTACAAATACCTTTGACATCAATCTCAGGATCTGTCAGGTATTGCTTATTCTCAAATCCTTGACGGATCAACAGCTTGATATGCTTCTTGTCCACACCGTCAACAGCGGCATCACCTGCTTTCAAGAATCGACGATATTGACTAGCCGTACTGGATCTAGGTGGATATGTAGAGTATCCTCGTTTTTGACTAGCAGCAGTAAACTGTTGAATGCCACTACGTTGAATAAAGTGGCCTGTCAAACTAGCGCTGGTAGCATGCTTGATATCGACCTCCACATAATCTCCCTTCTTCAGACTGCTGTCCCCTGGCTGTGCTTCTTGTACAAAGACCTTGTGTCCACCATCTGTTCTACCGCTTACTTTGGTCTCAATGCCATTCTTCGTCTTGGGCCGCTCCGAATCGATCAACACCAACTGTCTGGATCCAATCAATCCTTGATTCTTCTTCGATGCCTGCGCATGGAAGGTAGTGACAATCTCTTGCAATCGTCTGGCCTTATCGCTGTCTGTCACATCATCCTTGTAGCGACGATGAGCATGTGTCTTTTCGCGCATACTGTAGGCAAACATAAAGGCAGTATCGTATTTCACTTGCTCCATCAAGCTTACAGTGTCCTGGTGCTCAGCCTCTGTCTCGCCACAGAATCCAGTGATAAAATCGCTGCTGATCCATACATCGGGTATGATATTGCGCATTTCCTCCACAAGGGACAGGTAGGCTTCTCGAGTGTATCCACGACGCATGCGCTCCAAGACAGTGTTGCTTCCAGATTGGATGGGAAGATGGATCGAGTTGCAAAGGTTGGGTCGAGAAGCAATCAAGTGCAACAAGTCGGTGGGGAAGTCTTTTGGATGAGGTGAGGTAAAACGAATTCTCATCTACACAGAGGCATTTAGATTTGGATAGTTGCGCTTCTGACATGCCACGCTTACCTCTGGATTGATCAAACTGACTTGATCCAGCAGCTCAGTGAATCTACGACCGCCATCCTTACGCTTGTAGATAGTCTTGAAGCCTGAGTTACTAAGGCTTGATCCCACATCGGTACCAGACATAAAGTACTTTGACTCGGATTCGTCTCTATAAGCTGAAAGAGTCTATCGTGAGTGTACTGCATTACTGCTGTATCACTAAAACACTACTTACAATTGACATTCTGGCCCAGCACAGTTACTTCTTTCACGCCCTGGTCATTCAAATATCGCACTTCATCCAAAATGGAATCAATAGGTCTACTTCTCTCGTTTCCTCTTGTAAATGGCACGATACAAAAACTGCACATGTTGTTGCATCCACGCATGATGGAGACCCAGCCTGAAGCGTTGCTTGTGTCTAAACGCATTGGCATCACATCAGCATAGGTCTCGTCTGCAGAAAGCATCACATTGGCAACTCCCTCTGTGTATTCCTCTTCCTCGGCCAGGGATATCAAATGTGGAATAGAACGATAGCCATCAGGCCCACACACTATATCCACCAGTCGATCCTGCTCCAACAGCTTTGTTTTGAGTCTCTCGGCCATGCACTATATCAATTGATTCAATACACTGCAAATGCCATATTCCACTCTGAAATGCTTACACCTAACACACCAACAATAGGCGGACTATCGGTATTGATCTTTGTCTTGTAGTGTCTCAAATACTTGAGTCTCTCCCAGATCCTCACTTCTGCATTGTCTCTAATGGCACACTGTACACGTTGTCAGATGGATTTGATGGTGAAGAGTGCTGACTGCTCTACTTACAGTGACGAGAAAGACAACATTAGCATCGTCTAAAGTGTCGGTACGCTCATAGCCTGTATTCGTCATGATAGCGTTCAAAATTTCCGTGTCATTGACATTCATCTGTTTCAAGAAAAGATCAGTTGCCCTTGCTAAATACTTGTGGTGCCGTTGTTTCATTTTACCTGACATCCATACACTTCGATATAAAACTTTTTGCCTTGACCCAGTGTTTTACTGTCCATATGTAAATAAGGTATATTATCAGGTTGCGTCAGCGCCTGATCAATGGAGGAGGATGCTTTGACAGATTGTTGCTTGGATAAAAAGTCCTGAAATGAAGGGGAGCGATTGTCAAACACCAGGCGCTTTGTTTTCTTGGTTGAAGCTGTGGCCACAGCAGCTTGGGCATAGTGTCTGATGGTGCTGGATCGACTGCATTGCTTCAGCACATGCTTTGCTGTTGATGATCGAAGCATTTATTAATGTAAGAGTATAGCAGGAAATACAAAGCAATTTACAAACCCGGGGGTTAGTTGATAGTCATTTTGAGGGGTGGCTTGGTGGGCGAGTGGCATACAGGCAAGCGGTGATTCCTACAATGGGCTGAATTTGACAGCTGGAAAGCGGATTTGCATTATTGTTCAAGGATTGAGTGGAGAGATGAAACTAATGTAAAGATCATACTTAATTCATGTATTGATCAGTCAATAATGAATTTGACATGTCAATCTTGCCCTTCCGGTTCCTCCAATGCCTCGCGATTTGCTTCCAATACGTGCAGAATAGCACAATATGTATTCTAAACGTTGCCTGCCAGTGTTGCTATAGTCTCTTTCCCATAAGAGATGCCTTTTAGGTCAACATTTAAGATGACATTGGATCTCTCGAGGAGCTGGAAAATCGCAGATCTGAGTATAGCTTGTATCGGATTCAGTAGATCATTCTTGTGATACTAATTTGACATGGACAGCGTTGCTAACATGGCGACGAAGCATGTCACTTTGCCTGCTATTGAAGGGCAAGGCTTGCGTGATTGTGAATGCTAGCTTCTGTCAGCATTCAAAAGCCGTCACATTATAAGGCACTCGCGGTAAACAGTTGATGATCTCCCGTGGAATGAATCAGAATTAAGGTTTGATATTAAACTTCAAATTGGATCAGTTCATCCAGACAACGAGGGATTTAGCTCTCGGCGAGCCTCGGACTAAGGCATTGCTTACGGCGTGCTTTCTAAGACTGATGTGAGTCATTATATAGCAGGTGCATTGAAAAAGGTACACACATACCACATACCACGTTGAGGTATATCTGAAACTTAAATGAGCCGAGCGAGAATTTTCATCATCTGAACTTGAAGAAATGCAATCAATTCATGTGTTTGCCCTTTTGTGAGAGAAAGATTTAAATTCCCTGCCATTCCCCTTCTCTCTCTTTTTCTTTCTTTCACACACACACACACACACATTTCATTTTGTTTATTTGCAATTCTTCTTTACATCTTGAATCGGTAGAATGGGAAATTGTACGAGCTCTAGTCATGGCTCTAAAAGTCAACTCAATCCAGACACACAGAAAAACAGGCTTATCGATAGGCAGATTAAAGCAGACGAGAAGCGGCTTCGAACAGAGGTCAAGCTCCTGTTGCTAGGTATAGTTTGTTCATTCAAATGCAATGCTTATTTTCCGTAACATGTTACACACAGGGGCAGGCGAATCAGGGAAATCAACAGTGCTGAAGCAAATGCGACTCATCCACGCCTCTGGGTTTGACGATGCAGAGAGAGAAAGCTTTAGAATTATTGTATTTTCAAACATCATGCTAGCAATGCAGATTATCTTTGAAGTTGTTGATCAACTCGGCATTCCTCTGGACAGCAATTCCAATGCGGTAATGCCCAATTTGTGCATTGGAATTAACAAGACAGTGCTAATCTCCGTTTCTACTGTCAATAGGCCTACAGCAAGTTATTTCAGAATGTGCAGCCGCTAAAACGGGGAGAGCCCTATCCAGCGGAATACCTTGAGCCATTGAAAGCATTGTGGGCCGATTCAGGCATTCGGGCTGCCAAACAAGAAGGGAATATATTTGCGTTACATGACAATGCGGCATAGTAAATGTCCATCTGCAGGGAATCGTAGACTGGGTCACTGACATGCTTTATTCATGTAGTTTTTTCGACCAACTGGATCGGTTTTGGAAAGACGATTATTTACCAACAGATCAGGATATCATACGATGTAGAGCAAAGACAACAGGCATTGTCGAGACAGTCTTTCACATAGGGCCGCTGACCTACCGCATGTTTGATGTGGGAGGACAACGAAGTGAGCGGAAAAAGTGGATTCATTGCTTTGAGAATGTCACTGCCATCCTGTTTGTGGTGGCAATTAGTGGCTACGACCAATGTCTAGTGGAGGATCGAGATTCAAATCAAGTAAGGCGGTCATGCGGTAGAGCGATATCTATATGCCCGAGTAATAACATTTGATGAATCTAGATGCACGAGGGACTAATGCTGTTCGACACCATTTGCAACTCACCTTGGTTTATCAACACGTCCATGATCCTGTTTCTGAATAAAATCGATATATTCAGAGAAAAGATACTAACATCGCCCGTATCAAAGTGGTTCCCAGACTACAAAGGCGACGACAACAGTTTCGAACAAACTAGCACCTACTTTAGAAAGAGATTCAAGCGGCTGAATCACAATCCAAGCAAACAAGTGTACACACACAATACAGATGCAACCGATACAACACTCTTACAGCATGTCATGACAGCAGTTTCCGATATCATCCTGAATGAGAACATAAATACCTTAATGCTGTAGTGGTCTCTCCGACAGCCTGCAATATCAATTCTGTACATTATTAAACACTACTTTAATCATTATTACACTATCAATATATAGCTTTATCAGATCTATTATGTATATACAATGTCAGAACTTGACTTTAATGCGGAAAGCTGGCCAGCCTTTATTAGACGAGTCGACCAGAGGATATGTCAATCCATAGGTCAAGAATAAGTCTGCCTTTGGCTTGTGCGAGATCCAAATTCTAATCTGATTTCCACCTTCTGCCACTCGTGCATGAATGATGGCAACACTTTTGTCTTGGCAACAAAGACCAAATCCTGGAACCTCACTATCCTCCACGAGATGTCTAGTTGACCATGTTGTTGTGAATAAGATACAAGGTGGAATTTTGCCTTTCAAATCAGGTATGATGGGATCCTGGTATTCAGCACACAATGTATCTCTGGGGAGACCGACATCGTTTTGAGAAGCATGCAAGAGCGCTGATGCTACTATGGCTAATCGCTTACCAACAGTCTTTAATCCGGCTGCAGAAAGGTGTAATCGGTCATCAAGAGAGCAATCTATGCTGGCGACACCTGCCGTATATCCTTCTTCTATCATCAAATCAAATTGTGCAAGTTGAACCCGTTCCCAATTCGTTTTTGTTTCTGGTACATCAATCGCATGAGGTCCAATTTGAACAAATGCAATAGGCAGAGTAGCATCTCTTAGGTCCTGTCGAACAGTTTGCATCCATAGTCGAAATCGTTCCTTGTATGTCGAAGCGTCCTCAGCTGCATTTGTGTCTGACTCTCCTTGGTACCACAGTATACCACCAATATGTCCTCCAACTGCTTTGATCCTCGCCATCATAGCGCCATACAAGGTGTTATCTTCAGTCTCCTCATTCAGTACATCAGGTCTCTTCCAATCGTTTAGAGAGGTGCCTCCGTGAGCAGAAGCGACTAATCCTACAGGTACGTTTGAAGTTTCTTGTCGATATTGTTTGGCAAAGGATAACCCGAGTGAAGCTCCTCTGTACTCTAGCAACTTGGGGTTCTTGACGGTGGGATCAGGTAATGTATGGTGCACTGTTCTTTTCGATAAATAAAGTTGGTGCAAAGGCTCTTTTGCTATAGTCCACTCTTCTTTGGAATTATACAAGTGAATCCCCGATTGACCTTGTTCAATCAAGCTACGGTTCGTAAAGGGGTCTATTTGATATCCATGACCACGCATATTACTTTGACCCGCCATGATCCAAATGTCGCCAACATAAACGTTGCTCGCCTTGTATATCTTGTAGGGTCCGCCTGTATTATAATCCTGTAGCGATCCATCTTTAAAACGGACAATGGCTACATTAGTTATTGTGTCTCTTTGTAAAACTTGGTTATCTTGGATAGACTCTGCAGCGTAATATGTGTCGCCATTATGCCGTTTATGATACGACATGGTGGTATGTTGTAGAGACAAAAGAAAGACAAATAAAATAGAGTGCTGGCTGGGTTTGACAATATGTGTTTTAATGAGTTATTTCAAATTGGCTGCAACAATCAAGAGGCTACACACAAAGCCTATGTATACCTGATATCACTTTGCAAAACAATCTCGTATATACTCTCCTCTATAGACTTCTACTATGGCATCTCTCAAAGCCAAAACATCTCTCGCCATTCCATCAGAAGAATAAATGCCGGCTACCAGGAATTGAACTTTTGGCCTTTCCTATCATAAAAAAAAAAAAGACGCTTTGGCAAAGGGCCAAAGCCCCTTGTTTTGGACCAAAGACAATGTACTCACATATCAAGAGATCTACTGCAAGAAAATTATATTAAAAAGGGAAAATCAAGCAACTATTCTCAATAATAGCAACCATTGTTGTTCGCTGTTCCTAGTAAGTTTGTTCAGAACTAAAATGCTGCGCATCGCATGGTACGCGTTGGAATACCAAAGTAGCATTTGAATGGCCAACAGTGCTAACCATAGACAGCATCACGGATTATCTTTGTTGATAACTTAAGAGCTACGGGTAAAAATTGCATGCATCTATCTCATTAAATGTTAATTAGGCGTTCTAAGTGCGCATCTGAAAAGGAAGAGAAGTTATGTACCATATGAGGAGAAGAATGTGAAAAAGTTGGAGAGATCAAAGAAAGAGAGAAAAGAAAAGCATTGATCCGCAACCAAACTGTATCTATTGCTCAGATTGCAGATGAGATGAAACCCGGATCAGAGCATCTTGATAAATGTCTCTTTTCAGTTTCTTTAATGTAACCACATGCCATTCGGGTGGTAAAAGATACATCTTTATCCTTCTTAAATTACCGTCAGTAGGACCCATTGAAGCTTGCATGTCTTGCATGCTGAACGTTACATTCTCGCATGTAGAGTTTCTGCGTGGGATTCGCTATCTGATGTAAGAAATAGTAGTTACCACCACGGCTTATAATAGCTTTAGACAGCTTATATGAGTATATATCTTGGCACTTTTCGCTGTAGGGGGCATGCGAATGCTTGTATCTTTCAAACATACATAATAGTATTCGCTGAGTATTCTATCTTGTGTTCATCATATGGAGCAACGTACAACTGAACGTTGTGTGTACTCGAAAGCATATACTCGGAAACACAAGATGGCACCACATTAATAACAGTTGCAGCCTTGTATGACAAATGTCAAAATTGATGAGAAACATGTAATTTTCAAAATAAGCCAATGCTGAACAATTATGACCCTCCTATGAGAACCTGTTAGTTCCAAGCGATTAAGAATAACAGATCTATGGAAGCAATGTTGGGAAAGGCTGTATTGAAAACCGCTTGGTTATAGCTAGCGTTGCTGTGGTTTAGCAAAGAGTTGTTGCTGAGAATAAGAGGATTTTCGAAATGACAGGCCAATTTTGAGTAATAAGCTTCATACGAAAACCTGTTAATTACCAGCAATTCCGAGCAATAGATCGATTGATGCGAAGCTGAGAAGCGTTGTAATGTATTCAAACTCGTTAACTGATAACTTGCTTCGTTGTGTGATAAATTCGTAATAAGAAAGTCAATGAAAATAATCAGTTGTCAACTCTATCTAAAACGAAAAGCAAAGAAAACATCTTTATTATAGGGCTTCCAACTAGTTTAAATATATCTGGTCAATGACTACTACGTTGAGATGGTATATAGATAGCAGGCCACTGGGGTCTTATTGATTGTCGGTATAGATTGTTGAGAGACCACATAAGTCGATAATATACTTGATGTAGTAGTGCACGTGGATCTATACGTCTTGACTGTGGAATACATCATCCACTAGGATCTGCATTCCGACAGTTCATCCAGTTACCAACTTTAGATATAAACTGTATGTATACTGGATTAGATGTACGTTATCGATTTATGCTATAAGAAGATATGGACTTCAGATACGCTAGTACTATAAGATTCATACTATATAAGATATAGGCTATAGATGGCACCACGGACATGGATGGCGCTATAGACTTATACTTGTATTCCGGCATAGACTACGGATGTTTACCATATCTGGATAGGCACCAAGATTAATGCAATATGAGCTTGTTGCTTCAGATGTGCACTTTATGATCCACGCTATAAGACACATGCCTATATCCGTGATACTAGCTACAGATACTTTATGTACTACAGACTTGTACTATATATGAGACATGCTATAGACATGCATACGATATGCTATAGACATGCCATATATCCAGATACATGCTAAAGATGTATGCTCAGCGACATACACTCAGATATGTACCATCGGTTTAGACTAAGGAGACTGTATCTATCGGATGCATGCTACTAGATCGATATTAATTATCCTTATAGAAAGGATAGATCAGGGTACTTCGGATGAGAGTCTAATTATTCATCCAGGCAAAAGCTAAATCATGATTAGCTTGCTGGAGTTGTCTTTTTTTAGCATGTTTAGATATTAGTTGATCTGAGTTGACTTATTTGTCAATTTAATTAATAGAACTTTTATCCATTGTTATAGTATATAAGAAGGATCATCTACCTGGTCAGTAGAGAGACTTCAGTTTTACTTTACACCTGTCCGTTTGATAATAAAACATACCTTTATCAAGTTGACTTTACTGTTTTTTATTTCTTTTCCGTGAATTTTAGTCTATAAAGCCTCAAATTCCACATGAGTACTAGCAAGGGAAAACCCTTGAAAATCAAACGATCGCGTTTTTCATCCTAAAAATGAAGACTTTTTCTAGATATATATTACATCAAATTGATCGTAAAGATGAAATGCAACATTGAAAGCTACTTTTATAAAACTTTTATATGCTAAATTTCGACATATTCACAGAAAACCTGTTTTCATATTTTTGCGAATTGCTCATTATTTTCAGCCTGAAAGCTGAATGTAATTATCACCATTCGATGCGGCTTCTTTAGTCCTCTAGAGATGTATTAGAAAGTTGGGTGTGACAACGACAGTTTTCATAGTCAAATTCAGCAAAAACGTTTAAAGGATGTGAGATCAAGTCAAGTTTGAACACGAAAATACCACTGCACAAATTCAAATTAAGTTGCCGCAATTACGGCTGCTACGGTACAAGACTGAGACTAAATCTACTGGTCATGACGTCGGATAGGGTGCTCTCTCGTTTTTCCATGCACCCATTTTTTACCCATTTTGCAAAACGCGTTTTAGTATCAAACCACGGTGGTTTTGGACACCGTTTGATTGATAATAACACTCTGGCTTCCGATAACTCTCTCTTGTACTGTTGGAAGAACTTGATACTACTTCTTTCAAGTGGAATATATTAGGTATCATTCGATAACGAGCACTGGAGGGCATATAATTAACACTAATTTAATTTGTTTATTAGGTTTCGATAGTTTTTTTGTCTGTTCGACGTGGGTGCTGCTGCCATTCCTTTTCTGCTATCTCCGTTGTCTGCTTCTTTGGTTTTTGTCTGGTCTCTGCTTGGTGTCGTTCGTTCTTTGGTTTTTTTATGGTGCTGGTATTGCTGTTGATGTTGTTGCTGCTGTTAATCGGGTCTTTCATGGTGTACTGTCTTTGGTGCATGCTCGTTCTCTGGTGTCGCTCGTTCTTTAGTCTGTCTATGGTGCTGGTGTTGCTGCTGCTGCTGCTGCTGCTGCTAATATGGTCTTTCCTGGTCTACTGTGTTTGGTGCGTGCTCGCTCTCTGGTCTATATTCGGTGATTGCGTATCCTCTGGTCTATCGACGGTTGTGGTAAGTGGTAAGTATCTTCTTTCTTCTGGTCGCAATGATATAAAACTTCTTTGAACGTTTGTATTATTGCTTCCTTTCTCATGATAATGTATTCATGATGTTTACTACTTTGTTGCGTTTTTCTTCCTCTTTTGTTGGTTGTGTTGCTTTACATCTGACTATTACCATGCATGTTGCTCATGTATGGATTTTTTTTGCAACAACAACGAGCTGTTCTGAACGTCTCTGATGTTGTGTTTGTTATACTTTTCTTTGACTCACTTTGTGTGAGTATCCCTTTTTTTGCCTACATACTATTATACTCCTATAGCAGTATGTTCTTTTCTTCTCTCTTTTATTATTATTATGTTTCTTTGACGCATACCTTTTTTTACGTTGTGTGGATGTGCCTATCCCTGAAGCTCAACAAGACTTTATCCGAGGCTAGGAGGTAGATAGGCTGCCTCCACTTGGTTATCACTACTTACTTTAATGATGATTGAGGGTCTCAATGCCTGAATTTAAAGCTAGGTGGTGTAAGTAAGGCATGCTCTAGCACCTGGGGGAAATTTGATGATAGCAGCGGCTATATTGCTATTATAGCGGCGCTTAAAATTTTGCCTCACATCAAAACAGGGGGAAACCCTCGCAAATTTTTTTCTAGGTCAGCGAAGTTTTCAAGCAATTTGATTGGCTCAGAGGTTGAAGGACCGATGGATTCTAGCTAGTTAATCTCCTATTGAGCTTTCATCTTTAATGAGTTTATATTTGTAATAAAAGGGTAGCGAAATAGATACAATTTAAGCCTTCTTTATTTAAGAGTATGTTACGGTGAAAGCGTTTAATCTAGCATCCATTGCATAATAGTTCGACGTGAGGAGTATCCTTTAAATATATTTATACAAGGAAAATTATATAATGAGCATTATTTCAACACAGTGTTTGCGTTACTATTATAACAGTGTTATTCTGGACAACCCACCACCAAACAATCTTTCTAATTGTTGAAAACTATAGTGCAACATGGTATGCTTTAAAAAGTATACAGTTTCCTCGGCCATAAATACAAGCATAATAAGGCTACCATAATGTTGTATACTACTGTTTTATGAGCATTTGTCGATGGTAATAATAAGTCTCGGCTGAGCCTTATAATGAATATACTAGCAGGATTTTCTATAGATGTCGACTCAGTAGCTATGTCTCGCAAGAGGCCTATGGTGTGGCGGAAACCACAGCAGGCTCTGGCAAGAGGGTTGTGGTAGCCTTTTCAAATATGGGAAAGGAGTTCCTAGTTTCAGTTACATCTACAAGCGGAAACTACCTGAGTCTGCTCATAGCTACCTGTCAAATCCTATCCTTTGATACCCTTTGTACAACGCGGAGTGGTGATCTTTTGCTTCCAATGCGATTATGTAACGACTTTGCATAAACTTTGTAGCTTTGATCCCTTAACATTTCTGCAAGGTTATGGCAGTTCATGTTGGATATTTGTATCTTCTATTGCCTATGCAGCAGTAGCTCCTCATATTATTGTGTTTATAGGCAGCACAAGTTTGGATGGTACTAAACATTTCTTATCCAATGGATCAATTCGTTTTTACAGCTCGTCAATTCGTAGAGCGTACATCTTTTTGGCTTTCATTTTTCAATACATTTGCTTTCATCACTCATTTCAAACAAAAAACTAGGTATGATTCAAAGTTTATGTTTAATTTTTCGCTTTCATTCACAACTATAACACACTAATAAAGCTCAATTCAAAGCTTGTATCAAAGCAAAATACAAGTAGAAGAAAGAGACAAACTCTATGAAAGAATGACAAAGCTTTATAGTTTTCAAAATTCGCCAATTGAGCCATTCAAGACCGTTTTATAGGGTGGAGCTGCACATTTGCACCTGATCCAACATCTGTACGCGCATCGACTATATTTGTGAATGGCGGCACCGCTTCCTATCGTACACAAACAAAGATTATCTCTATTCAGCTACTTGGCACATTAAGTATGACGAAACTCGATACGTTGAATATGACTTCTTGGAGAGAAGTTGCGAAGCTAATAACATTATGCGATGATGATGATGATGTATCGAAATTAACCGTCTAATACATATATGAAAGAAACTGTAATGACTGTACAAAGGACAAACAACTCAAGATACATTGCTTGAGTGGATGCTGTTAAACATTTGCTGTATTGCTTCATATTGTATCTACCCGCTGCAGTTGATTTCACTATTGATGTTAATTCTCGGTCCTCCTCTGTGGTATCTTTACCAACATAAAAGCAGCAACCCAAATCGTCACCATGCGTAATTTTAATGCGTTGTCGCCACATCATGCAACATGTATTATGGTTCAAGCAGAAAACCCAACGCTGCTTCAGGTATGTATGGGGGCTCGAATGTATATCAAAGCTCTTATACTCTGCTCTTGTGGCTTTAAACATCACAAGTTATTCATGCAACCTGCTTCGTGCTCCAAATTTGGTAAACCCATATTCTTAATGACCACAAGCTCGTCATACTTTTTTCATTTCACAACCTTTTTCTTCTTTTTTTTTTTTCATTATTACCTTAAAATATGGACGATACTTCAGATGGCTTTGCCGTTAGTATTGAAGGATTCAAATAGTCTTTCACATTAAACTAATAGAAATGCTTGCGTCTATTGCAGATGATAAATGATCCTCGTGTTTCAACGCATTCCCCACAGACTTCAACAAATGATAACGAAAAGGAAGATTCACCAGTGAAATTACTGTATTCCAAGTCCAAAGTATATGTTCATCCTTCAAACAATGTGAATGACTTTATCCCTGGCTACATGTCTATTGTGGAAAAGGTAGTATCTCTGAATTCTGATACAGCTGATTGTAGCAGCCAACGCCATATTATCCACAGGCACAGAAGGAGTATCTGGTTGCCTGGACGCCAGAAGCACTGATCCCCTCCAAAGACATGGATGCCTTTGTTCGAGTTGATGTGAATCCCAAAAATACGGATCAAGTTGAATGTAGGCATATGCGAGACATGGATACGAAATGTGTATATACTAAATAGCACAGTAGCTTCCATTATGGTGCCCTCTGAAGCCGAAGAATACACATTGTATGCTGTTTCTGCATCGATCGATACCATCAACTCGCTCTTGATACGAGCTCCTTCTTTTTCGAAATGGTACGGTAGCATTGTTATTAATTTCAATGATGGTCATTGCTCGGGTCCATTTTGGTTTCATGACGATGAGAGTAAAAGCACAATGCTCCAAAAGAACACACAGGGAGGCAAATTCACATCAAAAGAGGATGCTCAAGTGAGATGGGGTGGTGATGAGTTTGTAGAAAGATTGGGGCAATTGATAACCGTAGTCAAGTAAGTTGGATATACCATGTGTGCCGGGCCTGTGTTGATCTCGTCTTGTAACAGATCAAAGGATACAGAAAATCTTTACTTGGTTGGCAAAGCAGCACATTACAAACAAACAGGCCAAAACTCAACTCCAAACACTGGTGTTTCAAGAGCATCAGCAAATGATAGTGTATTCGAGTCAACACAGATGGATCCTTTTGTTGCAGTAAGTCAGTCTCAAATTAGCCTTGGTAGTAAAAGTTCATTTTGCTTGCATAGTCATTAAAGGAAGCACGATGGAATATCCTTGAAAAGCTCTCTCGAGTTACTAAATTCTCCAGAGATGCAGCTGTCAGTTTTCTCAGCAATCCAGCTTCCAAACCATTGATGCCCCTATTCCCTCCCAGTGTCCAAGAAATGTGCAATAACGAAACAGTCAAGCAGACAATCGACGACTACGATTCAGCTCGTATTTTCTTGGCGAAATGGGCTGCTGGATTAGCTGCTCAATCAGAGAATTCGGCACCTCGTGACAGAAAGTACCGAAATGTTGGTGTGTGGGGCCATGATGGCTGGGAGGAAGATTCCGCTTTGGGCGTATTTGAGATTCTTAACGTCAGTATTACACATGTCGCTCACGTATGCCATTTGATATTGACACGCATACATTTACTAGTCTGAGAACGATTTCTCGATCCCCACTCATACAAGAACAAAGCCTGTCAGTCAAGCAGAATGGGACTCATACTTTGATACAAACGGTAAATTAAGTGTTGGAGAGCCAGCAGTGAGAAAAAATATCTTCTGTGGTGGCCTGGAGCCCAGTGTTCGAAGAGAAGCTTGGTTGTTCCTGAACGGCGTGTATCCCTGGAGTTCCACTGCTGCTGATCGCGAGCGCATCCATAAGGAAAAGAGGTAGGCACCAAAAGAATCGGTGCGCATGAAATGCTTACAAACACATTTTGTCTTTAGAGAAGAGTACTACCAACTGAGAAGCAAATGGCTTCAAGATCAAGAATACAAAGAATCCGACACGTTCAAGGATCAAAAACACAGGATAGGTATGGCTGTTGATGGCCAAGGTACTCATCCAAGCTTTATCCATTGATAAAACTAATTCTATGGTAACATGATAGACAAAGATGTACATCGTACGGATCGAACAGTGGATATTTATGAGGATGAAAGTATGCCCAATCCCGATCCATTCATGCATGTTGGCACCAACAAGCATCTCGAGATCCTGAAGAGTATTCTCTGTACATATAATATCTACAACACGGAATTAGGCTATGTTCAAGGCATGTCTGATCTGCTGTCTCCTCTTTATGCCATCATTGGTGAAGAGCCCCTCTCATTTTGGGCATTTGCTGGATTCATGGAACGCATGGTAAGTGGTCAGAAAATATAAAGGTTGGTGAAAAAGAATTTGCTCTGTCTAATCAGGCTCACTTTTTTGCATAAAAGAAGTCTAATTTCTATACGGACCAATCTGGCATGCACAAGCAGCTGTTAACCATGGATCTCTTGCTTCAATTCATGGATCCCTCATTGTACAAACACTTTCAGCGCACAGACAGTACAAACTTCTTCTTTTGCTTTAGATGGCTGTTGGTATGGTACAAACGAGAATTTCCTTGGAAGGACATGCTCTCTTTGTGGGAGGTGCTCTGGACAGACTATCTGACAGACAAATTCCACCTGTTTATTGCACTGTCCATCTTGGATCAGCACCGCGACGTGATTATTGAGTACCTGAGGAATTTTGATGAGATACTAAAGTACATCAACGATCTATCCATGACAATCAATCTGGAGGAAACGCTGCAGCGAGCAGAGATTTTGTACTACCAATTCCGTCAGCGTGTTCAGGCTGTCGATAACAAACGAGAGCAGCTAGAAGCATCTGCTTCCAACAAGTCTGGCTTGACTGAATTGCAGAGATCGGATGCCAAGGAAGATTTAGGTCGATTACCGGTGGTGAATGAATTGCTACGTGAAATCTTGGCCTCATCCTATGCTGACATTGCTGCTAGCAATGAAAAGCACATTGAATAATTTCAAATGAATACCTTTTTGTAAAATCTGTAGTCTTTATATAATATAACGTTTTTTTATTTACTCTTGTTTTAGTGCGGTGGTTTTTTGATAAAATAAGCCCATTGTAGTTAAAAACTGTGTAGCAGAAATATACTCTTGCTCCTGTCGCTGCTTATCCCAGCCCAACTCCTCCGACATGAGTTCAATCACCTTGGGTAGGGCACTCAAAGCTGCCTCTGCATTCAAGAATGCCAAGCGTGTGCGACGTGCTAGCACATCGACGGCAGTGCAAGCATACTCCTCGCGAACAGCATAGCGTACTTCAGCTTCGATATACGGGTAGTTGGGAGAAATGCGTTTTCCGTACTTGGGCCAATTCATCTCGGTGGGATCCTCAATTGCAGCTACCTGCCATGCGCGAGTGCCATAGCTACCCGCCAAAGCTTGAGCAACCTCTGTATCCATACCACGCTCTTGAACTAGCCCGATAAACATGGTGTTTGTAAATCCTTTGCTTCCAATCATGGGCATATGTTCAGTGCTGCATTTGTTTGCAGGCTTGAGATTGTATTCCTGAATAGCTCTGTCTACAGTTTCTTCGGCCATTGCGCGGTAGGTGGTCCATTTACCGCCCGCAATGGTCAAGAGCTTGTTTTCACTGACGTTGATCATATGGTTACGCACCAAGGATTCAGTGTTCTTGGCATGGGGATCACGCACAAGTGGACGTATACCCGACCATGCAGCCAATACATCTTCACGACGCACCTTGACATCTATGGAGGCGACGTCGTTAGTGTCGTAGCGTGTACGTGTAATTAGTTTCTTACCATCGCTCAGATAATGAGCCACTTCTTGTAATATCCATCCCACTTCTTCTTCTTTGGGGACAGGGTTAGCAGATATTTCAGTAGGAGAATCTGTGGTGCCAGCAATCGTGTTTCCTTGCCAAGGTAAAAAGAAGATGACACGACCATCACTGGTAGCAGGATCAAGCAAACCCATATTTCTTGGACTGTAGTAATTGGGAAGAATAATATGAACGCCAGCTGATGGTGCAACAATCTCTCTAGTTTTTTCATCGTCCATCTTGCGCAGACCATCTGTGAAGGGACCAGTGGCATTGATGACACCCTTTTGACTCGGCAAATCAGACTATTTTCGTATGCGTGAAAAAAAAAACGCCATAGCTTACCTTTGCCTTGACCTCCCATTCATCACCTGTCAAGCAGTCCTTTACCTTGGCGCCCTTAATATGGCCCTCCTCGTTCTTGATAAGCTCTACTACCTCGCAGTGATTGGCAATGGTGGCGCCATGTTTAGCAGCTGTCAATGCTAACACGACATTCATGCGGGCATCGTTTTGTTGGCCTGGTTTTTATATGTTAGCTGGCTCTCTGAATAGCAATATGCTGTGCTCCCTTACCATCATAGTATACAATTGCTCCCACTAGCTTATCCTTTTTCAGCATAGGGAATGCTTCGAGGGCTTTGGTCTTTGTCAGATAATAACTGCTTTCAAGCGCCTCTCTTCCAGCAAAGAAATCATACAGCTTGCAGCCAGCCCAATAATACGGAATCTGCCACCATCTATGAGACAAAGTTGATTAGATGGACAATTCTGAGTGGAACGCTGGGTACTGACTTGTAAACAGGCAACATGATGGGTAACTCGCCAGCCAAATAAGGCGCATTATTGATAAAGATTTTTCTTTCGTGCAATGCCTCTACCACTAGCTTGTATTGTTCATAATCTAATTCCATGATGGCCTTTTGGAGGTATCTGACACCGCCATGGACCAGTTTTGTAGATCGAGATGAAGTGCCTAATTGTCACATTTTTAGATGAGAATAAATTGGTTCTCGCAAAACAAACATTTACCTGAGGCAAAATCATCTCTTTCAACAAGAGCAACATCAAGCCCTCTGGAAGCAGCATCCAGCGCAACACCTGTCCCTGTAGCTCCACCGCCTACAATCAATAAATCAAACTCCTTGCGGCTCTTGAGTTTGCTCAGTTCTTGTTTCCTGGTAGGAGCATGCCATATGGGTTTTTCGACAGCTGCTTCTGTTGCCTGTTCCGCATACACAATGTTGTTTCTGGTCTTAAATCCATTGCTGCTGTTGTTCTGGGAGTGAAGATATACTAGCGCAGTGGCCGTTGTACTACCACCTAACAAGAGCTTTTGATGTCGAGAGAGTCGAGCCCACATAATGTCTATTACCTTGCTTCAAATAGAATTGAAAAGAAAAAAAAGAGGAAAAAAAAAAAAAAAAAAAAAAAAAAAAAAAAAAACACTTGTTTATTAGTTGATGGGTTTTCTATTGTTCTAGATGTCAAAAGGCGGGGAATTTCATGAAAATGTTCCCGACCAATCGTGCGTACATCAACACCATGATGCTGATGATGATGTTGTGTTATTTCGTGTTGTGAATCCGCGCATGGCATGACATGTAGTATTACACGAACTGAATGACAGCGGAAAATCGCATCAAATTGGAGCAGCTTTGCTCAGCGATAAAATTCGCATGTGATAAAGCATTTTTGATATATTCAGCTTTGCTCTGCGAAAAAGTGTGATGATGAGTCTCCATGAACACTGTGCCGTAATACTACTCGAATACTAGGGGAAAACCCTCATCAGAGGCATAAAATATCTAAAACATTGAGCACTAGACAAGGCTAAAAAAAAACCCCCCTTTGTTCGTATTGAGTGAAGAAGAAGAACGAGAAGTCTGAAATCATGTCAACGAGGATGCTCAAATTCGACTCTACCCTCAAGTAATCGTTGATAATGGCACTCAGAGTCTGCCAACTGTCAACGAGATTGCACCCATCATTCCCAATGAATATTCTGATATGATTTTTGAAGATCATCACATACCGAAATAGCTTTCATCCAACGGCAATAACCTCTTTTAAACGAATTAATGAAACACACATGATGTTGCCTACATGCCATGTTAAATGCTGCAAATCATGACTCGGAAGTTGCAAATACATATATTTTGGTGGTGAGCCAGGCTGGCTGGCGTTGTCAGGTATGAAAATTCCCAACAAAAGCAAAAGAAAGCATTCAGACTAAGCAAAAGCCCTTTCAAATGCATGATTTTTATTTGATCAGCATTTCAATCATCATTGTCATCATCAGAAAGGCATTCAGGTCAGCCAGCAGCAGCAGCAGCACCACCACCACCACGAAAATTGATTAAAACTCAGAACATCTTTTTGTCCAAGATTGGCCAAATTTTGACCTTTTTCGATTTAATTAAACTATTTTACGAGATTTGACTACATAAACTGTAATAATCACCCGATACTTCCTAATGCATTCTTGGAGTACTTTTCAAGGCGCTTCCAGTGGTGCCAAGTAAAATACATGTTTTGAATGAAATTATTGAGTAATTTTAGAGAAGATCAAATAAGGTTTCTGGCCGAAATGTCGACAGTTTGCATATGAACACCTCGGAAAAGTGGTTTGAGAGTTGCTTTGGATTTGGAGAAACATTTTGATTTAAAATATGCCATAGTAGAAGTCTTCATTTTCAAGGTGAAAAACGCGATCGTTTGATTTTTGAAAAAAAAAAACCATGAGGGGGTACCTCATGCTTTTTGGTGGATTTCTGGCCCTGTTTTTGGGGTCCTCAAAAAGTTGAGCAAAGGTGTCAGGAAATTACTGCTACTCAAGTACAATTGTTTGGTGTCATTCCAGTGGCTCAGAATGGCCTAGATGTTGAGATGTGAAGGCTCGAAAGCTGTTAAATTTAGCTGTGTTTCATACAATTGCTTCTCAATAGGTGCGTTTTTGATATGATACAAAGGCGGAAAGTCATTGTTTGCGTTAATATGGATTTAAAACATGCTGTTACACCCAAATATTCAACTGAAATATTAGGTTGAGTGGCACTGTTACATCGCAGTATCATAACACAATGATGCTGCTTATTAGCAAGGCGATGGCGGCTGTAAGGCACGCTGGGCATTTTAGACGCAATAGATAGTCTGTATCTAGTAAAAACTGCATATAAAATTAGCTCAAAGGCAGGTAGTCTATAGCTCGGCAGCTCAAATTACTACGTGTTCCGTATCATATCCGGTGAAAAAAGCAGGGTGATAGCACGCATATGGACTATTTCGGTAGCCAAGTTATCATTCATTAAGTGTTGCTAAAGGGCGATTTCCTTGTTTACTTTATAGAGTTCATCCAAAAGAATGCTCCAACTGTACCTAATTTGCTGAGCTGTCAAATTGTTCGCGTTGCAATTTTCCGTCATTGTAATATGCTAGTGATGTACAAGGGTTTATTCTAACATGATGCATTACAAAAAAAACTGATCACTATGTAAATATGGCTCAGGGACACATACTGTACTTGTAGGTAATGCACTGTAAATACATCACTCTGTACCATCGCTCTGCTACTACTAAAACTGTCAAATGCCACTTTGTGATCCCATTTCGACACTTCAAGTTTAAAAGTCACTTTGATGTCCAAATTTTTTCATTAAAGCTTACATCTCTTTTCACATTCGCAACGAGATATCATGGACGGCGTTCAAGAGCAAGAAGCAAAGAAGCAAAAGATCGAGCAAGAGCCTTCTCAAGTTGAGGACACCGAGATTGTTCCAGAACAAGAGGAAAAAGAGGAGCCCACCACTGTTGAATATGACGAGGAGGACATGAAATTGGGAACTCAACTCATTGCAGCTGTCATTGCAAATGATCTAGTAAGCAAATGTCATATCCTCATGCTAGTCCAATACCAATCAAGATACTTAGGAAACGTGCAAAGCTCTTGCAAAGCAAGATGTCGATCTCTGCTTCAGCGGTGATGATCTTGGACGTACTCCACTTCATCATGCTGCTGAACATGGCCACATGGAGATCATTGAATGGTTGCTCTCAGAGAAGCATCCTTACAACTTGACAGACAAGAACGAAGTAACTGCAGGAGAACTTGCCTTGAAGAATAACCACGCCAAAGTCTACGAGCGTCTTGTCGATGAAGGTGTCAGAACCGAGCTTTTGATTCGTGCATTGAAAAAAGCCTTTGGAGACGATGAGGAGGATGAGGCAAGCAAGATTGCCAACGAAGCTTATCTCAACCAAAAGTTGCATTACGACGACAATAAATTGATGGATGAGAACGACGATGCTGTGATGATGGGATGGGAAGGGCCCTTGATGGTGGAGCATGCCAAAGTAATGTGTCCCAAGGAGGGATTGAATGTGATCAATGTTGGTTTTGGTTTAGGTTTGATTGATACCGAACTCCAAAAATACAAGCCTAAAAACCACTACATTATTGAAGCACACCCTGATGTCTATGCTCACATGTTGGAATTGGGTTGGGACAAGAAGCCTGGTGTCAAGATCTTGTTTGGTCGCTGGCAAGACATGGTTCCCAAGTTGGATATTTTGTTTGATGGCGTCTTTTTTGATACCTATGGTGGTACGTATTACCTCTAGTGCCCTGGATTTTTACTGTTTCTAAACAGATTGCATTAGAATTCTATGATGACTTGCGTGCTTTCCATGACTGTGTGCCCAACATGCTCAATGAGAATGGCATCTATACTTGGTTCAACGGCCTCGGTGCTACAAATCAGTTCTTTCAAGACATTTACTGCAACATTTCAGAGATTGATTTGCGTGAATTTGGCCTTAGCACGGAATACATTGATATGCCCATCTCCACATGGGCAGAGCAAGGTGTCTGGGATGGTGTGCGTCAAAAATATTGGGTATTAGACACTTATAAGTTACCTATTTGTAAATTCTTAGAGCAATAAATTATTAACCAAATGTACATGAAAGCAAGAAAAAAAAAAAAGGATTGAAATGTAATATAAAGCGTCGAGATTTTATATACTTTTTTAAACAGGATTTAAAAAACTAACAAAGAGACTATTTAAGCAATGAGCTCGACAACACCACCGGCTTCCTTGATCTTCTTCTCAGCAAGACGAGAGACGAAACGAGTACGGACAATGACGGGTTGAGAGATGGTACCCTTGGCCAAGACCTTACCGTAACCCTATAAAATCACAATAAAACCCGCATTAGATTACACATGCTTTCCTTGTTTAATTTCGCTCATTTACCTTTTGGAGAGCATCGATAACGGGGACCTTCTCGGTGTTCTTGTATTGCTCACGAACACCTTCACCAGCGAGGGTCCAGATTTGGTCAAGGTTGACAACGGGACGCCAGTTGACGTTGTTCTTCAAGTGGAATTGACGCATACCGACCTTACCAAAATAACCAGGATGGTACTTATCCATGTTAATACGGTGATGGTGTTGACCACCAGCAAGACCACGACCACCAGGATGCTTTCTGTGCTTGCCGACACGACCGTGACCGGCTGAGACGTGTCCACGCTTCTTTCTGTTGTGGTGAAGTCTGGTAGGCTGTGCAGAAGAAGAGAAAACAGAAGATTTTGGTTAACGATACATGAAATTTCGACAAAAAAAAGTTTAAACTGTAAGAAAATGATGATAGCGATCGAGAAAATCAGAATGCTGGGAGATGGTGCTTCGAGACACAAGTTGCTGCAACGCTCATGTATGTCATTTTTATCCATTGCTGCCATTTAGAGAGTATGTGAGGTTGAAATGCTCATCCATTCGAATGCAACATTTTTCGGATCCAATCCAAAAGAAACTTCAATCGATCCATCCATCTGAGCAATCATCAATCCATCCATTATTTCTGACCAGCATCTCTTCTAGTAATCACCATCATCACATCCACAGTATATGGTCACTCACCATTTCAGATAAAAAGAGAAAGAATTACCATAGTGATGCCTCCATCTACCTGATCAGTTTGAACGATGGCAACTCCGATTACAACCCTTCTTTCCAAGGAAACGCAGCCTGTTTTGACAGCCCAAGTGTGGCTCTATGGCTTGTCACAGTTAATTCCGGACAAATCAACCGGGCAAGCAGATCCATCATCGTTTGTACATGTAGATCATGTTAGCAAGCCAAGAAAAAGAGTACATATTTAGCATGTACTATGCAAAATGGAAGTACATTGACTTGAATGTGCAATCTTGCCTTCCATTCTCTCCCCCCCCCAGCAGAAATCTTGTCAGCAATCAAATGTCAAGGTCGGGCAGATCCTAAAAGAGACATTGCGATGAGGATTTCCATGTGGGACCCTATTACTAAGGCATATCTCCCGATAAATGATGCTGTCCAGTTATGATTTGCCGTTGCTATATGATCTCAATCACTTTGTGCTAGAAAGTGACGACCTGTTGCCTTGTATTTCATGTCAATTCTTCAAACTCAATAGCACTGTTTGTGATTGCACGTCACTGGAACCTCCATTCAACATTTTGCCTCTTGCCTAAAGTCTTTTTCTTCTTCTTTCAACCACTAATTCATACAATGTCAAATACTCCACCATTACCAAACAACCCACAGGCGCCGAATAGTGATCAAAATTCGCAGGCACAGCAGCAACAGGCTGCTGCTGCTGCTGCTGCCGCTGCTGCTGCTACAACAGGGTCAGCTACTCATACGCCAGCAGACATTGACAAGATGGTCGCGTCCTATTTACAAAAGAAGGGATACAAGGCAACAGAGGCTATATTCTCGCGCGAATCAAAGGGAGAAACCGTGAACCTCAATGACATTCAACCTAAATCAAACGAAACAACTGCAAGTGTTGAAGGACAGAAAGACGACTCTAAAGCTGCAGAATTCACAAAGCCTTCTTCACCATCTGCAGTTAACGACCAAGATCAGGACATGGAAGACGCACAAGCCCAATCGGATCAAGCATCAGGAGGAGACCCAGACGTGTACGATATTAGCTATAAAAGCCTACGAGAATGGATTGAGAATTCATTGGATTGGTACAAGGTAAGTTATACAGAAACAAGAGCTCAAGAGAGGTTGTGGCAATTGACTAGACATGTCTATCTAGCCTGAATTGCGATCTGTTTTATTTCCAATTTTCGTGCACTCCTATCTAGACCTTGTCAGTAAAAATATACCAGATAAAGCCAAGGAATTCATGGACACATATAGAAGGGATCATGTCGAATTACACACGCCAGATCTAAACACGTTAGAGACAGTGACCGAAGCTCAGCATATCCAAGAAAACGAATTGGCTCAGATGTATAGAAGCAACAAGTATAATTTGCGAATGTCTGGTGTACCATTTGAGTTGTTTTTGAATTACTTGCAAGACAATAAATTTATGTTATTATTGCGAATCGTAAATCAATATCTCAATATCCAAGGTAAATGTTGAACAGAGTGTTTGAATTGGGACACCGTGCTAAAATGTATATGGAAACAGTGGTCCACGGTAAATTATTGAAATCTGCAGGCGGATTAGAGATGGATGATGTGATTGGCATCACTGGACATCAAACTCAACAGATTGAGGAATTTAACAAGCAGCATGTACAACTCGGCCTTAGTCAATTGGATCAGTCCTTCAAGGACGAGGTAGAACAGGCCATTAAAGAACAAGAGGGGTCCAGAAATGAAGAAGGCGAGAATACAGCCAACGACTACATTCCTCTGCTCGACACATTCAAGAAAACCATCCAAGAAACTACAGCTGATGGTCCCAATTTTGGTGATATACCACTCCCACCATAGTAAGCTACCGGTTGTATATGTACATCAAAGTGGATAGTGCTTACTCGATTTTTTTTTTATAGCAGAGGCACAGATATTATTGCAGAGATTGATTCATTGAAAAACCTGAATCATCGTATCCCACTGAATGAAACATCGCTACCAAGCATATGCTGTTATACATTTCACAATACTCATGACAGGTAAAAAAAAATCTTTCATGCAAATCAAGTAGTGTTGACTGGCCTAAGCATGAATGTTCTCAATAGCCTCAACTGTGTAACTACAACCCAGGATGCGACTCTAATAGCTGGTGGTTTCTCTGAATCCTTCATCAAGATATGGAGCTTGAAGGGCGAAAAGTTAAAATCATTGAGAAACACTATTAATCCTGCTCACGTAAACGATTGTAAGTGATACGCACGCACGCACACTCAACATGGTACTATGAGTCTTACATGTTCAATGGTTAGACAACGATTTAAATCGTCAAAAAGAGCGACATGGATCAGAGTACAAAAAGCTAGTGGGGCATTCTGGACCTGTGTATGGCCTCAGTTTCAGTCGAGACAACAAATACCTGGTTTCTTGTTCTGGGGATAAAACAGCAAGACTTTGGAGCACACAAACCTTCTCAAATTTGGTTGTTTATAAAGGCCATAATAGCCCAGTGTGGGATGTTGATTTTGGGCCTTATGGATTCTATTTTGCAACTGCTTCACACGATAGAACGGCTCGTATCTGGAGTTGCGACCATATCAATCCTCTGCGAATCTTCACTGGCCACTTATCTGATGTCGATGTAAATGTGTAATCGCTGCTTGCCCGCCGTAGATCTCTCTTTGACTCATATTTTTTCTTTACTAGACTGTCAAATTCCATCCCAACTCCAAATACATTGTTACAGGTTCCAGTGATCGCACTTCGCGTCTATGGGATGTTCAAACAGGCTCTTGCGTGCGTGTGTTTACTGGTCATACAGGTTCCATCAAAACAGTGGCTGTTTCGCCCAATGGTCGCTTGATGGCATCAGCTGGAGAAGATAGGTCTATTATGCTGTGGGATATCGCATCCGGCAAGCGTATCAAGAAGCTGACTGGCCACATAGGATTTATCTATTCTCTGAGCTTCAGTGCAGACAGTGGCGTGTTAGTATCGGGTGGTGCTGATAGCACAGTCTGCGTTTGGGATGTCAATACTGAAAACACATCAGCCATGGCATCGTATATGGATACAGACACGAACGATGCGAAAAGAGCAAGATTGGATGACGATAAAAAACGCAAAGCCGTGCATGAGAGGTGAGTTTATCATCAAAGTCCTTTATGATCTCCCATTGCTAAAATTCATTCTGTCTAGTCGTGAGCGTCTTGCTGTATTCCCAACAAAACAAACCCCAATTTATGATATTCAATTCACAGACCGTAATTTATGTCTTGTTGCTGGTGCATTTACTCCACAAAAAGCAACCGAGCATTAACTCTTTTCACCTATTAAAAGTTCACAACATGTGTATCATATACATTGGGATAATTTCATTCAAGCTGTCTATGATCTTGGATCATTTTTTTGTCAATGAGGCATCTTACATTGGCACCTCTAATAATGCATGGAATACGGTAGTTATTTGTTTCAGGGCTTGAATGAGGCTGTATTGTTCCTGCTGTCAGCTTCCACTCATATAAACTTCTCAACTACATAATTCAATCGCATAGAAGACTTTTGTAAATGCGTACCATCTTCTCTCCTCTCTGATGATGGAAACCATGTACAGTAGTCGCTCTATATAAGGCCGTCCTATATAAGGCTATGCGGGGAATAAGGCTGAAATTTTTCAGGTTTTTTTTTTTTACCAGCTATTTAGCCTTAATAGCCTAATTTTATATAAGGCTACAGATTCTAAAAATTTTAGCCTTATTTCATAGTGGTGATCGCTGAGATTGAATTTAAGGCCAATCAGATAATAAAAAATATATAGCTTTTATTGAAAAATAACACATTTAAACAAAATAATCACGTAAATCTGTTTGATTTTTCTCTGCTACTTCCTCCGATCTGATATCGTTCAGATTCCTACGGATAGTTTTCAGCATAGACTTTTCTTTTTCATCCATTGGGATGGTATGGTACAAGATAGTTTCATACGCATGCTTCAACTTCTCTCTTATCTCCTTCGTATCAACATCGTAAATCTCTACTGGTTCTTCCTCTACCTCAAGCTCTTGTGATCCATGGGTAACATCATCGCCATCCTCAAATTCAACAATCACGGGATTAAAAACGATTGCATCAGACTCATCTGCATTTAGATCCAAGTCGTTTACTTCAGTTACCAATTGAACCCCATCATTACTTCTGTTTCCAGGAAGTTCAGGGATGATTTCGTTCAACTGGCTGACTAGATCATCGTCTAAAGGTAGCTCGAAAGATGGGAGTACATCCTCCGAGTCGACTCTCTGTCTCTGAGCAAACTTAAAATCAAGGATCTTCGTATGATCCCAGCAATTTTGGATTGTTTGAGGCTTAACTTTGATCCAAGAATCAGCAAGAAAATACAGAGCATCCACCTCATCCATTCTGTATTCCTCGGTAAGATCAAGGCTTACCCCAGCAAGATACTTGTTCACTGCCCTGTAGTATTGGTGCCAACGAAACTGAGCCTTGAAGTTCGCAATGATTCCTATCGAGTGTGTGATTAGAGATGAGTACGTATATCAATGAAATTTGTTGATTTACCGGCATCCAAAGGCTGCAACTTGCTTGTTGTGTTTGCTGGAAGGAAAATCAACTTAATATTGCTGAATTCTTCTTTCAATTTATGCACTGAAGCATTGTCAACCAAGAGAGCAACTTTTCTTCCGGCGTAAACGAAAGACGCATTCAAACGTTTTACGTACTTCCTAAAGATGTCGGTGTTCATCCATGCATTGGGAGATGAATGGTACTCCACGTAATGGGATTGCCCGATGTTGGTGGTTCTTCTGTACAAAGCAGGTTTTTTGTTTGCTGCCTTTGGTGTCTTTCGTTTCCCAATTACAATGGGGTGCCCTTTATAGGATCCATCATAGTTGGTGATTAGTCCAACTGTGAATCGGTTCTTGCTTTTTCTTGAACCACCTAAAGGTTCCTGACAAATGGTGCGAGTTGGTTGTTGCTCGTAGTATAAGCCAGTTTCATCAAAGTTGAGAATATCTTTGGGATCATATGGCTCCAACAATTCTTCAATCTTTCTGAGTTCTTCGACAATCTTAGATGATGTTAAGTCGACTGAGCTTTTTTCACCATATAAATGTCTTGACTTGACACCAATTCTCTTGAAAACATCGGTTAGCCATCCATCTGAGAAATGGATTTGCTTATTCTTTGGCAATTCATGCATGCGGTACTTTCTGTGTGCGACTACTTTTGCAAAAGCTGCAATAGTTCCACGATTGACAGGAAGAGATTTTGCATTCATGGCTTGAATGTACTCCAAAATGTCATTGTCCAATTGTGGCATCGTCAAGGCTCTGCTGCTTTTTCCCTTCAAATTTCCTCCTTCGTAAGCTTTGATCACCTTGTCCTGTGAATTCAAGACGTTCGATACAGTTTTTTGCTTGACTGAGTGATGAAGGTTGAATTCCTTTTGAGCCCATTGACCGAGTTGCATTTGCGTCAGATTAGGAAAGTGCATGTTGTGCATAATAATGCGATACTTTTGCTCGATTGTGAGGCGATCTCTTGATCTTTGATTAAGGCACATGATAGGATATTACGTTCAATAGAAGTAAAATAAACAGATAAATGAATGTTACTGGGGAGGTATCAAGTTGATTTATTTGATCAACTATTATAGTAATAGATTCTACGCGCACGACTTTTTTGACAGAAGTCACGCGCGCCAGTTAAGGCTATGCGGGCAATAAGGCTAAAAAAACCTCGCCAAAAAAGTAGCCTTATATAGAGCGACTACTGTAACTCCAATCATAATATAGACGAGTTTAGTTGATTTCATGCTTGTTACATTTGTATCCTACTATAACACACTGAAATTATACTTTTCAACTTCTCGCAATCTACCCAAATTGTCCATAAACGATCTTTATCTGTAGATCTGACTCTCCTATGACGTTCTACATCTGTCTCGATGGGAGCAAGCCTTATAAGAGCAGGCAACATACTTGCATTGTATCATACTGTTCCAAATTATACAGAGTACAGCAAAATTTGAGTGTATTTCAGAAGCGTTTTTCTCGTGTCAGGAGCGGTTTTAAATCGCCAGGATAGCACCAAACAGTCTCCCTCAACTAGGACTTACTTCCTGATACCTTTGCTTGACATTTTTAGGATCATCGAAAATCGACCAGAAAGCATGAGATACCCCTCATGGTTTTCATCGAAAATCAAACGATCGCATTTTTCACCTTGAAAATGAAGACTTTTACTATGGTATATCTTGAATCAAAATGTTTCTATCGATCCAAAGCAACCTCTAAAATCATCTTTGTGGGACTTTGATATGTAAAATTTCGACATTTTGGCCAGAAACCTTTTTTCATATTTTCATAAATCATTTGATAAGTTTATTCAAATCATCTGTTTCACTTAGTACCATTGGATGCGCCTTGAAAAATACTCCAAGAAAGCTTAAGAAAATACAGGATGATCATTATATTCTACTTAGTTGAATTTGCAAAAATAGCTCAATCAAGTCCAAAATTATCAAGATTTGTCCAATCTAGGACAGACTATGATTCTGGGCTTGAATTGATTTTGGCTTGTGGGGCCTACTGGCAAACTCAATGCCCTTTTCATACTGCAATACAGTAGTAAATGCTCTTGAAGCGTATGAAAAGTAGGTGGCAGGCCATAAAGCTATCGTTTATAATGATATTTTATTGCATTCTATATCGTTCATAATGACATTTTCTTGCATTCTATATTTAATAACGTTAGTCAGGACATTGACGATGCATGGGCTGCATAAAATGTCTGCAGTAAGTAGTGAAGTCTCTGAGGCTCTGAGACGTCGTTCAAATAAAACATTGGTAGCATTGAGCAGAGGAAAGAGGGTAGAAATAACAGTGGTTTTTGTTGATTGATTGTAAAATCATTATTCTCATATGAGCCAGGCCAGGCAGATGCCTTGAAACTCAGGTTCCATATTAGGGTTGTAAAGCGTCTAAGGACTGAGCATTTATTATGTTATGATGATATTGAATCAAAACTTTTTTTTTTTTTTGTATTTAAATGTATTTTTTATTTATATTATAGACAGTAAGGTAACATAAGGGTCTTGCATGTCTAAGAAAGAAGAACTTAACCTGGAATAATTTTCCAGAAAAGAGGAGAAAACAGCCCGAGTGATCCAGGATTTACCATCAATTGTGCAGCCCCAATGATGTTGCCAGAGAGATGAGAAGGCAGAGCCGAGAAGTTCCAAGATGGAAATGTCCAGAGGATTGTTGTCCTGGCCGTGAAGGGTGGTCAACCCAATCCAAATGGCCTCGTCCGTAGGGAACAGATCAGCAAGACCGAGGTGAGAGACAAACTCATACAAGAAGAGGGACTTCATACTGCAGCCAATGACCATATGGTATTCATCTTCAGGCGCTTCATGACACACCTTACACAATGGGGAAGGATACTTCACACGGTTCATGGAATGCAGGCGAACCTGCACCGAGAGATGTCCATGCAGCAAACGCCACCACGGTGTAAATGCCTTGGGCGGGAGACAGAGAGACCAAAAATCACGCCAGAGGCGAGGAGGAAGCAGGAGATGTGATGGGCGATAGCCAGGAGGATGGGCTGGGCAACGCAACATGTCAAATGACGGATACCAGGAACGGCGTAACGCCCCGAGCGTGATCTTGTCCACTGTAGCTTTTGAGCGAGGGCCAGTGGTGATGAACCAATGCGAAAAGCTAGCCGTGGGTGGAGAGGGGGTAGTGGAACTCTCCAGCAGTGCGGTGCGCTCTGGAGCGGTGAAAGCCATGACAGACCTGAGAGGAGCAGGGACAACCCAGACAGGAGGACCCTCGATGGGGCACAAGGCATTGAACAGATGTTGCAATGCAGCAGTATCACGGGGACGCACGCAAACCAAGATGTGGGAGCCGGGGAGCACGCTCAAGAGGCTGGCAATCAAGGCATGAGGTGGCAGTTTGTCACTGTTCCTAGTCAAAGGCAAAGTCGCTGTGGGAGACGGGGAGCATACTTGTAACCAGGGCAGATCTAGGAGCCACCAAGACGGCCACTCAGGAGTGAGGGTCAAGGGAGGCAAACGAGTGAGCAGACGAGCCAGATGCTCCAAGTGAGGGCATTTCCGCACACGAGGCCAGCAGGTACGTGGGTATAGCAGCAAAGGCAGCACAGTAGCATGACCTGAGTATACATGAAATGTATACATCAGCCAGGGAGTGAGGAAATCCGCTGGGGATCTAGGACGAAGCAGACGCTTGACATATATGAGATGCAAGGCGAGATGCTGCTTCTTGATGTCAACCAGACCAATACCTCCATGCTTCCTAGGAAGGCAGAGAGAATCCCAAGCCACAGTAGGCCAAAACGAGACGATGTACTGGCGTACCACGCGCTGTACCTCCTCCAGCCACTTGTCAGGAACCACAACCACACGCAGGAGATGCCACAAGCGAGACAGCAGAAGGGAATTCGCCACTAAACCCTTTCCACGAATGGATAGCTGCCGCTTGGTGAGCAGATTGCAATGACGCTGAATCTTCACGGTAATGGAATCCAGGAAATGCTGCAACTGCTCCTCTGTATGATACAGAGGGTAGCCTAGATGCCTCACAGAGCCAACTGACGAGCTGTCGTACCACTCAATGTTAGACGTTTCCGTCACTCGCTTCCAATCAGCATGAGCCTCGTCTGACAGCGACAGCAGCACAGACCATTCCGCCGTAGAAGTCAAAAAGACTTCCAGACCATCGCCGTAGCTTAACAGCTTCACCCGTGGAGGGGTCGCCGGAGCGCGCAAGAGATCATGGTCGCCTTGGACCGGCACGAGAGAGGAGGCACGAGAGATACGCCCTGCGAGAGGAGCACGGACAGCGGTAGACATTGGGACGCCTTGAAGAGAGGGGAAGGCCAAGATGGTTCTAAGGAACGGCTCGAAAGCCAGATATTGAATCAAAACGTTTCTATTGATCTAAGGCAACCCTTGAAACTTTGTTTGTGCAGCCTCCATAAGTGAAATTTCAACATTTTTGCCAAAAACCTCATTTCATACTTTCCAACATTACTCAATTAATCTGTTCAAAATACCTTTTAAAATTATCACCATTAGAAGCGCCTCCAAAAGTACTCAAGGAAGGACTAAAGAAGCATGGCATAATTATCACAGTTTACATAATTAAATCTAGTAAAATAGGTCGAATTAAACCCAAAAAGTCGAAAATGAACAACCAGGACTAAAAAATTGATCGAAAATTGAAGTGATTTTGGCTGGCAAAATGCGTTTTCAAGGTAATGGATGCTTTAGAAGCTCATGAGAGGGGAACTGTGAATTAAAAAAATACCATAATCTATTCTGACTACTTTGTTTTGACTTTTTTTTTATGAACTTTCACATATACATAGAGTAGATTCAATTGCTACAAAAAGTATTCTCAAACGTGAGCTCCACTGCGAAATACAAGTTGCCCAATCTATTCACGATTTTGTTATGTCACTAGTGTAAGTCTACTCAGTTTGTGTAAAGGTAAGAACAGACACTTGATACATGTTCAATTGAATATACTGCATAGCTTTGCCGTCATTTTTTCTTTGTGGCTACTTCTGGTATGATCATTTGATTCATATTCAAATTGCTGAGACAATCAAAGCTCGATAATATAAACTGTGTATCTTTTAACATTCATGCAGATTTTATTTTATAACAGATACTATGATCTTGGATAGAATGTAAAATGTATAATTGAAATCACACGACACAATCAGACTACACTAGCTCCCAAGAATCGTTTTCTGTTTCTAATGATGAAAAGCTTTTCATGGGGATGTTAATATACTTATTTTCAAATTCTCCATCTGCATTACGGCAATTCTTTCTGTCAGAGAGATCAACGCAAAAGTTTGAGTCGTAGGGTCTTTCAAATAAAGGGCAAAAGTCAACGCCATAGCCTCTCATTACGGATGCCTTCTCTTCAACGTAGACGAGATCCATAGCCTTCTTTTGCAACTTCTTTTTTCTAGAGCTGGCGGTAGAGCAAGTGGAAGAAGCACCAGTAGAAATGTTTTTGATGATTTCTTTCGCAGCATTAGCAACTATTAAACGCATTCGCTTTGCGCTAGGTTGTTTGATGCAGTAGCCATGAATAAAGCAAACATCTTTCTCATCCTCCATTTTATCAACAAGGACCATGTCCTCTTCGTCACACAAGGAGAAATCAGAGTTTGAGCCAGCATGGACATCTTGATTGAGCTCTTCGTAGAACTGGTCAGCTTGGTAGGGATCAAATGCATTGGGAGAGCTTGTCAACTGAAATTGTTGAAAGAGAACTTTGGTAACAGTTAAGATGTTGCTAAACATAATTTTGTGAAAGAGGTAAGAAAGAAACGAAATGTTTTACATAAGGATCACTGGCAATTGATATTTTTATAGTCCTATAGTCTCCCTGCTTTGTTTTCTGATTGTATCAGCAATAAGCTGACATGCCTTACGTTTGCTCTAATCTATCACAAACGGTCTTTCAGAATGACTGGCCCGACATTATTTAGTCATAGTCCAGTCAGTGTATCTCGAAGCTTGATTTTGCTACTAATTTGGTTGACAGTGAGAAGATACTCATAGTAAAACTAACACATCTAAATGCCTTATATTGTGTCTTTGTGTATTGGTATTCGAGCATTGAACTATGCTGCTTTATATATTGTTGTTGCCCGGATCTCAATTTCGTATCCATGCAAGCTTCTTTTGATGGATCTGTGTAACTTGATCCGCCTAATCTTTCTGAAATGTGGGGTTCCTGGCCAGTTGAGAAGGCGCTCAAATACGCATTGATAGATTAGCAGATGGTTTGATGAAAGATAATCTACAGAGTATAAAAAGATACCAAATATAGTGTGTATAGTATATCTTGAGAAATTTTATTTATGTATAATAATGGAGCTTTTTTGTAAAAAGGAAAGGGTTATATGACAATTTTTTTTGCAAATTATTTGTACAAAGAGAACAAATTTATTGTTCAGGAGTCCACTTCTTGAGACGAATGGAGTGAATCTTGATGAAACCATCAGCATCTTGAGGGTTGTAACCACCTTGCTCATCCATGGAAGATTCTTGCATATCGTAGAGCTTGGCACCGTCACCACGAGCAACACGACCTTCGATGACAGTGTTACCCTTGTAGAGCTTCAACTTGACATCACCAGTGACATTACGTTGAGTAAATTCGATAGACTTGGTCAAGAACTCGCATTCAGGAGAGAAGTATTGACCGTTGTAGAGAGCCTTACCGTAAGGAACAGTAATATTTTGATCACGGAGAGCACGCAATTGACCGTCCAAAGTCAAACCTTCAAGATCCTTGTGAGCAGTACGCAAGATGGTACCACCGGGAGTTTCGTAGCAGCCACGAGACTTGACACCGATGAAACGAGATTCAACAATATCGATACGACCAACACCGTTACGACGGGCAACTGTGTTGAGGTAGGTGAAGAGCTTGACAGGCTCAGTTTCTTCATGGCCATCGTTGTGGTTAACAACCTTGACGGGAATACCCTTCTCGAAAGAGATGGTAATGCGCTCAGGAGTGTTGGGAGCATCCTCAGGATCAACAGTGAGCTTCCACATTTCCTTGGGAGGGGTGACATTGGGGTCCTCGAGAATACCAGCTTCGTAAGAGATGTGGAACAAGTTTTCATCAGTAGACCAAGGCTTGGCCTTGGTTTGAGCAACGTGAATGTTCTTTTCGGCGGCAAAGTCCAAAAGAGCACTACGACCAGCGAAACGTTCAAAGAAGACTATAGTGAAACAGATGAACATATTAGTATATATGCTTCCATTTATCGTTTTCCTTTCATTCTATAACCCAATCAACTTACCAGGCAATCTCCAAGGAGCAATGACTTCAATGTCAGACTTCAAGGCATAGTAGGCAAGCTCGAAACGAACTTGATCGTTACCCTTACCAGTACAACCGTGAGAAACGTATTGACAACCTTCTTGAGCAGCAATTTCAATTTGTCTACGGGCAATGACAGGACGAGCCAAAGAAGTACCCAAAAGATAGACAGACTCATAGATGGCATTGGCTTGAATAGCGGGGAAAATTTGCTCCTTGACGAATTCTTCTTTGAGGTCCTACATGATGTATCAACTGATGAGATGTCTGATCCCTACACAATTCCAGTATATATTTACCTCGACAAAGACCTTGGCAGCACCAACACTCAAGGCCTTGGCCTTAATGGCTTCGAAATCTTCTTCTTGACCAACATCAGCAATGTAAGCCAAAGTTTCATAACCTTGTTCAATCAACCAAGCCAAAATGACAGAGGTATCCAAACCGCCAGAGTATGCAAGAAGAACCTTTCCTTTGTTAGTAGCCATTGTTATTGATTATTTTAGAAGTTAAAATAAGAGTAAAGAAAAGAAGTGGAATCAAAATGTCAAACCATTTATATATTTGCGCCCAAAAAAATGAGGGGGTTACTAAATGTTGGATCCCCGCTCATGGTTCAAGCAAAAAAATTTCATTTTGATACTTGATTCTGGTGACACTTTGCTATGATAAATTAGCAAAGCCACCTACAGATGTAAACAATCATGTCAGTTTTGTACAACTTTTGCTCAATTCGTTTCTACAAGGAGTAGAGCCATTTCTAGCATGTAGAATCTTCATGCTATCAACAAGCCATTTTGAGTTTACACTAAGAACTCCATTAGTCGGAATTTAATTCATCTTGTCTATGAGAAACGATGAGTCAGAGTTCCATATAAGGTTGTTAGTCATGAACGAATACCCCGCTCTCAAGACGATCTTCTCTTACAGTCGACGAAAAAAGATTGGCCCAAAAAAAAAAAAAAAAAAAAATGGCCAGTTTGAAATGAAAATGGATCACCGATTTTGAAAGTGGGTTAGCCAATGAAAATGGGTCATAATTTGAAAATGGGTCACTAAGACGAAAATGGTTCATAATTTGAAAATGGGTCACTTAGTACGAAAATGGGTCACCGATACAGAAATGTAATGAGGATTGGCCAAATTCTCTCTTCTTTTTCACTTCTTGATTTTTTTCATATTGCTAAACATGAACGAAGAATACAATTTTGACAGTGAGACAGTACCTATGATGATACAATCATATATGGACTGGGAAGAAACTACAGCAGTAAATGCAGCACAAAAAGAAGCTAAGAGGAAGACCAAACTTCACTCCAAGGAGTCCTCCCTTGATGTAGTGAAGAAGGAAAGGGGATCATACATTACCAAGAACGAAGCAAAGGTAGTCAATTTGATCAATTTGATCAATTTGTTGCAAGAGTTTGAGAATATGTCTATCAGTGAAGCAGGTAGAAAGGTAGGGCTCTCCAAGTCAACAGCTATTCGTAAAGTCAAGCAATGGAATCAAATGACAAGCGAAATAGCTGAAAAAGGGTTCCCTGATTCTATCGCAATCAAAGAAGGAAAGGGACAACCACAATACTTAAAGACGAACATACTGTATTTATCTTTGAGCTGCTGGCTAATGAGCCAACATTGACAGTTGAAGCTGTTACAGACCACCTGCCAAAAGAATTTAGAGATATACAGATCACCCCCAGATCAGTGGAGAATCACATGAAGAAGAAGCGTCGCCTAACCTACAAGCGTATCATTCCTAGATATTATGGCAGGAACAAGGATGAAACTGTTGCCAAAAGACGACAGACTTTAAAGCGGTGACAAAGTTAGGCTTGTCACCGCTTTAAAGTCTTTTTGGCTATTATTTTATGCGTCTTGATAATGAAATGCCGCCCCTGAATTGAGCAAGAGTTTTCTGATCTACCGAAATTGGTTGTCCGATAAATGCATCAACGATTATGGCTACATGCTCTTGATACAATACACTGCTTGACAGTTGAAAACAGTGTAATTAAGACTAATTTTAGGAACAAATTATCTACTAAATTCTCTTTTTTTTTGAACTTCTACCATTGAACGAATCGACTTGAATTACAAGAGCAAAGCTTGAGCACTTTCGGATCGAATGTATAACAGACTACATTGAGCAAATTACAATTCAAGACAATTTGTGTGAATACTGAAGAAGATTATTATACTAAAGTTTATCTAGAATTTCTCTAATGGGCTTTTCCCGGAGAAGATGGCCGAAGTTTGTCAATTATGCGCCAATCCCGGATTAATAAAAAGAGAGTAAACGTAAACCTTAATTCTTCACTCTTTGCTTTTGCATTTATTTATTTTTAACAAACATACAGTAATGACTATATCGCCTACCAAGACTGAAATACTGGGTATTACTGCTGCTGCAGTAGTCTCAATTACAGCATTGCTAGCCTTGAAGTATCCTGACCGTGGTGTATTTCATGAGCATCGAGAAGGGCTTATCGACATGGAGGGAGCCCCAATTCTTGGTAACCTTCCAAGTATGATCAAGAATTTGGATAGATTTTATGACTATCTCACTGAGCATCATGAAAAGATGAATACTTTGACATTGTAAATTTGTTTCATCCTTGAAATGTGAGCAATGTTATGCTAACTGTATTCATATAGTCGCGCCACTTTCTTCATGATGCCAAGCTTAATTTGCACCGCAGATCCTAAAAATGTGGAGCATATTCTCAAAAGTAATACATTTAATCATTTACTATTGTCTTCGTAATTACTGATTGATGGTTTTGATATTCAACAGATAATTTTGAAGGATACATTAAAGGTTCAGAGTTTGACTACACGATGCACGATCTTTTAGGTGAAGGTATCTTCAATTCAGATGGTGATAGATGGAAATCCCAACGCAAGACAGCGAGTCAAATATTTCATGTAAAGAACTTTCGAGATCAATTCACAAAGTATGTTTATAATTAATGATACCATTAGTCAATTGATATTCACTGTCATTAAAGAGTATTTGTAGATGAAACCAATTTGGCTTCTCGAGAGATATTCGACAAGGCGGCTGCTACAGGAGAGATAATTGATCTTCATGATATCATGCTACGTTTCTCAATGGATTCTTTTGCAGAGTACGTACAACAGCGGTTTGTTTTTCATCAGCACTAATGAAAGAACATTATTATTAGGTTAGGCTTTGGTGTCAAGCTGAATTCGCTTCTTGAACGGGCTGACTTTGCGGATTCATTCGACGCATTACAATTGCATTCATTCAAAAAATCCATCATACCAGGCATTGAAGCGTATGAAACAGCAAAGCATTACATGTTCTATTGGAGCAATTATAAGTCGATGAAGCAACATCTGGATACAGTCAATACATTTGCCAAGAAGCTCATCAAAGAACGCCACGAAGAGGAGGAAGAAGCAAAATTAAGCGACATCAAGCACAAAAAGGGAGACTTATTGTCACGTTTCATAAAAGCAGCGTCCCGCAACGGACAGACGCTTGACGATGAAGAATTGAGAGATACTATCCTCAATTTTATTATTGCTGGAAGAGATACAACAGCCCAAGCACTCTCATGGACCTTCTATCAATTGATGCAATTCCCAGAAATACAAGAAAAGGTGTATAGGGAGGTGGAGCAATTCATCAGCGAGGAAGTAGAGGCAGATACCTCTAAATTGTATACTGTTGTCCAAGACATGGTTTACTCCCACGCAGTGTAAGTTGACCCATGATGGTTTGGTACTACTCCTAATGACTTAAGCGCAGGCTATTCGAGGTCTTGAGACTCTATCCTTCAGTTCCTGGCAACCAAAAGGAGGCAGTGAAAGACGATGTATGGCCTGACGGAACCAGAGTATATAAGGGCGAGCAAATCTCATGGCAGCCCTATTGCCAAGGCCATTTAACAAAGATTTGGGGTGCAGATGCAAAAGAATTCAAGCCAGAGCGGTGGATATCCGACGCTGATGGATCACTTGTGCGTGTATCACCTTTCCAATGGTCGGTATTTAACGCCGGTCCTCGCATATGTTTAGGTAACCTTGCAAAACTAACATCGAAAGACACACTCCCTAATGTAAAATGTATATTAGGTCAAAATTTAGCCATTTTGGAGGCTTTAGTAGCTATTGCGCTCATCACCAAGAGGTACAAGTTACACCAAGCTCCTGGCAATAAAGTAGAGATCCTGAACTTAGTAACATTATCCATGAAAGATGGACTCAAGGTCACCGTCGAGAAGCGAAAAGCGTGATCTATGTATGGAGTGTGCAATGTAAGCCCTTTTCAAGCAACTTGACAATAAAAACTGCATTTCAAATGGAATAATATATCTACTATATACCATGAATATTCACATGTTTTAACCTTTACCCAAGCCCTTGAAAAAGAGGGTTGGTGCCTGGCGAATGCATACATAATACTGAAAATATAGAACCCAATTTTGTAACCGAGAAGGGAGCTTAAAATATACTGATTCGTTTGAATAGCTTGTCATTAGATAATCATAGCTAGAAGGCTATGTAGAATGTCATTTTTTATTAATTTTTGAGAATATATTTGCCTTATTAATGACGTGATGCAATTGAGTTAAAGGGTAGGGGTAATAACTATTGCTAATATCCTTAAGACGGTATCGCTTCTCCTGAGTGTAATTAGCAAGTAAGGTTGTATTGCTAAGATTGACTAAATGAGACTTCCGAGCGAAAAGATCCTTGAAAAAATCACGAAAAGAATACAACTCCAAGAGGCTTCAATTGGCACTAAGTAACAATAATCAAATGTACCTAAGCTTGTAGCAACAGGGCACCCACCATGTACTCTTTATTTTGTTATGTGCATTGCGATTAAAGATGAGACCTCCATTTGGTGAGCACAAATCAGCGACGTATTTGATCAACTGGGGACATCCATCAAAGATGCAGTGATGGATTTCGCTACCATTTGCTTATTGGCAAGCTGAAATTGATGATGCCTCCACGTTCACCATCAGTAGTGCCTATCCTCTTATCTCCCTCGGCCACTTTTTGTTTCCTCTATATAAAAACTTTCTATTTAGTTTCAAGTCCTTTCCGTGCGTACCCCTAATAACTTGTATTATAAAGCTCGTCCAATCTGCCAATTGCTTCGAGTGAAATGGCAACGTTATCCACCCTCACTGTAATAGCAACTTTTCATAACTGTATAATACACACCAAACGCAAAAGTGGCTGGAAGGATCAGGATACCTGTAAATTCAGGGGGTAGTGTTTGTATCTTATGTGGCGTCAAATCTCTTACTGGAACAGCCCCCTTAAGTTAGTGCTAGCACCTCGAGTAATACAAAAACGAGTATCGTTTGCCAAGTACAAGATTTGATTATACGAGAACCAGTTTAGATATAGAGTCTATGACATACTTTATTTATATTTGGATTGATGTTCAAATGCGACATGATTTGACCAAACAAATGAGCAATTTACAACGTTTCAAATAAATACAGCAGTGTTCCAATTAAATCGAAGTTTATTCACAACGCAGAAACCCCAGACTTCCGGGATAGTGAATTTAATATAGATATAGTGTGTTCCCTTGGCGAAGCTGGGCATCGTTTGCAACTACTTGACCCAAGTCATAAATAGACTTGACATGGCCATTTATGCATAACATGGATATTTGTGTATGATGCTAATAAAGCTCACAATGAGTTTCAAGTGCGCATGTTATGTATACATGCATGTAGGCATGTACGCAGATCAAAAAATTTAGCTCATTCCGTGCTGTTCGTCTCAGCTCTGATCTAAAATTCATCAGACTAAGCCAAGCAATCCAGACAATTACAATGGCGATATAGTAAAGAGCATAAACCTATCTGACCTAGGCTAGGATATCGATGAGAACAAGATTGCATATGACAGTGATTACATGGCTCTTTTGAATCATGTCTTGTTGCAGGCTGGAATCTCTTGATACATGTATGAATGATGAGGGCTGAATACCTGACGAATCGGAAGGCAAACTTTCTTTTAAATGCGACGTTACATGTAACATAGTAGTCTGAATTCCACAGATCAAAATAGTTACATTTCATGGCTCATCAATGTGATGTATGTATGCAAACGTACATGCAACATGATTTTATTAAAGAAGAATGATATTGAGTCGATTTGTCTGCATAATTTTTTTCGCTTCTTGCAACAAAAAAGTGATATAAATATACGAACCAATAGTCCAAAACACTACATAAAAGGAGAGATCATACACCATGAACCCCACCCATCATGTCGACTCCCAACACCAACTGATACAGGCTGTGTATGTGGGGAAACACAAATATCAAATAGGAAAAGCATTATTTATATAATGCTATGCGTGCGGCACCCAAGTGCACTGTGCCACGCTAGATAATCCAAGAACCACAGGGAATCTTTCTTGTTGTCGGATGATATTCTTAATTTAGCCTCTCTGACGTGAAAGATTGGATGGAAGGGGAATCTTTAATTATGTGCTATAAAGGAGTCGATTTTTGTTGTATGTGTGATACTCTTCCCAAGGATTTGAAAAGCTCAATCTCATTTGAAAGGGGGTGTTAGGCAGGGAAAGGTGATGTGGTATTGATACAAGATGTATACTCTGAAATATAAATGTACAAACACAGATAAACGTACAAACACAGATTATTTGATCAATGATGTACTAAAATATCTTGTTTGTGTAATCATTATCGAATTTATGTCTCGGTTATTGTTATCGGTACTAGTTGTGATGTGGAATGTATATATCATGGATTTAATGAATTTTCTCCTTTTGTTGTATATTGCCTACATGCAATATCACATACAATGAAATGGACCAAAAAGCAGGGTCAATCATTATTGTGGAAAAAAATCAGGTCGCGTGTTGTGTAACTTTATGGCATTCAAATGAAATCAGCAGCATCATCATGCCATGTACTGTACTGAATCTTGAAAGATGAGGAGGAGCAGAGCAGGAAGAAGGAGAGTTAGCGATGGTTCTGTTGTCATGGCAACTGGATGATGAAAATCCCTATTGTTGCCATGGAGACATCTATATCGACCGGATTTCATGTTGTTGCGTTGTTGCAGTTGCTGGCGCCGCATCTCGTATATCTTCCATTCACTCCTAAAACGGACTCGCCGTCTGTTCTTTATTCTATTTCCAATTTAGATTCTCCTTATGCGTAGCTAGCTGTATGATATTCTAAACCTTAATGTTTGTGTATGTCAAAATACTAGTTTTTTTTTGTTGTTGTTGCAACTCTTTTTCTTTCTCTTCTTCATCTAACGCTTTACATAAAATGTTGACAATACAATCGATGGATTATTTTCCTTACTACGATCCAGCGTATTCGGCAAAGCAGCAAACCTACCACCTACATGACCACCAGCAGCCACAACAATGGGTTGAGCAGCTCTGCACTCTACAAACAATCATTTCATCCCCACCATCTCCACTTCCAGAACATCCCTTTCTCTTGTCTGCACCCAACGATCTCTCCGTCATGAGCCAGAAAGTGATTAAATTGCTGTGCTGTGGAAACACTATTTGGGACATGGATAGAATTGCAAATTTCTCAAGCTTCTGTGATCGATTGATGTTACAAATTGACATACCCGAAGCGGTAGTTTACACAAGGTATATCATGATATTGTTAAGTTCACATTGCCACATGTATTTACTGTTTCTCTCTCTTTTTTTTAGCCTGAAATACATTCAACGTATTCTGGCAAATAGTGTAAATGAATACAATTTAATCGACTTGTCTGATATCGCACATGAATACTCATTATTTACTGTATCACTGTCACTGGCGTACAAGTTTCTTGAAGACAACCCACCTTATATGGTAATATAGCATAGAGTGTAATCAATGTCAATTTACTAAACTAGTGTTAAATATATAGCGTCAATGGTCATTTGTATCCATGATCCCAATAGAAGACCTAGTTCGAGTGGAATCACAGATGTTACAAAAACTAGACTATTCACTTGATATTTCAATCGAAGCATTTAATCAATGGACCGATCAATGCAACGAGATATTCCACGGTAGTCAAGATGTTTTAAAGTATGATTTGCATATGACTCGACAACGACTTGGATGCAGCATACTTTTACCGGTTTTATTAGACGATTTCTATTTCAATCAATACCAACAGCAGCAGATGATGATGCTGATGCTGATGCAGCCACAACAAGAATTATACACAGCAGAACAGCATTATGATGATCTGTATTATTATGATCTAAATGATACTATGATGACAACAGATTACTATTCGCAAGTACCGGTGCCAGTAGATCCTTTGTGGTACTTGACACACAATAATAGCACTATCTTTTAGATCGGTCTGTTTGTTTATAGTCTTCTCTTATACATCTTATACATATGCACATAACACATTTCATTATATACCTTTTGTATCCATTCACCTTCCCTCCTGATTCCATCCAAAACCCCTTTCTCTTCTTCCATTCAGTACATTTGCTCTTTCATATACAGTAGTACACATATCATGTCAAAAAACGAAATAAATCTTTGAGAATATTAATATTTATTTACAATCATCTAAAATCTATCGCTTTCCTCCCTTCTTCTTTTCAAACTTCTTCTTTTTGTCACCAAATTTCATCTTGGCATCAAAGTTGTTGGCATATTCTCTCTTTGACTGAAGACGAACGGCCTTTTCGGTATTTACAATATCATTCTTTCCAACAATCTTCTTCAAAATATCCAATGAACTGTTCTTTTCCGCTTTGACATCACCGATAGTAGGGCTGAATTGATGTGTAACACCCTTCATCTTGGTTTCTCCCTTCAACTTGTTATCAAATTTGCCAACACTAGCAGTAGCCTTCTTGGATGCAGCAATGGCTGTTTGTAACTCTTCCTTTTTGAATTCCTTGATATCTTTCTTGCCAGCCAAAGTAGCGGCTGTTCCTTCTTCTTGGTTACGGCGTTGACGTTTAGCATTCTTCTCAACACGACCCTTCTTTTCCTCGCGTGCTTTAGCATACTGATCTTCCATAGGATCAGCATGATCAGGAACAGGCATGAGCCAGTCTTGATCCAGTGTACCTTCAGGCTTGGCTCCCTTATAACCCCAACGAGGTGTGTATTCACCAGTCTCTTCGTCATAAAGCATACGCTCACGTTTCTTGTTTTGAATGCCTTTGACCTTGGCAAACTTCTCCCATCTGGTAAGAGGCTTTTCTTTAGGCAAAGGCTTCTCGCGAGGCAGAACGCTTACACGGGCAGGCAACTGAGCCAAAACACCAGCATCGGCACTGTTGACGGGTAATTTGAAGAGCTCGTTGATAATTAATTGAGTGTTGTCTCTAGTCAAGTCCAAGAGATATTTGTCTGTGCTGTTCTTGCTCCTATCATGTACATCAAAATGTCAGCATTGACACTTGCGATTCGGGTACTGCAAGAACTTACTTGAGAGTCTTTTCATCCAAAGCATTAGTATCAAAAGCTGATAAGAGATTGATGTCGAAATCAAGAGGCACAAGCTTCTCGACAGTGATAGGCTTACTAATATTGACATTTGGAGATCATGAGTCTACAACACTTCGATGGAAAGAATGTGGGGTTCTCGAAATTTGAACTTACAATTGAGCTTGATGAGCTTCTAAAATCTCGGTAACATCCATTTTTCTTCAATCAACAAATATATGAGAAATATAAGGCAATGTGGCAGATTTAGCCTTCAAGATTTTGATTTATGATTTGTAAAAAAAAAAAAAAAAAAAAAAAAAAAGAGAGAAAAAAGCTTTTTGCAGACTGCTTTTTAGTGACCATTTTGTCCTTTCAAGGAACCACATGAATCTTGCATTAAGTGATCTTGCCGCTTTTGATAAGATTTAGAAGTAGCGGATGAATGAAAGGGACTCTTTGGTGGTTTGGATCTGAATTTTGCATCTACTAGAGTATTGCTTAATTTTTATTTTCGTTAAAACACTGAGAATCTGATTATAGTTTGAGAAGAAATGTCAGCGTCTGATCTGAACGTCAGATGCCAACCAATACAGACGCTGGCAATAGCGCTTTATACCATGGAAATCATCGAATATCAACAGATTGCAACTTTTACTCCAAAAACGAATATTCTTACTGTGACATCCCACAAATTCCATAACTACAAGCTAAGAATTGAAGGCGAGAAGTCTTTCTTTGATCGTGAATTAAGAAAGTGAGATTTGGAAGAAATCCCAGCAAGAGTTCGAGAACAGGCGTAAGGTCTAGCATGTCATTGCTTTGCATCGTTTATATGTATACGAGTGTTTATGCTTCGGATAGCTCTCTACCTTCGCTTCGCTTCGGTGAGAACCTACCTGCGCAACGGCAGCTCGCGCTACCGATTGCTCTTGCAAAATACAGACACTTTCATTTTGACCCTCCACTTACACATGAAGACCCTTCATATTATCTGTAGGTCTGATTCTTATGTGATGCTCTACTTTTATATACACGTGGCTACTTCATATACGGACAAGCAGCATACTAATATTCCCCCTTTTTAGCCCTTAGTGACCCTGATACAGCAAAATCTGAGTGCATTTGAACTGTGTTTTCTTGCGTTCAGGGCCGTTTTAGATTGTCAAAATAGCAACAAACAATTGCTCTCATCTAGCGCTTACTTCCTAATACCTTTATTCAGCTTTTTGGGGACCAAAAAAACATGGACAAAATTTGACCAAAAAGCATGATGTACCCCTCATGGTTTTCATCGAAAATCAAACGATCGTGTTTTTGACCTTGAAAATGAAGACTTTTACTATGGTATATCTTAAATCAAAATGCTTCTATCAATCCAACGTAACCCTTGAAATCATCTTTGTGGGACTTCGATATGTAAAATTTCGACATTTTGGCCAGAAACCTCTTTGCATATTTTCATAATTTGCTCAATAAGTTTATTCAAAAGATGATTAGCATATTTTACTCAGTCGAATCTGTTAAAATAGTTCAATCGAGTCGAAAATCATTCAGATCTGGCCAATCTGAAACAGAATATGAATCTGGGTTTGAATCAGTTTTGGCTGGTAGAGCTGGCTGGCAAACTCAATGCCCTCTTCATCATGAAGGCAATACAGTGCTAGATGTTTTTGAAGCGTATGGAAAGTAGACAGAAAACCAAAGCACTATTGCTAATTATGCTATTTTTCTTGTATTTTATATTTAATTAATAATGCCAATCTATCAAAATACTAGCCAAATCAACTTTTTTCCTATTTGAGGCTTTGAAAGTGTCTAGGGACCATAAATTTATTACGTTGCGATAATATGGAGATGTTGTCTTGCCAGCATTAGGTGGCTATTTACTAAAGTCATTTATTTATCATATAGTATACTCAAATAGTATGAAGCGTCATCAAAGGTATATAAAATTTAAAACATTGAGCATTGGACAAGGTTGGAAAAAAAATTGTTCGCAATTACAAGCCTGTACACGAGGTCCTGAGTAAAGGAGAGAAACGACAAGCCTGAGATCATATCGACAATAATTCTGACATTTGATTCAATCCTCAAATGAAATTGAGGCTAATTGTTGGTGAAAATAGGCGCACACAAAATCTTCTACCTGTCTACAAGATTGCAGCCATCATTCCCGATGAATATTCTAAGAGAAAATTTAAGCATATCCTCATCACATACCGAAATAGTTTTTTAGCCAGTGGCAATAGCCCCTTTCAAATCAATCAATGAAGTGCATATGATGCTGCGTACATGCCATGTTGAATGCTGCATATCATGACTCGGAAGTCGCAATTACATATATTTTGGTGGTGAGCTAGGCTGACTGGCATTGTTAGGTATAAAATTCCCAACAAAAAAAGCAAAAGAAATTATTCAGACTTAGCGAAAGTCCTTTTAAATTTACTGTTCGCATTTGATCAGCATTTCAACCATCATTGTCATCATCAGAAAGGCCAGTAGCAGCAGTAGTAGCAACAGCAGAAGCACCACCACCACCACGAAAATCTATTCGAACTCAGATGATATTTTCTGTCCAAGATTGGTCAGATTTTGTTCTTTTTCAATTTAATTAATCTATTTTGCAGGATTTGACTATACACACTGTAATAATCACCCGATACTTCCTAATGCATTCTTGGAGTGCTTTTCAAGGCGCTTCCAATGGTGCCAAGCAAAGTAGATGTTTTGAATGAGATTATTGAGTAATTCTAGAGAGTATCAAATGAGGTTTTAGGCCGAAATATCGACATTTTGCATATGAAAACCTCACAAAAGTAGTTTTGAGAGTTGCTTTGGATCGAGAGAAACATTTTGATTTAACATATACTGTAGTAAAAGTCTTCATTTTCGAGGTGAAAAATGCGATCGTTTGATTTTTGATGAAAACCATGAGGGGTACCTCATACTTTTTGATCGATTTTTGGCCATATTTTTTGGGTCCCCAAAAAGTTGAGCAAAGATATCAGGAAGTTACTACTACTCAAGTGCAATTGTTTGGCGTCATTCCGGTGGCTCAAAAAAGTCTACGTGTTATGATATACAGTCTTGAAAGTTGTTAGATTTGGCTGTATTTATACATTTGCTTGTCAAGAGATGTTATAATACAAAGACGAAGAGACATTGTTTGCGTTAATCTAGATTTAGAGCATGCTGTTACATCCAAATATTCAACTGAAATATCAAGTTGAGTAGCACTGTTGCATCGCGGTATTATAGCACAATAAAGCAGCTTATTAGCGAAGCAATGGCGGCTGCAAGATACGCTGGATATTTTAGACGCAATAGGCAGTATGCATCTAGTCGCTTGATGATATACCAGAAAACTATAGAAAAACATCGGCGTAGCTAACCAAGGATCAGAAGTCCTTCTTCCGAAAACATAAAGCATCTAATTCAAGTAATTTCTTGCCAGTTATCTAGTTATAAATCGAGTGATATGTGGTTTTAAGACAACATTTGGTAACAATGACCTATAAGAGGGCTTTACCGAAGCGAAGCAAACGTGCAAAATCACAGTATTCAACCAGTAAATCTGGTCTCTCAATCTCATTATTAACAATCTTACCAGCAATACAACGCATCAAAATTTGCATGAATTAGGTTTGCGAAAGTCAATATGCCTACTATTCGAACTAGAAATTGCGCAGGCAGCAGAACCGCTCGCCCAGAAAGTTACAGCTACCAAAGATGTGATTCATGCTGTGTAAATAAAAGCTATAAAGCAAAAAACATGAGCAATTGGATGGCTTTCAAGACTGTATATCATAACACATAGACTTTTTTGAGCCACCGGAATGACGCCAAACAATTGCACTTGAGTAGTAGTAACTTCCTGATATCTTTGCTCAACTTTTTGGGGACCCAAAAAATATGGCCAAAAATCGATCAAAAAGTATGAGGTACCCCTCATGGTTTTCATCAAAAATCATGGCTTTCTCCGCTAAAGATCACAATTTAGGTGAAAAAGGCAGGACCACCAACTTTGGTGGCTCTACGCTGGATTCCAGCCATAATCCAGGCAACAATATGTTTACATATGCTTCATTCTTCAAGGATATCAACTCGCAAAAGAGAACTCCATTCAAGATCACCCCTTCCATTTCTAATAATGGTGTTATCGGCAAAGCTCTTGACTTCACGTCCACCTTCGTTGAAGCCCAGGATGATTTCTCTCTGATCATCGACTGTGTACAGTTCGTCGGCATGCACTTCAAGGAGAAATCGTTATCAAGCTGTCTCCGTGAACAATATCCCAAAGGTCTTGGTATTCGACACCGTGTGGTTGGCAAGAATCACAAAGTCATTGAAATCAACTTCCCCACAGAAGAGGATTGTATGGAAGCCTTGCAGAAAGAGTTTATTCTCCAAGGTGCAACTATCCAAGTCAACAAGACCCTGGACAAGCATGCCAACATCTTTCGAGTTAGCATTTCGGCCATTCCTTACAAGCCGGTGGAGGTACTCCAACCTCTGTTGATCAAAGCCTTTGAAGAATATGGTGATATCCTCAATGTCGGGCTCTGCCACTCCAAGGATGGGGATTGGTTCACTGGACGCGGCTTCGTCACCCTTAATATCGACAAATCCAAACATTATGCAGCCGAGTTGAAGCCTCAGGTCGCACTTGATGGCTCGCAGGAGAATCTCCGCTTGACATGGGCAAACATGCAACCCATCTGTTCGGATTGCCATACCGATGATCACGTCAAGGCTGACTGTCCTAGGAAGAAAAGGAAGGCCTGCCATAAATGCGGTAGCCTTGAGCATCTGATTGCTACTTGCCCCCAGGCTTACTGGAATAGGAAGAAGGACCAACCATCCCAAGACCGTCGCCGTCGCAATTCTGACACCCAGGGGAACCCTCCCGCTCCAAAGCCTACTGGAAGAGAAATTGATCTTCTAGAGCTAATGCAAGTACCCAAGCCGAAGTACCTTAACAAACAGAAGGCAACGACTAGAGGCGAATCCTCTATGGACACCAGTGACACGGAATCGGTTGCATCCGCGGCATCTTCTGAACCTGTGCAAGACGTTCCTATGCAAGCGATTCAGGAGACAATCGAGCCTCATGGCACAGAGGTTATCACTGAAACTTCTAGCACAGAGGTTCCTGCTGACTCTTCAAACAGCGAAGCTCTCAAGGATGACAAACTGGGTGCAACCCAGGAGGATC